ATTATGAAATTTTGATCAAATTAATATTCAATAATTTTCTTTTTCTCTGGATTTTTGAAAATTTTTTTTTTACGAATCAATACAAAGCAGCTGTATATTTTGTCGTTTGTAAAATTTTTTTTTTTTTTTTTGCCATTACATACTACCATGACAATACTAGAAATAGAAAAAAAAAAAAAACAACGGCTGCATCTTTACAGACATCCTTGCCATGATGATGATGATGATGATAATAATAATTGGATCATATAAATAGTTTGATTATCGTCATGAACAACAACAACAAAGTAAAAAAGTAGAGAAATCATTTGTTATGAACATACATTTAGGCCCCAACCTTAAGGTCTTGAGGTTTCATTTCATCAACATTCATTCACACACACACACACACACAGAGAGAAAAACGAGAACCTTGGGTGCCCGATACGATGGAATTCGTGATTCATTCAGTTGTCTGGGTTTCCTTCTGTTGTAACTAACGATAAAAATTGGACTTGGAACCGTGACTGTTTTTTTTTGGTTTTTTTTGTTTTAATTTCACTAAAACAACACATCATTCGTGTTCAACACTCATGAAATCATCATTTAGGACCATTCATATGGTTTTATTTTTAATTTTTTTTGAAGCTAGGCACCAAATAACATTCAATAATAAACTAAATGATGATGACGATCATAAATGGTCAAACATTCATGATTCATTTGTTCATGCCTAGAACATTAAGGCCGTAGAATGTTTTGTTTTTTGTCGTTATTAGATGAACAACACTTTGGGTGCTTTGGATTATTGTGCAACCATATAACCATCACCTTGAGCATCAACAGTAACAGTTAGGCCTCTTTTTTTTGTTACTTCATACCGATAGGTACCGTTTTTTTTTCGTATCATTTTGATTTTGACAGAATATTGAGCGGTACCGTTTGATCTTTATTTTCCTCACCCATTCTTCATTACCATGGTTATGTAGGAGGAAATACATGGGCTATTAACACACACACATATACACAATAATAATAATAATCAAACACCCACCCGTTGTCTTGAATAAACTTAAAACAATCAAAAACTATCCAAATGGCTGTAATCATCGATTTTCCATTTGCCAATATTTTTGACACTGATATATTGATGGCTATTTTTTTTCTGTTGTCACTGTCTATCATCGATATATATACATATCGATCGAAGATTTGCCTTTGATGAATTAACAAATTTTTTTTTGTTTCTAATCCACAATGTATAATAAATAATGAGATTCATTAGATGCCACTAAATAGATCGTGACCGTGTTGATTACGATATCTGTCGCATTGAATTTTTTGTTTTTGTTTTTAAAAGTTGCAATGAATAATTCACGATCTATTTAGCTGGCCAGGATATGGCTGTTAATTAATAGCGCACACACACACACTGATTTTGTGTGTGGATAAATTATTTAAATCCATGTTTCGGCATTCTTTCTTAATGTTTCGTGCTTCATGTCCTACAGAATTGGCCACATTAAATGGTATGCATGCATATGTGGCTTTTCAGTTTTTTTTTCTTTGGCTGTCCATCAATCGATATTTTTTTTTTTGATTTGATAGGAGCAATTAGATGATATTAGCACTTCTCACCTTATTGGCTCATTGGCTTGTCATTATTATACGGTTCGTGATGATATGATGTGTTGGTGTGTGTGTGTGTGTATCTGGTATGCGTGCCAAAAAAAAAAAAATGACTGGCAATAAAACCTAGTAATTTGCATTCATCATTATGATGATAATAGTTATTCACATCCCCACACCAACACCACTACAGAAAAAAAATAATCGAATCAATCCATAGACATAAATAATATATGGCTCGATATGATTCGATCATTTAGATATTGATTGTTGATTGTTGTTGTTGTTGTTGTTGGAATTTTTTTTTTTGCTCATTTTCTCAATTTAACATTCATGATGATGGCCAATATTATAAAACATCACATTGATGATGGTGCTAATTGGCCAATCATTTATGTTTTATGTTTTTTATGTTTTTATCCTCAATTCAATGTGTGTGGGCATTGAACATTATTATCATCATCATCATATATAATCAATGAATATACATGATTATTGATTATAATTGAATTGAATAAAGAAATGGAATGGAACCACGATTTTTTTTTCTGATGAATATCAATTTCGGATGGAATCACGAATCTTTCATCTGTTTTTTTTTGGTCCATGTCCATGTATGTATTGAATAAATTGAAATTTATTCATTAATTTATGAGAGAAAAAAAACAAGGATTTTCAATAGGATCAACAGGCGCCATACACGCACACAACAACACAGCACAACACATCGCAAGGTGTAAATCCATTTTGATCAAGATGAAGAAATGTGATGATTGAATTCAGAGTTATGATTTATCGTTTTCATATTTTTGTTGTTGTTGTTTGTTGTTGTTGTTGTTAATTTCGGCACGAACAAATCACAAAGTTAAATGAATGAAAACATGGATATTACTACTAATAATAATCATCATCATCATCATTCCTCATTAGATTTGATTATTGTTTTTCTACTCAATATTTTAGATGTAAGAAATGTGTTGTTTTCAACACCTTTTTTTCTCTTAAACTTGTTTGATCATCATCATCATCATCATATATAATTATTATTATATTCCAATTGTTGATTCGAAAGCCATGTAATTATCAAATGTGTGATCAACAAGTGTGAAAAATATATTAAAAAGAACAACAACAACAACAACAACAACAAAAAAACATTCCACATTTAACAAATTAAACAAAACAAAAATGTTTAAAATGTTTAACAGTTATATTATTATTGAATCATTATAAACCAGTAGCTTTAGTGGTTGTTGTTGTTGTTGTTGTTGTTGTTGTCGTTGTCAATATAGACAATTGTACCAAGCTTATTATCATTGCCAAAAAAAATTCACCAGGTCCAGAATTAATAGTGAGATCATTTTGAAGAAGGTTTCGTGTGTATTTTCAAAACCACACATAGGTCAGTCAGCCAGACTTGTGTTAAGCGATGTGTCCTCTAAATAACAATACATACATGTCGATCATTGATGATGATGATGATGATGGACCTTTGGTGATCCATGAACTCCATTCTATTTCTATTAGTTTTTGAAATTGTGAACTGTGAAAATTTTAATACCAGGCTACCGTTTTTTTTTTTTTTTTTTTTTTGATTTCATTAACCATTGAATAGGTCAAAACCAGGTACTATTCAACAACAACAACAACAACAACGAAACTAGTCGATGTAAAAAATCAATGATAATAATAATATATGGAACTTGGAACTTTTCACCATCCATGATGGTTGTGGCTGGCTGGCTAGCTTGGCTTGGTTTGGTTTGGCCATTGATCATTCATGATGATGAAAACATTAATCAAGACAACTAAACACATATATAATACACCGAAAAAAAAACAGCCCGATGTCCGATGAATGATGAATGTACTCTGGTCCAAGTAGTTGCGTGGCCCTTGTTGTTACGGGTTTTTTGTTGTTGTTGTTGTTGTTTATTTCTTCTTTTTTTTCATTTTCATTTATACAGTATGCGGATGTTGTGTTCGATACTGATAGTGAGAATGTCACACCTTATCCATAGTCTTGCAAAAAAAAATTTTTTTTTTTTTTTGAGTCTGGAGTTAGTTTATCCGCATTAAGACACTGGTCTTTCACTGTTTCGTTTGTTGTTTAGTTGTTTATTGTTGTGTGTGTGTGTGTGTGTTATGATTTATTCTCATTCTCATTGAAGGGAAACATACTGTCAACACCTAATACAAGTAAACAATAGTAGTGAAAATATCAAAAGCAACATGTATACATACCTAATTGGCTAAGATTCATTGATCAAATATATATACTATATCCATCCATTTCCTTGCAAATGTCCAAATCTATGGCCTGGTGATTTAACAAATCTCGAGAATCGATTAAATGGAACTGTTAATTTAAATTGTCGATTGTTCTTGTTATTGTCGATTGTGTTGTTGTTGTTGTTGTTGTGGCTGTCGAGTGAAGACAATTTGTCTATAGAACAGCAATAGAGTTTGATTGGATATTGTTATAAAGCCAATTAATTACAATAGAGCTACTTGACATCCTGATACCATAGAATTAATGGCTGCCGGTGTTTTGTTGTTGCTACTTTGCCGGATCCATGTTTCTTTTTTTTTCTTGACAACAACAAAGATGCAAAAGCCGGTACCGAATAATGGTCACTGATCATTACTGTCTCCAATAATAATAATGTTTATAAGACGTGCGTTGGCTACCATACCACGATTATATATTATCGTGATTATCTTTGTCCATTTTTTCTGTCGTCTATATCATAGTTTGACCGAATTAGATAGTCAAGATGATGCTGCTGGTACGATATGTTAATTAGTCAACGTCTTTATAATTGCCGCCGTCGACAAAATTGAATACATGACCATCATGCATAAGTTTATGACGGTAGGCAGCCTATTTGGACAACAAAATACGTGAATATTTTAATTTTAATTTTAATGTCCAGGTGCAAATACAAACCAAATTTCGAATTCATACAGAAACCAATGGGGAACACATATTTTCAACTCCTTTTTTATAAGCACAAAAAATCATCATAAATCTTAGGATTAATAATATAATTCATTTGATGATGATTTTCATGACCATGATACATTTCTTCATCACAGAAGAAAAAAAAAAGAATTTTTTCGAATCCAAACAATTCACTATAGTGACATCTATGTTTTTGGAATAGATGTATTTCTGTTCGATTTATTGCTCATAGAAGGCGCGACAAGTTTCATTTTCGAATTAACCAACAATTTTTTTGATTTTATATATTCATCATTATGATGATACCGGACATGCGTTCCAAATGTATAGTTTTGAAAATTATACACCCACATTCGTACATATATTTGACTTGGTTTGGTATTGAATTGAAACAATTTATAATCATTTGGAATCATGCCAGTATACGAGTAACAACTATGATCATCATCAGTAAAAAAAAGGACTTGTTGAAATGATATTGTACATTTACATGTGATTCATGAAATTAGACATACGAAAATTATCACCATCATCATCATCATCATCATGTATTATGGTCATTATGGTTATTGGATGATGATAAAAATCATCACCATGATGACCATCACAATTTGCCTACAATCATCAATAATAACAATATTCGCCATCAAACATTATGATAATCGTTTATCGTCATCATCATCATCATCATCATCATATCAATATCCAAATCGTTATCAACAACAATATGATGGATTAGATTTTTCATTTAGTCAAGGTATGTAGTTCAAATTATATTCTAATGGCTGCCAAATGGCAAAATACCTGTGTGTGTGTGTGTGCGAATGTTCAGGTGCATAAATCGATGAAAATGGAAATGAACTCAAATAGAAAATAGGAAATAATTAACAATTACTTAAATTAATTAATTTTGGTTGATTGTTCGCCTCTTTGCTGGTCGCAAAAAAAAATGAAACGAATTACGTATACGTATACGTCAAGTGAATCGAATCGAACAAATTACTTTTTTTTCTGTCTATCTGTCTGTCTGTCTCTACACTAAAAGATTCACAACACACCGGGTGTTTGTATTGTATACATACATTCGAAGCTTTTCTAATTATTATTACAATTTCAAATAATTTCGATCGCAAACAAAAAAAAAAAAATTTTTGCCCCTTTTTGTTTCTTGTTACTCTTGATCCCAGAAAATTATCAATGTGTGTGTGTGTGTGTTTGTGTTTGTTTCGTCACCGTGCTTGATGAATTCTTTCGATCATCATCATCATCATGATGAAAGTCTTGTTTCATTTAGTGTGTGTTTTCAAATCGATTCTATCTACCCGAATTTCCATTACATGCATCATCATTGGTATGTTTGTGTGTGTATGCGTATGAACTTGGGCCAATCACCAAATCAATATATTTAATTAAGTGTTCAAGAGACTTGCTTGTTTTTTTCCATCGGATTCATTTTCTTTTACTGTTTTTTTTGCCTACAAGTTTTCTCCCACGTAATATTTCTTTCATTCCCTAGAAATTCTTATCATTCTGACAAACAATTGATAATAAGAAAATGTGGCCCACAAACTTTTTTTTCCACTAGCTTAAAATTCTTACTACTGGGACCAGCCAGGCAGTCAGTCAGTAGTCCATTCATCCGGTTCATATGTTTTATTTTTCGACTTTCTTTCGATGATTGATTCATTTATAAATCTGAATCCGAAAATAATTCCGCATGATGATGACCAACGTCATTGTAGCTAGCCATCGCTATACCGGATCGGTTCTATGTTAACTGGTTAGATTTTTAAGGATTTTCAACTACAAAAACAAAGTATAACTAGCAGCAGCAGCTGCTAATTCCATTTGGTTCAATTTTTTTCGATAAAGCAAAATAAAAAAAAAAACAAAATTCAATTCTATCGATCAATCATTTTGATTTTTATTTAAGAATTATATCTGTTTTTGTGTGTGTGTGTGTGTGTAATGTGGTATTGGAATTTAAAATGGTCATGTGAATGATCATGGATATCGACAACTCATTATTATTAATGGACTATCCATGGATATGTATCAATCTCACAACGAAATGGTATCGGTGTTCTTTTTTTTTAAAAACCAATAAATCTCCCATCGATTATGATCATTGCATTCAACGCCTGCCGGTTGCAGTAGTGGACATTGAATTCTGTCCTTTTTAAATCCATTTTACATCCCAAAGAGAGAGAGAGAGAGAGAGAGAGAGAGAGAGATTGAAAAAAGAAATTGTTCGCTTCGGGTGTTGAAAAAAAAGTTTTCTCCCCTTTCGTTTATATTACGGATTCATATCACTAAAGTTTGCTTATTGTTGTTGTTATCGGCTTAGAATTTTTTTTTTTTTAGTTAACTTGAATAAACAGACCATTCTTCATGTCTTACGAATATCCTCATCATCATCATCATCATCAGTATAGGCATTTTATTCGACTCGATTGGGGCTTCTGAAAATGATGGGGGAGGCTGTGGAAGAAAATATAAATTTTCGAGTCAACAGTTCAAATTGTTCAAAACCCCATAAATGAAAAGAAACCTATTTGCGGAAACAAGAAAATACACAATGTGCTCGATTTTCAAAGCTTAAACACATAAACTTACACAAGAATCATCTCAAGACTTGTTTGTCTTTTTTTTTATTATTCTTGTTGTTGTTCCTTTTTTCATTCATTGATTTGAATCTGGATTCTATTCTCTTTTCCATTTTTTTTTGATCTTTTCGAACATCAAATTATGGCTTATCAATATATTTCAATTTCATTGATATTCCAAACTTATTCAATGAAAAAAAATCGGCTTTAACCATTTTTTTTTTTCGTTGTTCAAAGAACTTTCATGTGTTTGTTTAATGGATCAAGAAAAAATTTTTTTTTTGGCCCATATGTTTAAGCCATTAGTTTTTGACTGGTTTGTTTGTTTGTTTATTTGTTTGTTCGCTAAATGATAAACTCTAAACTTTCTTCTTGATTTGATCCTTATAGTTATGTTTGGCTATTTTTTTTTTCGATCATCATCACCATATATATAAACTGTTGGCCATACTCTAATGACCAAATGAATAGATATAATCGATGCATAAGATGGAATGAAATTATCATTTGGTGACAAAACTTGATTAGGCCTTTTTTTTTGTCGGTTGTCCTTATGGCTGATAATTTCCATTCATACAAATTGAATATATCGACTATTTCTGTTTGATTGAATTATTCACTATCTAACTAAGTTCATTTGACCATAAATCTATAATAATGATATTGAATGTTAAATAAAAGTTAAACAAAACAAAACAAAAAAATTCAATTATCATAGCTTGTGAATGGCTAGAATGAAAAATAAAATCCGATAATCGCTTATTTTGTCATACTTATTTTGTCTGTAGAATTCTATACCTACGTATTTGAGAATCGTGTTGTGACCAAAAAAAAAAAAAAAATCAAACATTTTCACAATGCAAAACCACTATCTATCTCTTTTTTAAATGTGAAAATATCCATCTCACTTGATTTGGATACTCATCATCATCATCATCATCATTATCAATCGATCCATATATTTTCTTATGATAGTGTGTTTTGTTTCCTTACATTGTTTTTTCTTGTTAACATCTTTGATCCAAGTCAAAAAAAAAAATTATAGCTCAAACATAAACATTGCACACATAGCACACACACACACACACACACAATGTTAATGTTTGGACGTTGTTTGAATTGTCCAAAAAGAGCATTATTATTTTTTTTGTTTTGTTTTTTTTTTTTTTGAAAATCGAAAAAAAAAAAAAAACAATATAGAATTCACGAATGTTGCATACATACATGCATGTTGTAAAAACATCTGTTATTTATTTATTTTTTTTGTTTGCATGTATGCATGTATGATGATGTGACCATTCTGTGTATACAATAAATTCCCGTTATCAAATGATAATAATAATAATAATATCGTATGTATGAATGTTATGGATAATATATACCTAACATTATTATTGCCACCATGTTTTTTTTTTAGACAACAACATTGAATCGAATAGATGTTATATATCAATCGACACAAAGAATATACCATTATACGATTGTTATATATACATTATATTATAGTAGTAAAGATCAATCCTGGCCAACAACAACAACAACAAGGAGAAAAAATCGAATATAAATTCCTATTGTCATATAATATGTCCCGACTAACAAACAACAACAACAACATGGATGATGATCATGATGATGATGATGATGATGATGACGAAAACACCAACCAAAAATAATAATAATAATAATAATAATAAAGTTTACCAATTGAAAATGTAAATATTTCCACATTTTCCCCCTGATTCTCCTTGATTTATTCCTGTATGCATTCGATAAAGAATCTAATGTAATGTTTTTTTTTTTTGGTGTAGCTGAAATCAATTCATTTCATTATATTTACCATTATTATTTGTATATATGTGTGTGTGTGTGTGTGTGATCCGATCTACCGAATCTTTTTTTTTCTTCTTCTTCTTACTCATTACGAGCCTGATTCGATATTTGTTTGCTTGTTTGTTTGTTTGTTGCACAAGTTTGTCAAACTTTCAATTGGCATATCACACAACTGCAACGACAACAACAACAACAACAACAAAAAACACTTTGGGCATTGATTCGTATGAATAAAATGAATTCAATTCAATTCAATTTGTTTTATAAGTCCAAAAAAAAAAAAACACCAAATCAGTAATATGAATGAATCACACACACACACATACAAGCTATGCTAATTTTCTCTCTTTTCATTCTTAAATTTATTTTTTTTTCACTGTATTTCTCCCTATCCATCTATCTGTCTATTTTTTTTATAAAATTCAAAATAATTCAACGTTTCACGATTCTAGCACGATTCTGGTTTATTGTGCTATTCCAGAATTTCCACGTTGTCGATTATGATGGTGTTAAATTCAATTGTTAACAACAACAACAACAACAACAAAATTGTTGTGTGTGTGTGTGTGCTAATTTGGCTATCCAATGACTGCTTCAACCAAAGAAAAAACAATTAATTTTTTCCCATTACAAAAACAAATGATAGCGAAAAGAAAAACCTGAATCATTGCATAGAATTCATTTTTTTTCTTATAGTCAGTATTTTATTCCAATTTTCCAATTCTCTATTTTTCCTTGTTATGATAAATAGTTCTCAACACACACATTGATTCATTCACATTGACAATCTAATTTAGGCTGTGATGATGATGATGATGAACAATGTGAACACGCCAACCCTATCCTCTATTCTTTCTTTTTTTTAATTGCTCTAGGTTTTTCGTTTGAATGGATGTGTAATGTGAGCAACAACAACAACAACAGCAAAAAAAAAATCAAAGAAAAATTGATACTCACACCATGTGTGTGTGTGTGTGTGGCTCAAATTTCGTATTACCCACCATGATCCATTATGATCCTAGAGTTTGAATCAGAATTCTACGAATAAATGAAAAGGGATACGATAATTTGATTATCAAGTCAAAAAAAAGGGTTGATGAATGAATGAACATTTTTAATTGGCTTCAATCGATAAGCTATAGCTGTGCACAACAAATCTTTTGGTTATAACACTTTTTTTTTGTTGGCCAATTTTCTATTTACCAGACTTTTTGTTTTCTTTTTCTTTCTCTTGAATAAATATTGACCCAAAAACACAATCATCATGTCCAGCAGCCAATAATGTACATTGCAACACCCAAAAAAAGTTTGTTTCAATCATCATTCCCTATTTATTCATTCATTCTTTTTTTCTGGTGAAAATTGAACCACACATTTATTGAAGATGTTGTTGTTGTTGCTTTTGTTTTGATATGATTTGATTCGAAAATCCTATTGATTTTCATGAGATTTTGATGATAATTTTTCAAAAATTTGATTCAGAGAAAAAAAATTCATAGGATTTTGATTGCCCGACAAAAGTCAACAACATTATGATCAAAATGATGATGATGATGATGATGATGATGATGATGGCTGAGTGAATTTAAATTTGATTTGATTTGATCTATGAAAAATATGAATTGGCCTATAAGAATTGGTTCAATTCAAATCCAGTTGTCGAAATTCCGTAGGGCTCGAACAAAAAACAAAACAAAACAAAAAAGAAGAAAAGTTGAACATTTCATAGAATCATTTGATGTTCATCGATTCATATTTTTATATATTCCAGTTGATTATAGCTTGAATTTTACTATTTTTTTTGTTGTTGTTTTTTGTTTTTGTTTTTTTTTGTCTGTCATCATCCCAAGTGAGAATAGTATATGGTATGTGGATTGTATTCCAAATTGGAATCCACTGTTTGTATGCAGGCAGCAGGAAGGGCCAGAATATTCTTTTTATTTCTCCCTAATGATCATCATGGCCATCTCAAATTTTGAAATTCATACCCTAGTTTATTTATTTATTTATTTTTTTTTTTTTTTGATTATTGTTGTTTGATGGTTCCCAAGTTGTTTTTTGTTTCATTTTCATTCTTTCCACATTAAAAATAACTTATCACAGGTAGCATCTATGTGTTTGTCATGTTGAATTTTGATTGATTTGTCATCATCATTATTGTAAATGTACATTGTTTTTTTTGTTTGTTTTGTTTTGTTTTGGATCAAAATATTTGAAAGTTTTTATTATTTTGTCAGTTGTTTCAATGATGAGAATGTAACCATATTGTTTTGTTATCAATGTTCATAGCTCATCGACTACGGTAAAAAATGAACAAAATGAATACCGAAACCGGCATACAATCCATTTGTGCATTGTGTATATATTATATGGGAAATAATTAAGTTATTTGTATGACATGACACATCATAATAATCATCAAAAAAAAAAAAAAACGAACATACATTTTAGCCCTAGTTGATCTTGTGAATGAATATAATTTCTGTTTCATTGTTTGAATGTAAATTAATTTTGTTATATTGTACATTGTTGTTGTTCATTTGTGTATACAAAAATACACACAATAACCATATATATATATAGATAGACAGCAGAACAAAATAATCGCTTTATATATTTGATGATGATAGCCATAAAATAAAAAATACCAACCAAATGAATCAAGCATATATAGCTATAGATATGGTAGGCATCGTGGGGCAATAAATGAATGGCCAGATAGGCTGGCTGTCTATATATATATATCTAAATGTTGATTGTCATTAGCATATGTGATCACCATCTGAATCCAATCTATCTTTTTTTTTTGCATATATACATTCGAGATGCACGTTCCAGAGGAATTTCCATTTCATTTTTTTTTTTTTACAACACAACCAATGGGCCCAATGCTGTGCTATGATTATCTCTCTTCACCTTTTAATGCTAATTATTAACCTGGGTAAATTTTTTTTTTTTTTTTTGGCCACAAAATTGAACCAGAAAAAAATTCCAAAATAATTCCAGTACCTTCTTTTTTTATAACAATATGCATATATGCATGTGAATAGTCAATGAGCTCTCATAGGTAATCTGGACACATTCATAACCAAAGAGAGAGAGAGAGAGAGACAGAAATAGAAATCATCTCAATTTTTGTTTTTGTTTGGTGTTGGTTTGATCATTGTAATTGTTGCCAATTAGTAATTCTATCCCATATAAAAATATAAAATCGTTCCATAATTTTTTTTTCTCTCCCTCTCTCTCTCTCTCTCATTTTTTTCCCGGTTCGGCTAATTTATTTTCTATTTGTTTCTTCTTTATATGGCTCCTGATTCATTTTTGAAAAAGTCAACTTCAATGATTAAATCTTTCTCTCTCTCTTTTTTTTCGATTACATTTGCATATATGGATACTGTGTCCATCAGTCACGGTTTTTCATTGTGTACCGAATGATTCGTAGAAGAATTTTTTGAAACAAACAAGACTCGAGAGAGTTGATCTAACGCGTTTTTATTTTCCAATGAAACCGAAACCCCTTTAGGTCAAATTGACAATCTTATCAATGAATTTTTTTTTGTCTTAAGTAAATTTGATTGTCCTAACATAACGTTATATCATTGTCACATAAAATGGTTATTGATTAATGTAATTATCAATGAATCCATACATTCTATCTATCTATCTATCTATCTATCGATAGCTTGTTATTTAACAATCGTACTGACAACAATGGTGGGGTTATCCAATGTTTCAAAATTGCCTGATTTTTCTTCTTCTTGCATATTTGCCAAACATATACACTATTTGATTTTTAATTACTCTGAACAATGATTTCGATTTTTTTTTTGATCCGTGTTTGTTTTATATATGTTTCCTGTGTATATTCTCCATAATAATAAACTGTATGTCATCGATTCGGTTTTAATTATACATCTTTTGCTCTCTCTCTCTCTCTATATATATATGGTGGTCTCAAATAAAGTCATCATCATACCATAATGAAAACCAAACGAAAAAAAAGGGGCCATCATAATCGTAATAATGATTGTAATTATACACTCAAACACACACACACACACACACACGCAAAATATTGACCAACGTCAGCAATGTCAGCAATAAAATGCATGAAACTAACAAATTAAGAGATCTCAATCACAATTAAAATTATTCTCTACACACACACACACACACACACACACACATTTGTGCCACACCAAATCCATCGACCATGAATGGGTTCCAAATGAAATTCTGTACGATGAACAATAGTTAATTGTATGGATATGTCGATACGTACAATGTATAACCGGTATACTTCAATTCTACGTATCCGATTGTTAGTTATTGTTTGTTGGTGATGGTGATGATGATGATGATGTGTCCGAATGACTACTATGATTACCAGTTATTCATTCATAATTAGCTACCTTAATAGAATTGTGAATGAATATTGTTTTTACATAGTAAATTCACAATTCATTTTACGCCCTTTTTCAAATAGCGATTCCTTTCTTTCTCTTTTTTTTGTTGTCTTTTCCAGTACATACAAATGAATGACCATTTGGATGTACTGGAAATTAACCTCAACGATATTTGTATGTTTTACATACGATTCTTGTTGAATGAATGCATATAATGAATCTATTTGTTCACTATAGAGGCTATACTTTCAAAATATTAATTTTCATATGAATATTTCTATTACATTCCACATTTTTTTTATATATTTATCCCAACCCTCTAGATACATTTTTTTCAAATTTCATACAGAGTAATTATTCAAATGGATTTTTTTCTTCTTTGATCATCCAAAATGATAAACTCTTGTTCGTTGTTTATGTACTTTAATATTTGAATTTGAACATCAATCAAATGTCAATGTTTTTACTAATGATTTTTTTTCTCTCTTTTCGGACAGAAGATTTTCATGTCAACAATAAAGATGATGTTAACTCTACAAACAATGGTGGTCAAGAAAGTTCATTGCCAGAATTTGTTGGCCATATACCAAATGTCACTGTTCAGGTGGGCCGTGAAGCTCGTCTGGCATGTATCATACGAAATTTATCCTCATATAGTGTAAATATTTGATATTTGTTAGCCATCATTATCATTCACTGTTATTTTGATATATTTAGGCGGCATGGTTACGTGATGACTTAAAAATCATCCTTACATTGCAGACACACATAATCACACGAGATCCTCGAATATCATTGCTTGAGGAAAGTCAAATCGATAGCCAATCAGTTGGAGGCTATGTTGGACCCAATGGAAATGATTTCACACCCGATATTGTTGGTCTTTCTTCTGAGCCAATGATGAATAGGATTCGTTATTTCATATTGGTCATACGTAATGTTAAATTCTCTGATCGTGGTGGGTAAGTTTGAATAAAAATTGATGGCTCATTTGTCAATGATAATGAAACCATTTTCTCAGGTATATGTGTCAAGTGAACACTATACCATTACTTAAACAGATCGGATATCTAAGGGTGGTTGTACCGCCTGACATTATTGATCATGAATCCTCAAACGATGTTTTGGTTCGAGAAGGCGAAAATGTCACACTAAGATGTAAAGCTCGAGGCTATCCAGAACCCGTTATTGAGGTTTGTATGTGTGTATGTGTTATTTTTCATTTGATTAATCAATTTTCATATTGCTATTAGTGGCGTCGAGAGGATGGAGCTCGTGTGCCATTGGGTAATCGTTCCAATGGACCAAATAATCGTCGTATTATGAGTGAGTTACTATTTTTAATCATTCATTCACTTCAATTCATTGACACACTGCTATTTTTTTGTTTTAATTTAGTGAATAAGACTGAAGGCGAATTATTGGAAATAGCACGAGTAACGAGGTTATAATATTTTTTTTTTCATTCAATCCAACATTTTCATCATTTCAATTTCAAATAATAGAGTTCATTCTGGAGCTTGGCTTTGTATTGCTTCGAATGGTGTAATGCCATCAGTGAGTCGTCGAATATTACTTAACGTTCAATGTAAGCACTATGATTGAATTCCTATTCACCTATTTTCTTCTTAATTCAATTATATTCCATTGCTATGAATTGTTTTTTTCCAATGCTTTAGTTGCACCACAGATCTGGATTCCAATCGAAGAGATCGGGTAGGTTAATGTAAGCTTAATTAGGTTCAGCTTGTCGTTATAGTTTTGGAAACAATCTGTCTCTTTTATATAGTGCACCATTTGGTTCAAACATTACATTGGATTGTCATATCGAAGCGTATCCACTTCCATTGAATTATTGGACATTTGGCTTACAATCACAAAGCATCTACATAAGCGGACCAAAATATGAAGTATCGGTCAAAGAAAAAGGCTATAAACGTCATCTCAAGTTGACCATACAATCACTAACACCCGATGATTTGGGTCTCTACCAATGTCATGCACATAATTCTCTTGGACGTCAGGTGAAACAAGTTAAAGTTTATTGTAAGTTAATTTATTGAATGTCGATCGATTCAAAATCAATTTGTAGCCCTTTTTCAAATTCCTCCTTTCTGGTGTTTCAATTGGTATAATCAATTTTCATTTCTACTCTTCCCTCTTTCTACATATCATTTCACATCTGGATCACAAATAATTAGCAAGCAAAATCCATCAACAAAGTCAATCAAAATGGGATCCAAATGATCGTAGCCAACAACCGCCGTTACCCAAACGAGTATCATCAACATCGATTGGTCCAATGACAACTACGACAAAAAATGCCAACAAATCTAAACGAAAACGAAAAAGGAAAAAAATTACATTGACTACAACGATTCCACAAGATAAATGGCGTGCTATTATGGATGGCGGCCATCATTTCAATGACAAATTAATGATGACAAATATTTCTAGTCGTGATTTCGGACATGTTAATCAACGACCGCCAACAAACAACAATGGCCCATATCAATCGTATAATAATAACGACGATGATGATGATGATGAATACGATGAATATGAATACGACGATGATTATATCGGTAATGACTGTGTTCAACATACATTTGCAATGTTCATAATGACGACCGTCATTTTTAACTCAATCATATCGATTCCTCGATATTTCCTATCCTGATCTATTTATCATTTACATTTGATTTTTGAAATACACTTTCAAGCACAAAGCTTTCACTTTTGTTTGCTGTTTTTATCATTAATTCATCAAGGTTAATAATCAATTATGTCGTAAAAATCATTATAATAAAAAACAGCGGCAACAGAGAATCGATTGATTTTGATGGACAGTCTTATTTAATAATTTATTTTTTATTTGAAATTTAAAATTTCATCAATAATTGATATGAATCATTAGGTAGATCCTATTGTCTGTACCCAATTTCCATACTCTTTGACTCCATATTGAATATCAAGCAATTCTTTGAACAATTTCAATGTGAATTCATGTCCAGGTATGTTGAGCATTTGTTGTTCAAATAGAATCTGGCCTATCGGACATACAATACATGCGGTTCCTGCACCAAACATCTCAAGCAATCGGTTTTCAGCCAACAGTTGTTTCACTTCTGCCATAGGAATTACACGTTCAATCACTTCGATTTCATTCCATGAACGAACCAACTCGATTAACGATTGTCTCGTTACTCCAGGTAATATAAGCCCTTCAGTCAATGGTGGTGTAATCAATTGTCGCTTTCCTTCTGGATCTTTCATCAACATGAATATATTCATTGTTCCTACTTCTGTTAGTTCGTGATCGGGACCATAAAGCCAAAGTACCTGTTGTAATCCTTGTTTGTTTGCTTCTTTTTGCACTAACATTGTTGGTGCATAATTAGAGCCTAGCTTACGATCACCAGAACCACCTTGCCAAGCTCGAACATATTTTGGATCAGCTAGTAATGATACAGGCTTGAAACCTGTACTGAAATATGGGCCTACTGGTCCAGTAACGACGAATAGTATGCATTTAGTTGCAGGCGAAACTCCTAAAGCTTCATCCGTTGCTATCATTGTTGGTCGAATGTAAAGCGAAGCATTCGATTCATATGGTGGCACCCATTCATCATCGATGATTAACAATTTTTTCATGAGCTCAATTAATTGTTGACCATCGAAATCTGGTAGACAAACTCGAGCTGCCGAAAGACGCATACGTTTCATATTCAATTCAGGCCTAAAGATTCGAATGCGACCATCGAGTCCTCGATAGGCTTTCATTCCTTCGAAAATCTAAATGTTAAAAGATGATAACATAAGAATGGAATGATAATGGACACATACTTCAGGAGCGTAATGAAAAACTTTGGCGAATGGATGTAAACAGAATGGATGAACAGGAACAATTCTTGGTGTTTGCCAGCCATCACTTTGGTTCCAATGAATTTCGACCATGTGATCGGAACAATGTTGACCAAACACCAGATTGTTCCAATCTGGCTTTTCCGATCGATCTTTTGAATCCAAAATCTCGACAATAGCATCGGTTGCCTTTTAATGATTAAATGCAATATATAATTTGTTAATACACACAAAATATATTAATGGTTTTAATATTGATCACCTTAAAAGAATTTGGACAAGGTTCCAGTTGAATTTGATTATAATGAACTTGATTGGAAAATTTTCGACATGATAGTAATAGCTGCTGTTTTTTCAAAGATGACTCGTCATTTAGCCAAAATCTTGGTGATGAATGCAAAAAGTTTGAGGATTCTTTGTAAACTATGGAATGATTACAATTATGGTTAATCACTGTCATTATGTTGGTTGTTGATCTGAATAAATATTGTCGAATTCGCCTTACAATGATTGTAGACGTTGATGAAAATTGTGTAGACAAAATCATTTTTGAATCAATTGTTTTTTTTTTTTTAAAACAAACAATTTTCACTCATATAACAGCCAGTGGCCAAAATTGATTCGTTGATTTGTTTATAGAATTATTTGATTGATTATAGAATTGTATAATGTGGCTCATTGCCTTTTTTTACTCTTTTTTTTCGATCGTATTGAAATATCCGACATTCAAACAATTTCGAATAAGTTGTAAATGTAGATCACCTTAATAGCCCGAATGAAAGATGTTTGGTATCAAGAGAGTATCATAATGTTTGTCAGCAAGTTAGTTTAGAAAGTGATTGCAATCATCATCATCACAATCATCGTCGTTTGATTCATCCATATCCAAATTCGCTGTTCTGATTGATTTCAAAGGTAAACAAGATGTTCATCATCATACACATACATGATCCACTATCAAGACTTGGATGCTACTGCTAGCTTGTCTTTTCCATTATCTATCTCGTGTTAGTTCATTTAATGACGACATTCTCATCATTTTGATTATCATTTAACATCGATGATTTTCCAAGAAAAATTTTCAGCATATACACAAAGCGATAAAATCGCCTCGAACTTTAGCAGTCATTTTGATCCATTTTTTTTTTAAATTTCTCCTTACCATAAGTAAATGTGAAAGTTGAATGACACATTAAATGATTTGAATGAAATCCTGCATTTAATGCAATGTGGAACATATTTTTAATTTTTTCAAATTTTGAAGGTTGCCATTTTATACAACAATTTATGTGTGATTAATTATGAAACGAATTGGCATCTTGATCATGTTTCAAGGCAATCAAGATGAATAATCTCATCCAAAATAGACAACCAGCCACAGTAGTATTGGTGAAATAAAATTTTCGGTTTTCTCATCGATTATCATCATCATCATCATAATTTTTTGTTGATCATATGATCAATTCAGTAATCTCTTGATTGTATGTTATGATAGTGAATCAATCATAAACAACTTGTTTGTCGAATATCCAACTTGTTTTTTTTTGTTTGGCAATCAACATGTATTGATGATGATGATGACAAGATTGAAAAGGAAACCACCAGGAAAATTTATATGATAATGCTACTGCTGCTATGGATGAATTAGTGCATTAATTTGTAAAATTAGTTATGCACTTTAATATAAAAAACATAACTTACATTTATAATATTTTTTTTATACCTCTGTAAAATAATTTAAACCGGATATTCAATGACAAATATTTCATCTATAATGAGTTAATGTTTTTTTCTCTAAAATTAAGCCACTGCTGTCATGCCAGTCATGTGTAAATAGTGGCTTATGTTCCACGTGCTCATTTGATGGAGCAAATTGATTTAATGTTGTTTTTGTTTTATATATAAAATTTTAATTCACGAAATTCAAACAATCATGTCTGCAGCAATGACAGATGTTGATAAAGATGCTGATGTGGAAAAGAATGAATACCATTCAGATGAAGAAAAGAACATCGATGACGGTGATGCAACTCAAGAATCAAAAAGCAGTAATGCTAAAAAGAAAAAGAATAAAAAAAAGAAAAATAAACCAACTATTACCGAATCAAATACAGTGGCTGATGAAACACAAGAAATTTCGGATAAATTGGAATCCGAATTACAATTAGACGATGTAGAAGGTGATGCTGGTGAAGGTGCTACAGTCAAATCCAAGAAGAAACGACATCGTAAAAAGAAAACAACAACTACTGTTCCTCTTGTACAGACCGATCCTCCATCGATTCCGATCAAAGATTTATATCCAGATGGAAATTTTCCACTTGGTGAAATTTGTGAACATCCGGTTTTGGATGAGAATACTGCCAAATATCGTATCACATCGGCCGAGAAAAAAGCCATGGATGAAGCATCTGAAGATCTATATCGTGATCTTCGATGTGCGGCTGAAGCTCATAGACAAACTCGTCAATACATGTTGAACTACATCAAACCCGGTATGACGATGATTGAGATTTGTGAACGTTTAGAAGATACGGCTCGAAAATTGATTGTTGAAAATGGACTTGAATCTGGACTAGCTTTTCCTACTGGATGTTCGTTGAATCATTGTGCCGCTCATTACACTCCGAATGCTGGTGATAAAACTGTACTACAATATGATGATGTTTGTAAAATCGATTTCGGTACACATGTCAATGGTCATATTATTGATTGTGCATTCACCCTGACTTTCGATCCAAAGTATGATGAGCTTTTAAAAGCAGTGAAAGATGCCACAAACACAGGAATTCGTGAAGCGGGTATTGATGTACGACTTTGTGATATTGGAAAAGCTATACAAGAGGTTATGGAATCGTATGAGCTCGAATTGAATGGTAAAACCTATCCAATAAAATCGATTCGAAATTTGAATGGCCATTCGATTGGTCCGTATCGTATCCATGCTGGTAAAACGGTTCCAATCGTTAAAGGTGGAGAAGAAACCAAAATGGAAGAAGGTGAAGTTTATGCAATCGAGACATTTGGTTCTACTGGCCGTGGATTGGTCAACGATGATATGGAAACATCACATTATATGAAGAATTTTCATGTCCAACATGTGCCCTTGAGATTGGCCGGTTCAAAACAATTGTTGAATGTTATCAATCAAAATTTCGGCACCTTGGCTTTCTGTCGTCGATGGCTGGATCGTTTAGGCCAAACTCGATATCTTATGTCATTGAATGATTTATGTAAAAAAGGTATCATTGATCCTTATCCACCGCTTTGTGATGTTAAAGGATCATATACGGCCCAATATGAGCATACGATTGTTCTACGACCAACATACAAAGAGGTCATTTCTCGTGGTCAAGATTATTGATTGAAATTGAAATAATACCAATTTTTCTTGCTAATCATAATTATGTTTTGTGAGTTGTTCTATTTCTATGATTTTATTCATATATTTGAAGAATAAATTTTTTCTTTTTTGAGAAATAAGTCTTTTGATGTGTTTTTTGTTATGGTAATAAAATGAACTAATAATAAAAAGTTTGACGAATCGGAAAAAAAATTCTTTTCTTTTCATTCAATCATCAGGATGAATTGGTAATTCGCTTCATAAAACAACAATTGATTAGAGAAAAAAACATGTAATACATCAACAATATCACTTATAATCAATTCGAATAATTTTTTTTGTTTTTGTTCTTTTCTTTAATCATACAAAACCTGCAATTGGTTTTTGTCTACGATTCAAATGAGAAAATACAAAACAAAACTAATTGACGAGTACCGACTAAACATTCATCATTGCTAATGAGCCTCAGGCTTTTCATTTTACTTTACATTTTATTTTGGCTTTTTTTTTGCCATCAAAAACAAAAACAAAAAACTTTTGGACAAGTTTCGATTCGATTTCAATGAATATCGGGGTATACCAACGATTTACCAATTCATCATCATATGGCCATGATTATATTCATTCATTCATTCATTCATTCATTTATATATAGATTGATCAATTTGATTCAAGTCAAGTGTTCATATTCATGGATCACTTCGTTGATTATAATCAACCTACCTATGTTTATGTGGCCATTTTGTTTGAAAAAAAAACTTTTCAAGTGGTCGAGTAGTTTTTTTCTATACAAACAACAGAATTTATTTAGTGCATAGATTCAATTTGCAAGAATTTTTATTGATGCTATATCATTTTCGAGAACAAAATACATTGTGATTCGAATATGAGAATATTTTTACATTTTTTTTATTGGATGAAATAGATAGGAAATCGAATCCATTTCATTTGACCACTGTCGATCGGTTTGTTGAATATTTATTGTTTGAAGCTTGATATATTTCTAAAAATCGGGTGGTTTAAATTTTTTTTCCTCAACAAAGAATGTACCATACCAATCATTGTCATTGTTGAAAAATTTTTTTCTTACTATCACAAGATGATTCTCTCGACATTTTGTAAGAATGGATTTGAAATTTGTTTTTTTTTTTTGCTGATTTTACGATAAAATTCTTGCAATGGTGGGGGAGAGGAATATAATATTGGCCAGTCACTTTTTCCACAATGAACATTTGTTCCATTTTTGTTGTTGTTGTTGTTGTTTTTCTTTCGATTCTGCTTTGATCAGCAAAAGAAAAAAAAATGGTCATTCATTGTTTTCATGGAATGTGTGGCCATCTATTATAGACATGAACAAAAAAAAATCTACAAACAAATTATTGAACCGGAAATATCCATGTGTCCAGGTGTTGGCTTTACACTAATACATGAGTCAAGATTATCAAAATAATCAACCTTGAATGGTAAAAAATAGCCAACAGCATCAAGTGTGATCAGCACAAACCAACATAATAATATCAATGGAGCTAATGTAAATGTAATGCACATGCAATGAAACAAAATAAAACAAAACAAAAAACAAAAATTATTTGATTGTACCAATTTTTTGATCAACTATGCTCACCGGTGTGCTCGCGTGACCAATGGTCATCATTTTTTTTCGTCATTCTCTCTCCTTGCTCTAAATTTATTTTTGTCAATCTTAATGTTTGCAGAGAATTCCATATTCACGAATTCATAATTCGTGTTTCAAATTAAGAATATTTCCATCTGTTCGATTATAGGTGTTTTTTTTATCATTGTGAATGGATTTTTCATATTTTTTTTTTGCATATAATGAACTAAACACACTGTGTGTGTTTTGAAAATGAAAACCTTGTCCCGATATAATTGATATTGTCTTTTTTTCTGTTCAAAACCCATTAACTAACCATCTGGATTGTTACATTTATTTATTTTTTTTTTTTGTTTTATTTTGTTTTGTAATTTCAATTTTGTAATGTATGTCAGCAAATGAAAAAAAACGGTAACAAAATTTCCAATTTAGATTTACCGTAAATACGATAAATGAAGAGAAAAATTTTTCATATCATGACAGCCATCTGGTGAGCAATAAATCTATTTTTCGTTTCATCATTAAAAAAAAACTCCAGACAATTTAATAAATCAACAAATTTAATTTTGTTTTTGCTAATTTCAGAATAAGAGTTCATTTTTTTTTGTTGATAAATTTTGATTATAATTCGAATTCAAAAAAAAATCTACTCGATCGATTATTTTCAATGGGTAAATATTGCAATGTTAAAAATAATCAATTTTGTGGTATTAGTTCAATTCGTGAACAGACAACGAAAACAAGAGACAATGGATTCTGTAATCATTGCTATCATAGTCGTTGTTGTAAATCCAAATCTAATGATATGAACGATGATAATTGTCATCGGAAATGTCCACCACCATATGATGTATTATGTTTTTATCTTAAACGTTGGTATTCACGTTTAGCCATTATTTTTGGTTATATTGCTATCATATTGATATCGTTAATATTGTTAATATGTGCTGGTTTTTTTACAAAACATTCATGATGAAAATATTTTTGCCTACTTATTACCTACTTATATACTACTTGACATAAATTAAAATTAAAATATGTTTATTTTTCGTTGTCATTTTATACGATAATCATCATCATCATCATAAGGATTAACATATCATTTTGACTAATGGGGATTAATCGAATATCAACATCAACATAATTTATGGATGTTTTAAAGTAAAATTGATTACATTATCAAAATGTAATCATAAACGTAATTGATTCACTTTCAATGTCCAATCATAAATGGTAACTAATTTTTTGCTTCTAAATGGTTCAAATCATTTGACTTGTAGAATTTGTAGAAAAATACATCATTTATTTCTGTTTTGTTTTTATTTGAACGGCGGCTGTAAAAAAAATGCAATCAACAAATTTCTCATTTTCATTTCTTTTGTTTTGTGTTGTTGGCCTAGTTTTTGTTACCAATGGACAGATCACCGGAAACCAAAGTGATAATGTGGTCAAACCAGCATTCGTTACATTTAATGATGAATCGGCAACCAAATATCAGTATCGAATGTCCGGTGATCCACGATTAATGTATCCATATACGACCGATGATTATGTACGTGAAATTAATTCAATGAAACAATTCCATGATCAACCATTGCCATTTCGATTACCATTCTTTGGTTTTGCTTATCATTACATTTGGATACATAAAGATGGTTATGTTTGTTTCAATCGTGGTCTAAAAAGTTATGAATTTCCCTTATCATTCCCGGCTGTTCCAGATGATCCGGAACGTGAAGAAGATCCATCAATGATGGCTATATTTTTTGCTCATCAAGATATACCATCATCGATATCTGAATCAGGTGTATACTTACGGATCGAATTGGTTGATCAAATATCCAATCCTGATTATAAACAAATGATATTGGATAATTTCAAAGAAGCAATGGCTGGTTCGGGCGGATTCACACCGAAATTTATCATCATTGTTACATGGAAAAATATGACTTTCGCAAATCGACGTTATGATCGACCATTAAAAACGAATACATACCAAATGGTTATTGGTACCGATGAAAAAGATACGTTTGTCTTTTTCAATTATGAATGGATAACCTGGATAACTCATCTGGATAATTATGACGGGCTTAATGGTCCTGCCGCTTATGTTGGTTTTAATGCTGGTAATTCCACTCGTTCACATGAATTTGCACCATATTCACAGAATCCACGTATATCACTATTGCCACTCATTGGCTATGCTAACAATATTCCTGGTCGTGCCGTATTTCAAGTTCATGATGTTCTTTTCCAAGGTTCATGTGTGGATAAATCATTGGACCCAACATTGCCCGATCGTATGGGTCTAACTACATCAGTAAATTATATCAGCAGTCTTGGTGGAGAATTGCTTGAAGTAACTGGACCTTGTTTTTGGCCTAACAGCCGAATAACTTGCCGTTTTGATTCTATTTTGGTCAAAGGCCATTATTTATCGACCAATGTGGCCATCTGTGTGACACCGTTGATTATGTTTGAAGGATTTGTCGACCTGATTGTTACTGTTGATGATAAAACCTATTTCTACACCCGAATGTATATCCGTAAGTTCATCATTTGTCAGTCGTGTTATCATGAATCTAATTGCTTCTAGTCTAGAATCTCCAGAAAGTCGCCGAGAATTTGATGTTTGGGTTGATCCGACTGAATTGATTGAAAAAAATCCTGATACAATCGATGAAGAACCTGAACAAATATTGACAATAAAATGGAAGACCGATATTGGTGATGAGAAAGATCCAGTTACTATCGGCATATGGGCTTATCAAGAATTGGATCAAACTCTATATCCAAGGGTCTATTGGATTCTCGATTTGACTCGTGATGCAACCAATAGTGGTGAATATCAATTAGACCTGAATCAATTGCCTTCATTTGATCACCTAAAACGTTATGATTATCATTTTGGTTTTATTGGGGTAAACATAACCGGACGAGAGCTATCGATGACTGAATGGAGTCAACCAATGCCTTTAGGATGGCTACTTCGACATTATTGGCGTCGTGAATTCGGTCAAACTAAATGGCAGCGAAATTTTTGCCAAAAATGGTTCGAACGGGAAGATCAGAATGAATATTTTGCTACCACATTGTTTCGTTGTCCATGTACTTTGGCTCAAGCGTTACATGATAAAGGCCGATTTGCTCCTGATGAACGATGTAATGTTGTTGATAAGAAATGTGATCAACGCCATTTGGGCGCTCAACATTGTGTTCGTACAGCAAGACCATCGTATGTCATTGTTTCAAATATTTGTTGATTAATTCATTGTTAATATTCAATTCTTATGGCTAGAATTGGTGGATCCGGCCAACAATGCTGCTATGATGATTATGGAGAATTAATTCGTAGTGCTGATACTATGTATTCTGGCAGGCCATCACGAACATTCATTTATGGAAAACATCCATTCAAGATGCAAATGCAGGTTTGTGACTTTCTAATCATTAGCTAACAAATTAATTTAATTTTTTTTTTGCTTTCATTTTGAAAAGACACCTACATTGTCTTATTGGCAACATGATGTGATGCCATTCTACTATTGCTGTAAATGGCAACCCAAAGAAGATGATAGCGAAACTTGCATGATGTTTAACTATTTTCGAACGACACAGGATTGTAGTTCATATCAACCACCAGCCATAGCATCTGTTTTTGGTGATCCACATATCATAACGTTCGATCGAACAAATTATACTTTCAATGGTCGCGGTGAATATTCTCTTGTTCATGCTAACAATCCAATACATAAACTTGATATACATGGACGTTTTGAAAGGCTACCTGGTCACGTTAATGCTACTCAATTGACTGCCGTATCTGTACGAGACAATGTCTCATCGATTGTTGAATTTCGTATTAGACCCGATGGCTGCCGTTGGTTCAATCAAATATTTATCATTGCTGATAAAGAATATCTCTACTATTGGGATGATAATATGCGTACGATACATACACGTGGTGTGAGCATCTATCAACCTTCTGGCATTCGTAACATGTCACATTTGATTGCCATGTTTGATTCTGGTGCTGGTGTTGAAGTGTTGGTCAACAGCGCAGGAACTTTAACCATGCATGTATACCTACCGTTGACTTATGTGAATTCTACACAAGGTTTACTTGGTTATTATTCCAATGATCCGAATGATGATTTCATGCTTCCAAATGGTTGGATATTTACAAATGGACAAGACAAAAATATCAAACGAATTCATGAAGAATTTGGTATTAAATATCGTTTGCTCGAAACTGCTCAACAGAATATTTCACAGTCATTGTTTTTTCATGATGTTCTCACTCATTCACAATATGATGATGTAAAATTTCTTCCACAATTTGATTTGGATCCAAAAGAACTGGAACATTTGAATGATGTTGATCGAATCTGTTCGAATTCATTGGCATGTCAATTCGATTATCTAGCCACTGGTGATAGTGGATTTGCTGAGAATACGAAAAAAGAAGAAGCAATCGCCGAAAACATGTATTTAATTATTGCAGAATCAATTATTCGATGTCCAGCATTGAATAAACCGATAAATGGCCGTAAAAGTGAAAATCGTTATTGGCCCGGTACTATTGTTCGATTCAGTTGTTTGGATGGATATCGCCTTCTAGGCTACGAAGTACGTCGATGTCGTGAAGATGGCCTCTGGAGTTGGGGAGAGGATCCATTTTGTATGCCTGTAATACAATATAATATTCAGCTTTTATTCACTTATCTCATACCGATTATCGTAACATTTTTGGCAATATATATGGCTATATTTTTTCTCAAACATCGTCAACAACAGAAGCATAAAATGAACAACACTTCACAGAGACGACATTGGTTATTGTCTCGGCTAATGTCAAATTTTACCAATACCTCACAATATGGTGGACGATCATCCTATATTACCGGTGATAATGTTGATCAATTGATCGATGCTAATCGTTTGAACGAGTTAACAAATTCACCACATGCTGATCAAATTGACCACGAAAGCACTGATGACCAAAATGACGAAGATGATATACAGCAGTCTAATGTAGCACCGCCACCACCAACTGTTCCACCACCGTCAATAGAACCTGAACAATCATTCAATAATTTTGTTTCTCCATTCTATCGACAAAATACGACTAATGAATCAGAAGATTCAGATAAAGCTATTCTTGTTTGAATGGCTTTCTTTTTTTCAGAATAATAATAATAAAACTACTCTATCAATAAAACTTAATCAATTAAAATAAATTTAAAATTCATGCTAACATTAGCGTCATCTGTTGGATGGAAATGTTGTTGCAACAAATGAACATTGATGCGGATTGTCTGATGATGATCATGGCATCGTCCCAATATGATGGATGTTAATATCTACTAAGCAAACGCGTTGGTTGATGATGATGCTGCCTGATCACAATAAATCGCTCTCAAAACCTAAAACCTAAGTTGTTCGTAATGGTTTGATGCTAGTTTGGGTTTCTTCTTCTTCTTCTTCTGCTTCTTGTTCATTTTCAGTTTCAGATTTTCGGATACATTTGTTGAACCAAGTAATAGTTTTGTCCATGGAAAACACGATGATTCGTACATTTTTGAATAAAATAATAAAGAATGAAAATAAAGGTTTTACTACTTTATGATAATTTCCGATTTTTTTTAATGGACAATGGCAAACAAACAAACAAAACAAATTCTCTTTAGATTCATAAGCAATGCATTAGAATCATTACAGAATCTGAACAAAAAAAAACAATACAACAGAATATAATTGTATCATCCTAAGGGTCCTAATTCTCTTTTTTTTTTGCATACTCAAATATTCTTGATGCCCAATCAAATGGTAAAAATGCCGAGAAAAAAATACATCTAATTTTGAAAGAAAAAAAATCTATTTAAAACAACAAAAACAAAAACAACCAGTATAAAACTTGTCTTCTTTTTTTTCATTGAATAATTGAACTGTATCGATTGATTACAAGTCAAACACGATTATTTATAAAAATACTGTTTTTCAGTTTTGACATTGAATATGTTCATTCAATGTGTTGTGCGCCAAAATCACTATATATATTCTATATTTTCAACCCTACTTTCCTTTCTGTGTAGTCAATTGTCAGTCATGGACAAAACAAAATTATCAATCATCGATCAATCGATCAATCGATTGATCGATGGTGATTATTATTCATTTTTCGTACATTTTCTTTCTCTTTTTCAATCAAAAATGTCTGTTGTCTCTCTCTCTCTCTCTCTTGTCACTTTTTCTTCGTTCGTTCTTTTATCATGAAAAAAATAAATTTTGAACTTTGTGTGTGTGTGTGTGTGTGCATGTGTTTTTTATTGAAAACTGAAAATTTTTTTTTTGTCTGTTGTACAAATTGTTGTTTGTTGATGATTATAGTCAAATGGACTCACATAGTCATAAATTGCCAGTATCAGTTGTGTGTGTGTATGAATCATGTCCTGTTTCATGTTCATATCATCATGATTTCTGAATTTGATGATGATGATGATTTGTAATTCATTTTTTTTTTGTTTCATTTACATCATGCGTACATTTGAACACCAATAATTTTTGTGCTATTTAAATCAATCAACCAGCTATAGATCGGTCATCATTTCTGATTTTGCCATCATTCACACACGAAAAAAACTTGATAATTTTTTTTTAATAATTTTCAAATTAATCAAATCAAATATATTAAAAAATTCATGATGGCTAAAGAAAATAAATCAAAAACTGCCAATAATGTTAATGACACTAATAATGATTCTGTGTATTTGAATGACGGTAACATTGTCGGTATATTCCATCTTTTGTCCAATACATCTCACCGATTACCATTTCAAGAATTGATTCGTATTAGTAATCATTCAATTAATATGGTGTTCCGTAATTGTATTGATGAAATAAATGAATTGAATCGTCAGATTTTAACTGATTTAAAATCAATGATACGTCAATTGGAATCATCAACAGGGCCGGCCGAGGCGTCTGTGCAGACTGTGCACCGCACAAGGCCTCGCGCTGCCTTCGCCCTTTCCGCTGTACAACACAGGGCCTCGCAGCTCCAACTTTTCAAGCTATTTTTGCACAAGGCCTCGCGATTTTCTCGGCCGGCCCTGATCATCAATGTAAGTGAAGTTTTTTTTTCATTATCATGTGAAATAATCAAATCTCTTTGTCTTTCGTTTAGTGAATCTGATGATTGACTGGGGCTGTTACGTCGGTTGTTGTACATCAACGATGTTTCTGTAAATTGTTGTAGAATGTTCATTTTTAATTTGAAATTTATAGAAAAAATTGAAGATTGTGCCGCCTCTGGCGTCACAGCCTCGATGAATAGCCCCAGTTGTGTGCGATAAAAAGAGAAAGCACGTGAAATAAAATTAATCATTCTTCTTTCATACTCGAACCCGTCGCTACATAATTGGTGACCCTTGTGATAAATTTTTAAAAAAAAAAAAATTGCAAAAATCAATCATCATCAACATCATCGAACAACAAACGTTATCATAATCGAACGTTATCATAATCGTATCGATTATGGATATTGATACGAGTTTTAAGTGTGTTATTTTGTTTGTAATTTGTAAATTTTGTCATTTCGATTATTTTTAACTTTATTGTCATATCTTTGAATTTGTAATTTAATGTTTTGATTATTATTTGCCCCTATATATTATGGAATAGGGGTTGTCTATGTTTATTAAAAATCATCAACATCATCAAGTATGGATAAGGGTGACGATCCGAAAAAATTCCTGGCGAGAAAACAATGACAAACAAAGTAGAAGCGTGAACAATGTTGATCAATTGATCGATGCTAATCGTTTGAACGAGTTAACAAATTCACCACATGCTGATCAAATTGACCACGAAAGCACTGATGACCAAAATGACGAAGATGATATACAGCAGTCTAATGTAGCACCGCCACCACCAACTGTTCCACCACCGTCAATAGAACATGAACAATCATTCAATAATTTTGTTTCTCCATTCTATCGACAAAATACGACTAATGAATCAGAAGATTCAGATAAAGCTATTCTTGTTTGAATGGCTTTCTTTTTTTCAGAATAGTAATAATAAAACTACTCTATATTAATAAATCTTCCATTTTGTAATTTAAATTCGTGTTTAAATTTAAATTCTTTAGTTGACAATGTTGACAATAGATGTCACACCTACTGTTCTAATTATCATCAGGTTATATTATAACACACAAAGAAATGATTGTGTTCCAATTAAATAAACGAACAATGTTAACAATGGATCATTTGGTAAACAAATTCAATGATAATTCTTTATACGTTTAGTTTTATTGCTTTGGTTCGATAGCTACGATTTTCGTGCAAAAGAATCATCAGGAAAATCGCGTTATTCTTAAATCCCTCAACACACCGAGTATTATGCAATCTACATCCAGTTTTTCAAAGTTTGGCAAATCAACAAATAATGATGAAATTCGTAATGTTGAATATTGTCATCAGGTGGATGATCAGGTTGCCAATTATTTCGAACCAATTATCATGGAATTAAAACTACAACAGGAAAAGCACGTTGAACAAATGAAACGTCAACATGAACAATTGTTGCATCGAATGATGATATTTCGTATGAATATAAGAAAATCTATGCACATCAACACTACATCAAGTGTAGTTCATCATTCTGATTCGAATATTCCTAAAGATGATGATCACAATTCTGAGATTGATATTTGATTTTTTTTCAAATAATTAAATTAAATCTACTTTATGAATTCGATTATTATAGCTTATATATACAGGAATTAAATTAAATTCTCTCATAAACAACGTTATAGTTGAATTGAAAGTGGCATATACATCAATGTTCATTGACCTTTGTCACAACATCCACAAACATTGATCAAAAAAAAAAACCCTACGCCTAAATTGAATTCATGTCAAAAAAAAAAAGTATTTCAACATTGGAAGCATCCATTGGAAACGTCACACAAGTGCAGACAACTTAAAAAAAAAAAAATCGTGCAGAAGCACAAAAATACTGTCTACACGCGATAGAACATCATGATATCATGAAGAGAGAGAGAGAAAACGAGTCCATTTGTATTGTGGATACAAGATGAAGATTAGTCCGAAAGGAACACACTGCAAATAATTGTGTACAAACACACATATTTTGGTTGTATTTTTCAAAGTTGGGTAGTGTACACTGCCATGTTTTTTCTCTGTGTACATACATCTGAATGACGAAACCACATCACCATTATACTGGTTTGAACGTGTATGATGTGTGATGTGCAGATTTTCTTCATTGACATTTTTTTTCATGTATATTTTTTCGAAATTAATTGTTTTCATGCCCATTTACAATTAAAAAAAAAATACGACAAACAAATTTCATTCATACGACTCAGACATTTCATCCTAATGGAAATATATAATCATCATCATCATTATAATTTCGCCTAATCGCCTAGTATTATTTCGATTTGGATATGTGATTTGTTTTGCTACTCTCTTTCAATGTCGATGTGAATTCACACAACAACAACAACAACAACGACAAAAGCCAACGACAGAAGACAGCAGGTGGACACAAATCATTGGATACGATCATAATTGTCATCAACATTTGGTACAGGTAAATCATTTTCGAATTTTTTTTTTTTGACGCAGAAATAGAACCATCAAATGCATGGTGTGTGTGTGTTTGTTTGTTTTTTTTAATTTCTCTCAAGGACGGTAAGGTGCTTTTTGTAGGAGCCAAAAATAAAATAAGAATAAGTTTGTGTTTTTATTGTTTTTGAAAAACAGTAATATTATTGCAGAATTGTCGATCTGAAAAAGATCCAGACTGTCAAATCGAAATCGATTGTGTGAGAACACCCTTCGTTAAAATCAATAACCGTTAGCGTCTGTTTTTTTTTTTGCTTAGAATTGATATAGAATATTATTGAACAAAAAAAAATTTTTGTCAAGTTTGCAAGTGTGTGCATTTGCCCACAAATCATCATGGTTGACGCGGAAATAGCCTACACTTGACATTCAACAACAATAATAATAATAATAATAAGTAGTGTATAATTGTCATTCTCCTGGGCAACGGCGTCATTGTTGTTGTGTATATCGTTGCCGGACACGGGAAAACCTGATCACAATTGAAACCAGCTATTAAAGGTAAACGATCTTTGAACGAAATTTTCATTCACTCTATTCTTTCGTTCGTTTTTCATTCTCTCTCTCTCTCTCTCTGTGTGTGTGTGCGTGTGCGTGTGTATGTATTGAATAATTTATTGATATACAAAATTTTATGATCACGAAACATACATCTTAAAAACTACTACTAATTTTTTTTTATTATTATTTCAATTAACATTTATGAATTGGACAATAAAGAAAAACATGGGCCAACGAAATAAATCAAGTCCAACTCGATCATCGAATCCCGGTTCGCCACTCTATAACAAAGGTATGTGTCACAATGATGATGATACATTTGATAGGACTGCATTTCGATACTATTTTTCATTTTATATGTAATGGAATATCTCTAATTTACATTTTACTGATACATGCGATTGCATACATACTTTAATCGATATATGGTGGATGTTTATGGATAATAATGATGATGATGATGATGATGATTATTGAGTAAAAGTGATCAGATATTTCCAAAGCGACAATCAATGTGTGCATATATAAACATCATATGTATACACACAGTAGCTTGAGCTTAGCAACCACCTATGTGATTAATTAAATAAGTAGAATTGACATTATCATTGAAAAAAATACACAATCTCACACTTTATGTGTAATAAACTGTTTGTCCAAAACAAAATTAAAATTAAAAATAAAATAACGACGAAGAATATTTATATCCATATGATTATCAGATAAAGTTTGGGTTTGTTTGATAAATAAACTGATTGATGTTTAGCAATAATGTACGCTGGACTTCAGCAACAACAACCTCCATTCATAAATAAGAAACGACTATTGGCTAGACATTATTATGGTGATATTATTCGTGTTGAAAATGATATGAATGAATTTTATGATGCCAATCGTCATCGATCAGGATCATCAAAGAGATTCAGTATGAAAACATCATCATGCTCATCCATCCATTCATCAATCAATCATCATCATTTTATTTAATTTTACTCACTTTTTTCTTCTTTTTCTCATAGGTGAATTTACATTTGAAAGCACTCGTCAATTTGGACCAACAAAACAACGACGATGTACAGATTGTGGTTGCTTGTTCATATTCATACTGTTTCTCGGAGTTTGGGCAAGCCTGATCGTATATTGTAAGTTTATTTAGATTGAATATATCATGATGATCATTTAACATTTCATCACTTTCACTGAACTACAGTTTTAAATCATGTAAATATTGAACAAGTGGTTTTTCCGTCTGATTCATTTGGTAATGTCTGTGGTAAAGGAGAATTTAGGTAATAATTCTTTTAAGATCATGCCCATTATATTGTGATTAATAAATCATTTGTTCTATCTAATAACATAGCGATCGTCCATATCTATATTTTTTTAATATTCTTAAATGTGCCGCTGACATAGAAGGTACCATCATAGATGGATGCAATACACCACAGGTGTGCGTCAAAGAATGTCCCAATATAACGTTCAGTGTTGGTGCTTCGAATGAAATGCGTCATATCGAACTAGAACATGCTATCTGTCAATATGGCATTTGGCCCAACAGGAACAATGTATGTAGTTTTTTTTAAACCTGTTTTTAATCCTGAAGATGTTTAACTCTAATCTGGATAATATTAGTTATACCAACTTACCCAGAAAGAATTATGTGCCAAATACTATTTTAAAAGTGATTCAGTTGGTGGACGATGTATCCCATCCATTTTACATTTGATAAATGATCGCTTGTTTGATGAGATTCGCAATCAATCCATTAAAGATGATTCCTCTGATGGTTCAGTCACAGCTGAAGAAATTGTCGAATCTAATAAAGCCATAAGCAAGTTGATGCAAGCATTAACATTGGCTAATCATTTGATCACCGATATTATTAGAACATGGAAATGGATCGCAATGTAAGTTTGGCTAAAGTCGTTTTTTGCTTGGATAATTGAGTTCTTTTGATTCATTTGTTTAGCGGTTTAATCTTGACCATGTTCATCGCTTTCTTGTGGATATCATTCATGCAGTGGATTGCCAGATATATGGTCTGGGTATCGATAATTGCGTTGTTTATATTAAACAGTTTGGTATTATATTATAGCGTCGATCAGTATTTAGATCTGGTCAATAATAAATCCAACAAGACCGATTTGGCTGATCTGAATTCAATCATGGCCAAAGTGGTTCATCCAAATGAAGCTCACCGATATCTACGTACATCTCGGCGTGAACCTGATATGATGGATTTTGATTTTAAAAGTTTGCTCAAAGATAGTCTAGAACCTTATCTGGGCAGTACCAAACTATGGATCATTTTGGCAGTTGTGGCAGGTATCGGCCTATTGGTATTGACTATGATTACATTTTGTTTATGTAATCGTATCCGGTTAGCTGTGGCCGTCATTGAAGAAGCTAGCAAGTAAGTCAAATCGTTCAGAAAATTTAATTCTTCAAGTGTTTACAATTTTTTGTTTTGTTTTTTAGAGCTGTTAATAATACCAAGTCAACGTTGATGTTTCCGTTAGTGCCATTCACTTTGAAAGTCGCAATCCTTACATTTGCATTATTTGCATTCGTTACCATATCAACCGGCTCTCAAGCTCGTTACCGTAATCAATTGACTGGAACTGCATGTAGTCCATTGACGGTAATAACATTTTAATAATTTGCTCAATTTGAAAATATAATTCTTATTTATTCTTAAAATTTGAAAGGAAATTGATAACAATTGTACGAAAATCCGACCATTCGATCGAAGTTTGGTCTATCTGGCTCATGGTTTTAATTTGTTTGCTCTCATATGGGTGCTTTACTTCATCTCTGGTCTATGTATGTCCGTTTTCTAATTTGAATTCAGCTCATAATCTTTTTTTTCAATTTTTTTTCAAACTTTTAGTTTATGTAACATTATCGGGTGTATTTGCCGATTATTACTGGACAAGAGACAAACGTGATATATCATTCTTTGTACTTTTAAATTCATTTGGACGCTGCATTTTGTAAGAAGATCCCCATACTATTAACTTGTTTTTTTGTGTTGTTGACATTCCTTTTTTTTCACTCATAACAATAGCTATCATTTGGGTTCGATTGCATTCGGTTCATTGTTAATTGCCATAGTTCGATTCATTCGAATTATATTAGAATACATTGATCAAAAATGTAAAAAATATCCGAATAATGTTATTTCTCGTTTCTTTATGGGGTTTGTTTATATTATTATCATCATCATTATATTTCATTTTTAAAACAATTTTTTTTTGTTATCATTTCAGCTGCTGCAAATGTTGCCTCTGGTGTTTGGAAAAATTCATAAAATTCATCAACAAAAATGCCTACATTATGTTGGCCGTACATGGAAAAAGTTTTTGTAGCTCAGCACATGATGCATTTCAATTGATCTTTTCGAATGGAATGCGTGCATTGGTTCTCGAATGTTTGAGCGCTTTCCTGTTATTCTTATCTAAATTAGCTGTCACATTCATTTCTGGCCTGATAGCATTTCTGATCATTACCAATCAGATAGAATTTGTTCATTTAGGGAGATTTTGATGATCTCAACTATTATTGGGGTCCACTTGGGGTAAAACGTTTTTACTCAATACACATATCAATGTACTTTGATTCCTTTATTTATTTCAATTTATGATAGGTATATCTCATTCTCAGCTATATATTGACTTCCTCATTTTTCAATGTTTACGATGTTGCAGTTGATACTATATTTCTGTCATATCGTAAGTATTCATTGTGAGGTGGAATTTATTTTATTAATATAGCTAATATGTCTCCTTTCTTTATCATTATTATGTAAATAATGCCTACAGTGGAAGATTGTCACATCAACGATGGATCCAATGAACGTCCCTATTATATGACCAAATCATTGGCCAAAGTTTTTGGTCGTAAAAATAATCAAGCTCACTAATCATTTTATTTTCTTTTAACAATGTCATTTTTTTTGGAACAAATTGTAACATAGTAGCCAAATATTCCACAAACAAAATCATCAACAATATGGAAGCATATGATCTCCAATTGGTAAAGATTGTGAATGCATCCCACTTCAAGGTGTTTAAATTATCACAACAACAGTCGAAATAATCATCCTCATCAAGAACATTTTTTTTTACATTCTGTTGAGATTGCTATCGTTCCTGTTTTTGCTCAATTTGTCTTTGTTAATTTTAATCAATCTTTGTTCATTAGTCATTAATACTTTGTTGCAATACTTTTCAATGTCTCATATAATTTCATTACTAATACTAATAAATGATATAGAATAATAAACAAAATGAAAATGGATAGATAAACAATTCAATCAACCGAAAAGTTTTAATTGAATCTATAATTTTGTCCAACTTGAATATAATTCATTATTATTTTTAATTCTTTTTTTTTTTTTTAAGTTTCTTTAAAAAAAAAAAATCAAAATGTCAATGTCATGATAAATACAATGAATTTGTCTATATTTATATGAGATTCTTCAATAATCATGTGATCTATTCAGTTCAGTGGTTGAAATCATTTCAACTTCTAATGGTTCCAAAAGTTGAAATTTAGCCATAGCCAATTGACGACGATGTTGTTGTTGAACAGTCCAAACAATGTAACCACTAAGCAAAAGGGCCGTTGATAATGTCATTGCTCCAAGTAATAAAACAATTGTAGTCAATGTATTGTGGCCAAAAAAACTATTCGATTCTTCATCACACAATTGATATTCAATATGTTCATTTGTCGGACAGAATCCATGTTGATCGGTTTGGTCAAGTATCGATTCGGCACTTGTCACATCAGTTTCATCGCAAAGCATGAGCGAATAAAACGAGTTCAATTCAATGGCACGTTTTATACATTTATGATGACGATAAATAATGCAACAGGCTGGCCATCGGCTAGCATATTCACTGCCACTGGTGATCGAATTGTCGACATCTTTATCGATTGCCATGTTTTTTACTTCTTCATCAAAATGTTTTGAACATTGATCGAATTTTTTGGCCATTGCTTTTAGACATCTTGGTCTAATCGCACGTTGTATAGCCTGCATTTTAGCCGGAATAATTTCTGTACGAAATATTTCTGATGTTAATTTTGTAAATTGTTCATCATTCATTTTTCGATCATTTTCACATTTGATCAGATGAATCAACGCTAAAACAAACAACAAAAAAATCAATTTCGAATGCATTATTTCTCATAGGGTGTTTGCGAATCACTTGATAATAACGACGATATAAAATGAACAAACAAATCAACACGCAAAGAAAAAAACTACGCAACTCATTCTAAAATGGAACCCGAAACATTGGCCACATTGCATTTAATTGATACAGTATTACTTCTACCTAATGATTTATGCTTTCTATCTATTGGCTAATCCTAATGATGATGATAATTACTTTGGTTATCGGGTGTGGCGACAATATCTATGACAACATTGATTATAGTCAATCCAGATTTTATTGCTTTAATAATCTTTAACATAACAGATGAATGAAATACAATGAGAGAGAATTAATTAAAATTTTTTTCTTTGTAAATTATGACTCGTCAATATCAATCGATTTTTCGAATGATTAATGACTTGTTCATGTTGATTGTGGTTAGTATTCTTGAGATACGTAAATGAATGATGCATTTGCTTCGATTTTTGCACTACATTAGTATTAACATTATCCTCTTCTGACGATGAAGATGATGATGTTAATTGTTCGGCAATCACACTTAAACTGGATGGTCCAGATTTGGTTTGATTCAGATTTGTTGTTTGATTGGTTTTTATAATGGGCATTTCTATCGATTCATGATGACTGCGATTGTTAGTGGATGTCGTTCGGTTGGTCGTAGACAAACCATTTGATCTGTTCAGCGTATAAGATCCATTGTTTGGATTAGTATCGAATGAATATTTCATATCGGAAAAATTTGGCGATCTAATGACAAATGTCGATCTAGTGAGAGAAAAAACTTGGTTCATTAATTTAACTTGAACTTTAAACACTCACCGACACCATAGAAAAAGACTAATGATAGCAACCATGGCGACAACGGAAGCGACAACAATAACGACAATCAGCTCTATATGTTTGTTTTCCATATCTTCCTTTTTATTCAGACATCTATTTGTGCGAATCAATTGAAATTCTCGGCTAATATCAATGTCCAATATTTGTTCGTGATGTTCGTAAATAGTGTTTTCCTCACATTGACATTCGATTCGTAATTTTTTCTCATAATTCGTTACGTTCCAGTTACTATTACAATGACCAGAGAAATTATTCTCTTGTGGACAGGTTTTTGAACACACATCGCTACTCAATTGACATTCGTAAATGAGCAATCCATTCTGCTCGAATGAATGACCAGTAGCATTCACTAGTTGGTTATATTTTTTAAAATGTATACATTCACATTCTATTGATTTTTGTGTTTCATTGGCTGAGAAATGACAAGCAGTTCCAGAATATGGTGCACATTTGTTCAAATTAATATCACATGGCTATTAGGACAAAATCAAAAAAAAAATTATTTCATAAATCCAATGAATAAAATAACCTACATTTTGCCATTGAACATTTAAATTTTCGATCGATTTCAGAATGATTGGTTCGCCACCGTAAGATGAATCAATAAAACACTGGTTGACATTTCCGTCGCGGAAAGGATTGCAATCGTTATGAAGTTGATCTGTTATGATCTTGTTCACTTCTTGTTGTTGCGATACATTATCATGTAACGTCAAAGCTACCGAACAATTCAAATAGGAATGCTGTTTGTCGATAGATATATTTGTACATTTTTCAATAACCAAATTCAAGTTAGGGTATTTGGATTGTTTGACAGTTAGATAACTTCTCATATAGCTTTCTATTGAACGTTCCATTAATATGGGCAAAATGATCTCAAATTGTTGACGAATTAACCCAAAATTATAATCATTATTGGCTTGTTGAAAATCTTGAAATAATTGTTGAATATTGAAATCACCAAGCTTTGGTCGTAGATGTTGTTTGAACTTTTCCAATGGATTCTCATTTTGATATTGTTGTTTGAGCCATTGATTGGCAATATTGTTAGTCCAAAGAATCGATGCTTTCAATGTTTGCCACATGAACATTAGATTCATAGAATAAACATGTGCAGAATAAGTACAGCTATAATAATTAATCAGTTAATTAATCAGATGAATTAATATATTTTCCGTTCACTTACTTTTGTTTATTGTTGGAAATAATTGTTCCATGAGGACAGCGACAAAAATGTAACCAATCGTCATTCTTTGGAACAGAACTATGATCACCTAATGGATCACATTGGGCATTATGTGCGGCACACAAATTAATTATGGCTTGATCTTGACATTGATCCATACAACGAATGATAGATTCATTTTTACCGTTTTCAGATTTATGGATCAAACGTTGGCCAGGTGGACATGTACACCGGTGATACTGTACATTATTTTCATGGTCAGTCAATTGGATCAAGCATAATGCATTCTGTTGCTGACATTCATCAAGCCCATATCCACCAGGACCGCAAATAGATTTCAGTTGACAATTTTTCCCATCAGACGATTGTTGGAAAACTAAATTGCCATCATCCAACGGGACCGAACAATCGCAACGTTTTGTCGAATTAATCTCGATCGGTTCGCGGAAGCCTGGACATTCAAAATTTTCTTCGGGAATTGGTTCACATTGATTGTCATTACTTGAAATTGCTCGGAATCCTTGATTACAAAGGCAAATATAATTCGCGTCACCTTTGAATGAAACAAAACAAGTTCCATTCAAACCGCAAGGTTTTTCATGGCAAGCGTCTCGTTTTATACAATTTGAAGTTGCATCTTCAATATAACCAAAATTAGTATCACATACACATTTATATCGCTCATCGGATTCTTTTCGCCATACTCGATTTTCTGGACATTTTTCGAGAAAGGGTTTGGGAACATCAGCACATCTTTTCAACAAAAAAAAATCAAAAGTCAATAATGTTATAATTTTTCTAAAACAATCTACAACCTTAACGATGCATTGTTCCAATATTTACTGTCAGCCTCATGTTCGCAATCACAGCGGAAACGGTGTTCATAATTCTGACATTTCAAATGTAACTTTTGGCAAATTTCATTATTAGATTTGCGACAATAATTCACATCATGACAATATGGTCCAATAAATCCATCAGGACATTGACAATAATAATGATTACTATTGTTGGCAGAAAAATCAACCAAACAATTTGCCGAATGTTCACAATGATTGTCATGGCAATAGTCATCCATATCTAAATGCTTTATAAACAATTTATCAGCATTCTTCATACTATTATCGATGATACGAATTCCAATTCGTATATATTTCATGTCATAGTATGAACCTAGTTCGAACTCTAGTGATGAATTTGAGATCTTGATGGATATTTGAGTTGTAATATCTTGCATTCGATCATTCAGAACAATAGGTTGCCAACTAACCAATTGTGGTGATGGATTGATCACTTTGAAATTGAATTTATTTCGGATGTTCGTATGGTTTTTGCGTGAATAAGTAATCCATTCACTAAGTAGATACGATGTTCTGGGAATGGAATTTTGTAAAAAATTTTGATTGTTTCCTATGTACTCAATTATGTTTAAATCATTGGTCCAAACATTATTAGGAAAACGCAATGGCCATAATCGTTGCATCGTATTATGTGATTTTTTTCACCCCAACTAGGTAAATAATAATCATTCGGTTTGGTCAGATCAACAACACTTATTGAATCATCATTTAAAATTAATGCGACAATTGATGCATTTGTTTTGTTGGTGGTATCACCTAAATGAGCTGAGAAAAAAGCTTCAACGTGATCAGAATTTTGTGAGGTCCATTCATAAGAACAGATATGCGTTTTTTCGGATATCCAATTGGGTTGGTTTGTCCATAAATAGTCATCGTTGGATGACAATTTTAGACCAAATCGATTCATACTTGACTTTGACAAATATTGCATATTAAAGCAAATGCCTTGATTTTCTAAAACCGTTCGGAAAGTAAAGTTTATAAAAGAATAGCCAGACATCATTGTGAAGTAGATTTTATCCGAATCATTGATTGATTTTCGTAATGATACATAATCGTCCATGAAATTTCCGATCGATTTGAAATTGAAACGATATTGCTCGATTGTTGTAGCTATTGATGTAACATCGGATAAAAATTTGTGTTTTGAATCAGTATCAAAAATAAGTTTCTGTGAGGAATAGGTCCATTTCGGTTGACAGCTAAAAAAATGATTTACATGCAAAATTTACTTCAGCTATGAATAACCAGCATTAACAAACCTTTGTTGTTTCGACCATTCCATTAAGTTTGGCCATGAACATGAACATTCAAAATGAGATGAATTTAAAGGAATACACTGGTTTTTTTCAAATGTATCGTCCAAAATGTTCTGACAAAATGACTGCCGCTGAATTCATTATAAACAAAACAAAAAAATTGAAATCAATGCTATATCAAGAGTTGAATCTGAAATAAAACAAACCTCTATACATGGATTATGATATTGACAATGTTCACCAAAATAATCTCGATGGCAACGACATCGGGCAGCTATGCCTAATTGATAGTCGGCATAACATTCGCCATGACCATTGCAATCGAATTCATGACATTTCAATGGATTCAATTTAAATTCTTTTAATTCAATCTTTGAATTCTCAAATTCTATTTCTATGGCTATCTTGAATAGAAATATTTGTTGCTCATTCGTGGATAGTGCCGTTAATCTATCGAATGTTAGATAATAGTGATCATCTATGTTGGAAGATTTTCCGTTGAGCGTCAAGTTACCAAACTCAATATTAGATTTATTCATCTTGAAATAATATATTAATCCGTCGATACGTTTGGGATTTTGTCCTGCCAACCAAGGTGAAGTTTCGTATTCGAATCTAATCGAATTCAACTTGGGGGCATAATTGTTCCATTCAGTTTCGTATCGAAAAAGACCGGTTTTATCTATCAATTATAAACGTGATTATTATAGGCAATAAAAGAATTTAATTGCTTACCTATGATTGTTTCAATCTCAATCGCGTCATTATTAACATTTGAATAATTTTGGTTCATTTCTTGAATGAGAGATTTCAATTCAAAATGAATAGATTCAAATTCAATTGTGACATTTGTGTAGCTTTCCAAATAGTAGTGAATGGTGAATGAAGTCCAATTATTGAAGATTTGTTCCCAGATAGTAGAGAAAGCGAATAAATTGTCAACCAAACAGTACTGTATTGTTGAATTCTCTGCGTTCAGGATATTGTTGACGCCATAAAATGGAATCATTGATTCCGAATATTCGATGTATGCATTCAGTCTAACCATTCGGTTTCTTTCTCCAATAATTTTATAATTAATCGTTTGACAAAGATCGTATTGACTATATAAATGTTTAGTTTCCAAATCGATTGACATCACTAATTGATTCGTATGGCTTGTTTCATTTTTACTGTACACGAATGGCATTTTGTTATATTTCTTTATAGCAAAATTAACTTTTGGTTCAATACATCTACAGTAATTTAGGATTAGATCATTACAATATAATCTTGTAGGTGATAAAGATATTCACAAGAAAATAATTACCTTTCCTTTTTGTCATCCCATATGACCATGTCATTTTTCAAACACAAACATGTTGCGCCGTTTTTCGTATTGATGCATCCACTTTTACTTTTATCGGGACATTTTTTTCGATATTCTTGATGAATGCAAAAATCTTTGTTTTCACATCGATCACCATAAAAACCTTCTGGACAATCACAAAAAGCCGATGAATTGTTAGGATCGGATAAACAGCGGCCATTATTTTGACATTTGAATAATTCTGTTTGGCAAGGATCACCAAATCCATGATTCAATCGCAATGATCCTTCCAAACGTGATGATGATGATGACAATAAGATCTATAGTTTTCAATTATAAACTCCAAACGAAACAGCTGTGTTTGTGGACGTTTGACCATTTGAAATGAACGATTTTTGAATTAAGATTCAACTGAATTGATCGAACAGAAACATCCGAACAATGACCAAGCTGTGTACAGATTTGTGCAGTAATATGGGTATTATTATCGCTGTCATAGGAATATTCAAATATTCGTGTTGAATTGAAATTGAAATCATTGAATTGAATCCAACGCGATGATATACGCCATGTCATCAATTCATCGTTGTTGGAGAATCGACAATCTGTAGAGTGTTGTATTATATTGATAATAATTTATACATGACATTTAATGTCTTACCCAGATTAAAGTGGATAGCATCACCATTGAAATCAAATGTTCCATAATCATCATATGAGTGAAACCAATCCAAAGGCCAACGATTGATTAATCGATCAAATGATCTTAAAAAGTAGATAGGCGTTGTCGACCGTGAAACGTTCTGGGTTTCGACTTTTAATTCATCTTTATCGATAGTAGACTCGAGAAGAATGGTGTAATTTCGACTGGAAAAATTGATAAATTCTTGTAGGCATATATGACTGGTAGTTTTGAATGAGTCCAAATTCAAAATAGTGATTGGTATGCGATACTTAGCAAGGGAGTTAATGTTCTTTTGATGGATTGAGAAAATTGGTTGCAAAAGATAGGAAATCCGGATTGTAGTATTGAAGACTACATTGTGACTGATCGATAGACAGACATTAGTTGGTGATTGGGTGAGATTTGTTATAATATAAGTAGAATTTGGATATAGTATTCGTTCGGTTGGTGGCTGTTTTTCTGAAGAAATAATTTGGAAATCTTTGAATGCCAGAAAATAGAATCCTGAATAGTATTCGATTTGAAATTTGGATATATTTCCACAATCTAATCGATATCGTAACGGATTCCATCGTTTTGTATAATTACTTAATCTAACAAAGTGATTACAAGTGATTGGATTCTATATTCAAATTACGAATAGTCACCTACATTGTTCTTAAATCGATACGGCCATACGGTAATGTGAGATACAAATCGTGTAATTCGACGTTACGAGCCATTGGAATTTTGACAGGAGGCTGGACATTTTTTTCGAAAAACCAAAGCTAAAATTGAAAGAGAAAAAGATATAACTCTGCCTGGCTGTTGTTTATTAAATTAGTTTAGAATGAAATGATACCTTGAAACTTATTATACAGTTGGTCGAATTAATCATTTTATTATCGATCATCGATTCATTGATACGTAATCGAATTTTTCTCAGATTAATTAGTTGTTCAATGTGATTATCTTGGAAGTAGAAATTATTCTCTGATGATGATGGTGCTGGTGGCCATTCATTGGTGAGAATATCCCAGCCTTGATTATCAATTCGTTCGATGCCATCATCATTATCGAGTTCTTTTGATTCTAACGGTGAGAATAAAATCGTTAGAATGAAAATCGCTTCAAATAAAAACTTATTCATTTGTGTGATCATTGAATGTTGGTGTTCAAAATCAGAATGCCATACTTATTGTCAAACGCCTAAAATTTACCGTTCACTAATCCTAGTGGCAATATATTTACGAATCCTTTTTTACATAGATAAACCATCTGTTTATTCGATATATAATACAACAATCTGTCTATAAATTGATCGCTAAACCATTGTTTGATTCAAAATCGATAATCGCTAATGGGAGTTTTATTACATACGTATTTTATCATTAATTTTTTTTTTTTTTTTTCAAAACAATAATTCCGGCCATTCAAAAATGGAATAAATACCAAAACGTTGAGTAATTGAAATTTTTTTGTTTGTTTTGTGCAACTTTCGTAAACTTTTCTCAATTCAAAATTTTATTTACTTTTTTTTAATGAAATGTTTTCTAAAATCTGTGAAAACTTTTAAATCTGGTTAATCTAATCCAAAGATGTTCTAATATATTAATACAGGTGTACTGTGTGTTATTTTATTTTTATATCGATATCTTTTTTTCTAATTCTTTTTCTTTTTTTTTGAGTGTTTTTTCAAAACTTTTGTCTTGTGATTAAGATGAGAATTGATGATAATTTTTTTTTTTTTTGAAATAATTAGAATGTCATACATTACTCATCATGTTTTGAAGTGCAAGCCCACCGTTTATTTTATTTTTGTTATCGATATCTCTGGCTATAGAAATTTTTTTTTCTAACTTTCGAATGAATGTGCATGGATGTGTGTACGCATGTGCTGGCGCTTGATTTTTTTTTTTCGAAACGTAATAAAAACGCTCGATCTTTTTTGCTTCATTTCAGTTTTCGATTTCGATTTTGATTTCGATTTTCTTTTAGTGTGATTTTTTTTGAGTATATATCGACTTGAAGTTTGAAATTTACCAGATTTAAACTATCATTATATATCTCATTCATTTTGATTTATACAATGAGTTCGAATCGTGGTTATCGTGGTGGTGGCGGTGGTGGGGTGCAGGAAGTAATGGTGGTGGTGGTGGTGGTTACCGTCAACATAGCTCAAAAGTTACTGTGCAAATGACACGTGAAAATGCTCATGTAAGTATGGATGATTAGTAAACTTCGATTTTTCCTTTTACATTTTTTTTTATCAATTGACTTAGGTTCATAATGATGGAAGCCATTGTTATCAACGTGATACTATCCAAGCAAGTGCACGTTTGCCAGTCAATCAAGCTCGTCAAATCGTATCGAATACCGGAAATAACAATGCTGGTGGTGGACGTTACATACAAGATTCTGGTTCTCGCCGTTAACACATCTATATAAGTTAATGGATATTGTTTTATCATTCATACAATAGAATTGAATTTAATGGCAATCTCTATCTATAAGATAAAAAATAAACTTCAAAATTTCATTGTGATCACATGAGTGCTTTAACTAGAAAACTTCGAGTTATCTTTTTGTTTTCTGTTCGATTTCGACCACATTTTGTTGCTCTATTGTTCTTTTTGGTTATGGTATTCCGACTATATGAAATTGAATATGGCTGTCTTTCACCACCAGTGGTCGTCATGTTGTTATTCATTACTTTATCGGAAATGCTTGGTTCATTCTGATTCGGCACTATACGTTGACTGCCAATTACAGTCTTGCTAATGCCTCCTGTACCAGCACTAAATGAACGTGAACCAGATTGTACTCTAGATAATTTATCCACAACAAATACACTATCAACATTCGGTGTTGTGGCCAATGTAAATCGAAGTTCTGTTCGTTGTGGTTGTTGTCGTTTTCGTTTTTTTTCACTATATTTTATTTTATAAATTGCTTTACATTTTTTATATCCAACCAGACAAATAAGAACAATAATTCCTGTAGCAACTATTGTTGAACCATAGATGATGATTGTCAATAACCATTGTCGCCAATTTGATTTGAATGCTTCACATTCAGGTGAATTACCATTATTATCAATAGTGACTACATGTTTATCATAACATTTTGGTTGTATTCGACATGGATTTTTTCTAATAAACTTACACCATACATCATCAGCATCATTATTCATATCCAGGCGGCAATGTTGTTGTAAACATTTACACATAAAATATTCACTACAACATTTTAATAGAATGATTGATCCAGATTGGCCAGCTATTATATTGTTACGTTCATTATCACAGGTTACATTTAACATGGAAGCATTAACTTTGTTTACCATTTTGAAAACCATTAACAACATTATTATTATAATTGCCATATATCGATTTATTGATTCCATTATTATAAATCAATCAATCGGATTGAATCATAACGATTAATCTTATGCAATTGATCGTTTAATTTATAAAGTAAACCCTTATTCCGCTCGCCCCCAAAAAACAAAGTAATAATTCAATTAAAGAATTATTATTGGATCGATTTTTTATTATTATTATTCAATATAATTCATGTATACTACTACCCTCCACAGATGTCAGTAATGATTGGCCAAAAAATAATTGTCCACCGAATGTAACCTTTACTGCTAGAAGCAATGTTAAATGTTGTATATATACCACAAAACGATCAACTATAGATTCGAAGTTTGGGCAACAAGTGGTCGACACTTTTGCTTTTGGGCATATATATTAATAATATGATCTCATTGTTCGTGCACATAATAAATAAATAAATGCATTTATTATGAACCAAATCTACTAATGTCTAACTGTCACAAGGTAAACGCATTTTTTATTTGGAACAATATCACACACACACAATGTAGCCCCACAAATGATCATCACATCAGCCAAAACCAGCTGTTATTTTTTTCAAAGAATGAATTTCTCTTACTCACTAAAGCGTAACGTGAAATGAAAAAAAAAATCAAAAAAACGACAACCACAACAACTACTGTCTCGTGTTTGTTTGTGTATGTATGTCTCATACATAACATTTCGGCCATAAAACGCAATCATTTCATCAATCTTTCTTGTCGCATTAATTTAAGAAAGATAGATGTGATTTTTATTATTAACGATCCACAAGTAAGTGAAAATTCAAAACATTTACCTTAAGATTGTGATTGTTTACTGATTTTAGGATTTTGATATAATTGTGTCTATACATTTGGTTGATAACGTATCCATACGTTTGAATGTTATGAAGAAAAATCGATATTCTCAATCGGACTATGAAAAAGTGACCAAAACTAGTCATCATGGGCCATCATTTGAAGATTACTACCGGAACAAATTTTCAGATTTTTATCATGCTCCATCATCAGCAACAACAGCAATCGTTGATGATCGACCATCAGTAATAACAGAATTATTAGTCGATAAAAGATTAAAAAAATCATCCATGTCTTCTTCAACAAACAATCGCAAGATCATGCGCCATGATAACAACGTCCATATTTCATCACAACTACAATTCGGCGGCATTGGTGGTGGTGGTGGTGGTGGTGGTTGTATGATGCCATTTCAATGTCATAATATCAATGTAGAGCAACAACAACATGATCAACAGCAGCTATATCGAACTACCACGGTGACCGATTGTCATAAAGATGATGTTGATGATATGTGTGAAGATCATTCCATGAACATGTTGAACAAACATTCAGATCATAGAAAATTATCGCCTAACATAGTAAAAGTTCGTTCAAAAATTATCACATTAGCCAATGAGAATACCAACAATGGTGATGAGAATAAATGTTCTACGATTACGATGAATATCAAATCATCATCATCATCACGACAACCACTTAAAAGTAACGGTGGTGGTGGTAGTTCTACGACCAGTGGATGTTCCACACAAAGTTCATCATCATCAATATCGATGCCATCAGCATTACAATTGTTTCGTAATCAATCAGCTGCCAATATGCTCATAAAAAATGATGACCGTTTCCATTTGCAAACCAATAATAGTTTAATGGATGTAAAAGAAGTAAAAGATGAAATGTCATCACCTAATTTATCATCATGGGCATCTAGGCGTCATTGTTCGTTAACATTATCATCAGGCACATCATTATCGTCATCATCATCGATTTCGTCAAAACCATCACCATCGATACGTACGTCTGGAACACAGTGGGAAAATGTTGGTGATTTTATTGAATCTTACGAACATAGTTTGCTGTAAGTATTGTGTTTATGATAGATTTATCTTGTATTTCCTGTCTTATATTTTCCATATTTGGTTATTGACAATTGTCATGTTTTTATAAAATAGACAATGTTTATCCAGCATTCAACAACAATGGATTCATCAAAATTCAAATATTTCATCGACTAGTCGAATAATAGATGACAACAACCATAACAAAAATGATTGTGATGATGATGATCACAGTGCCAACGATAGTCATGATGTTAATGACAAACAACAACATTTTCATTCAACATCATCAAATAATGGACATAATAGTTATGAAAATGGTGATTGCATCAAACATACTAACCAAACGCTGCAACAATCATCCAACCAAAACCATGTAAATATGAGATCATGGACATCGTCACCTAATCAAGAGGACAACAACAACAGAAAACATTCTTGTTATAATGTAAATGAACCAAACATGCCTGAAAAAAATTTCACTACCGATTCCGATTCCTCATCCACACACCAATTACAATTACGTGATTGGATTCGAATACAATTGGCCAAAGTTGCCCATCTTCGCCAACAATACGAACATGGCAATCGATGTCAAGAAGCATTGGTTAAAATGGCCAAATTATCTACCAACAGTAGTAATCGTTGTCGAAAAAATTGCTATCGTGAATGGCGTTCAAATGAACGAATGTTACAATCATTGGCCGCCAAATTACAATTAATGATTGGTTCGTTTGAGATTCGCGTAGAAAACATTGAAGGTTGGGCTCGTATTTGTCCGCGGGATTATTATGAATTGGAATTTCGCCATGGACAACATAGGCAAATTTTGCGGGTTAAAATTGTTGGTCGTCAATTGCAAAGGATATGGGACTTTGACATCAACACTGTCCGATTTCAGGCTTCTCTTCAATCGCATATTACTTGCAGAATAAGAGAAATGAAGTCTGGCCTATGGAGATCGCTAGCAGTTTGGCCAGCCAGATATCGTTATGTCGACATTGGTACAACTTCGATTTCTCTAGCCGAACTATTACAATCAGTTGCCAAACAATGTCCCTTGTTGGTTGATTGTAACCCAAGCGGATCGCTCAAATTACGACTGAATTGTCAATGGAATCCGAATTGTCAGGATGATATTAACATTGAAATGGACAAGAAAGAATCTACCATACGTAGGTCGAGCCGTCGATTGCTATCTTCACCATTAGTTCAGTCAACTGGCCGTTTGATTCGTCGTGGTTCATGGATGACGCATTCCGAAAAATCATCGTCGATGATGAAACGAAAATGTAGTGATCAATTAGAACAACAGCAGCAACAAAGGGGGTCATTCGGTATTAATAAAAATATTGCACGATCATTATTATCATTACCTACATTCATTTCTTCATCAGATTTAAGTGATGCCTCGGGCACACATACACTCCCTTTTCGGATTAAAGCTATTGAATCTAATCATCATAATGATGGCGTCGATGATGATGATGAGAACAATGAATGCATTTCAAGTTCAGATTCATGGCCTCATTATTCTTTAAGACCTTGCTCTCAAACATCATTTTCTCCATCTTCGTCTCAGATTGAAACGAAGAATCAATTGGAATCAATGGTAATGATGCTAAAAACATTGCAAGCCTCATTACAAGATCATTATGGTCAATCGATTGAGATAACTCTCATGTCACAAACGGTGACACGATTGATTACCTTGTATGAACGATTGATGACAAAACTAACAAAATCTCAACCACACAATCAAGATGAGATTTCTGACGATGAACATTCAAATAATTTAAGCTCTGATAATGACAACGAATGTCTCTCTCATGATCAGCATCAGACTAACGAGTTTATTGAACAAGCTTTCGAATTTCTCGATCATTCTGACACGAATGACCATGATAACTATAGAAGCAAAACCCGTATTCTCGCTTCATTTGATTCGAATGAATACGAACGAATGAATCGACCGCATTTGGAATCATCGCCATACTTGTCAAAAGATCAAGTTGATATCAATGAACTAATATTCCAGTGGAATCGATTACTTGCCATCCACCTTGAATCGGCCACCGAACAACTTAATTATGTTGGCACATGGATTCTAAAATCGAGAGAACAATGTGCACTTTTTCGTTTACAGGCTGACACATTTGCCATGGAACAAATTTATTTAATTTTATCGTCTATTTTTAAATATTATGATCAGAATCGAAATTTCCATTTTCTTAAAAATCAACCATTCGGTATGATTGGCATTAACAATTTATTTTGACCTTATTAATTTTTTATTTTTTTTTCGCACATAGGTCAAGATGACCGAGTTTTGGAATTAGTCCGACATTTATGTCCATCAAATCATGATTATTCTTTGATCTTTTCATTTGATCAATTCTTTCATATTCTATCATCGATGATGCACAATTACATTTTGATAAAAGAATCGAGCATCAATGATTGTGAAGAAATAGATACTTTGTTTCAACACTCAGCTCAATGGTTGGCATTATCGATACTATCTTGTGGAAGCAATTGTTTCATCTCATTTAGCAGTCAAAAACAGTTATCGAGCACAGATATGGTTACCATATTTCATGTGCGTGCTTTTTTTGAATTAAATCTATTTGATCGTCATAATTACCATTGTTTTTCAAAAATTGATGGATCAATGAAACAAACCCGAATACAACCAATGCAATTGGCTGATTTTTTTCACACAGCTTTTGATCTGAATTATTTGATGGCTAAAATACGTACGATAAAATGGCCTCTGTTGAATGTAGAAAAGATTTTATTCGGAAAGTTTGATCCACAATGTGGATGGTTGCCACCTGATTTAACATTACTTTTGTTCAATCTACTATATGAACATCATTATATGCATGAATCTACAATTCGTAAAAATTGTCATTCACGCATCAATTATGAATATTCACCATCTAATTCAGCACGATCTCTTGGTGAAGTGAAAAAATCGGACCGTTTACGAGAATTATCTCGTTTAATCAATCAATGGTTAATGTATCAATGGCAGCAATCACGGTTTGAGGTACAATTATTCATTATCCAATATTTTTATTAATTAGTCTTATTTTTGCACTAGATTCGTGAACATATCCTTGCTGGCTTAGAATCCTCATGTCCATCAACTCGCCAAGCATCTTGTTATGGTATAATGCATCTATTTTGTCTCATGCAACGTATCCAATCTCCTAATGAACCATCATTTATGGCGATGAAAGTTTTTTGTGGTAAAGAGATGGATTGTCTTCTTTATCTCTCAGTGGAAGATCCCGATAATCGAGTACGTGATGAAGCTCAAAATTCACTTCAATACTTAAGTTCATCATTGGGTCAACAAATGGAAAGTCGCCAAATGTCTTTTATTTTACCCCGAAGCTACTCTAATAGAGCAGCTAAAATCAGAAATTGTCCAACATCATCACCAAAATTACGGAATTCATCGCCACAATCAATTACAATGTTCCGAAATGGTCATAGTTGGGTTTCTGATCATTCAAAGAATGCTATGCCTATTACAGTATCAAATCCAATTCTACGAACTAGTATGCCCAATTTATCCAGTCTTGCCAATGATATGGAATCAATCCGATTGAAATAACATAATTTTTCATGCCATATTTTTAGATGTAAATGATGATCGATTTTATGATTGATTGTTAAATTTTTTTGGCATATAGCTGTTGCCATTCTTCCATTTTATTGTTATAACTTATCATAGATAATGTCAAACAATGATTTTTTTTTTCATAAAATAAAAATTGTTCTTTATTGTATATCAACATTTGTGGATTTTTATAAATTCTCGATTATTATGATTGCGATTAAAAATGCACAATGCAGAAACACCCATTTGTAATGATTATCAATGTTTGTATTGTTTTCCGTATCTGATCAGACGATTAAACAATGAATAGGAATTTGGTAATGATTTGATTTCTGTATTGAATATCGTATATGATAATAACAAACAATGATCATTTTGTTTTGAATGATTGTCATGTATTTTAATTTTTTTTGTTCTGGTTTTTTTTTCATATAAAATCATTAAATATTCTCATTAATAATGCAATTATTTTCAAATTTTGTTTAAAAATTAATGAATACAAAATGGCATCTAAATACTTTTTATTATCATTGACTTTGTCATTATTAGCCATCATCAATTTTGGTAAGCAATATTAATTTTTTTTTATTGATTCAATATATTGATCGGTGAATATTTTTTTTTCTTCCAAAAGTCTATTCTGAAAATTTGATTATTTCGGAATCCAATGATTCATTGATTGAAGAAATTGACAATGTTATTAAAAGAGCTAATGATTTTCTGAAAACGGTAGACAACAGTTCATTTATATCAAAGAAAATTAAAGAATTAATTAAAGATGTTGAAGAAGATAAAAAAAAATATCTTGAATCTGACAAGAATGATTTTCAAAAACGTCACACCAAACACGATATTAAAAAATTGACTGATTTCTTGGATAAATATCAACCTCCAACTTCCACAGTACCAACAACCACAACCACGAAACCAACAACGACAACCAAAAAACCAGCCCCAACAACTAAGAAACCAACAACCACAACCACGGAACCAACAACACCAACTACGAAACCAACAAACTCAACCACGAAACCAACAACACCAACTACGAAACCAACAAACTCAACCACGAAACCAACAACACCAACTCCTGAACCAACAACCACAACTACAGAACCAACAACGACAACTACGGAACCAACAACGACAACTACAGAACCAAAAACCCCAACTCCTGAACCAACACCAACAACCAAGAAACCAGCACCAACAACTACAGAACCAACAACCACAACTACGAAACCAACAACGCCAACTACGAAATCAACAAACTCAACCACGAAACCAACAACACCAACTCCTGAACCAACAACCACAACTACAGAACCAACAACTCCAACTACGGAACCAACAACGACAACTACAGAACCAAAAACCCTAACTCCTGAACCAACACCAACAACCAAGAAACCAGCACCAACAACTACAGAACCAACAACGACAACCACAGAACCAACAACGACAACCACGGAACCAACAACCACAACCACGGAACCAACAACGACAACCACAGAACCAACAACGACAACCACGGAACCAACAACGGCAACTACAGAACCAACAACCACAACTACCGAACCAACAACTACGACTACCGAACCAACAACGACAACCACGGAACCAACAACGACAACTACAGAACCAACAAACTCAACCACGAAACCAACAACACCAACTCCTGAACCAACAACCACAACTACAGAACCAACAACAACAACAACAAAACCAACAACGACAACGACAAACCACAACCAAACTACAGAACCAAAAACCCCAACTCCTGAACCAACACCAACAACCAAGAAACCAGCACCAACAACTACAGAACCAACAACCACAACTCCTGAGCCGACAACGACAACCACGAAACCAACAACGACAACCACGAAACCAACAACCACAACCACGGAACCAACAACGGCAACTACAGAACCAACAACCACAACTACCGAACCAACAACTACGACTACCGAACCAACAACCACAACCACGGAACAGACAACTACAACTCCTGAACCGACAACGACAACCTCGAAACCAACAACCCCAACTACGGAACCATCAACCCCAACGACGGAACCGACAACACCAACTTCTGAACCAACAACCACAACCACGGAACCAACAACCACAACGACAGAACCAACAACCACAACGACAGAACCAACAACCACAACCACGGAACCAACAACCACAACCACGGAAAAGCCAAAAAAAATCATAAACGAATGTCCTGTCTATGAAGAACTTGGTCCTTGTTTATGTTATCCATCATCTAAAACAATAATTTGTCCAAATCTAAATCATTCATTCATCGCGGAGTCATATAATTTTTCAAAATTTATAATTGAGAATCAAACCGGTGTAAAAAAATTGGATTGGCCAGATAATGTTAATATTCATGTGGAACAACTAATTATTCAGAAGATGCGATTTCGTAACAATCGATGCTCAAGTATTGAATATTAATGGCTTAAAAACTTTAACAATAATTGATATGCCTCATCTAATTTTGAACATCAGTATGATTAATATTGAATTATCTACACTGATAATATACAACATTTCTCGAATCGATCAGATAATTACATTGCAAAAACTAAATGGTCTAAATGAATTGACAATCGGACACGTAACTGGATTTCCTTCCGGTCAATTTGAATTATCTTTTCATTCGATAAGATATCTGGCCATTATCGATACAGATCTCAATGGAATATTCACACTAGAAACAGGAAACAATTGTCAAGAAATAATTCTCAAACAAAATAATCAATTAAAATGGTTAAATATTACCGATTTAGAAATAAAAATGATATTTTTGTAAAGAAAAGTAAACAACAACCTATAATGATCAATTTGTCTGACAATGAAAATTTCGATCCACAATTTCTTCTTTACATTGCAAACATTTTCAATCAAACTCAATCCAACAATCAGAATCCATCAATTATGATACGTATGAATCATGTACCCGTTCAATGTGATAATTGTACATTATATAAATTAACTAATAGACACAAATCAACATTACGATTGTTAAATGTATACTGTAAAGATGTTGGGGAATATCTAGAATATCTTGGACCAAAATGTCGTGAATAGAGAATAAAAATTTATTGATCAAATCTGGTAATCTTATATTATTTTGCATATTGGGATGTGTTTTTTTTTTGAATTTTTCAGCCTGCAGCAAAAAAAAAATGATGAATTAACACAATAGTGTGAACCATCATCATCATCATCATCTATATTCATCCGCATATATTTGCAAACAAACACACCTACACACACATAATAATAATATACAGACATATACAAACCACCCACAGACAGTTTTTTTTGTATATTTGTATGTTTGCATAAGAGGAGCCGCATTGTTTTTGAATTTATTCGACTTGATGATGATGATGATGATGAGTGCCAATCATAATAAAACTTTTTTTTTTTTTTTGTTTACTCATCGATCCTGTCAAATGTCGAACATTTCAGCTAATTTGAAATGTTCGGTTTTTCATCGATGATGTTGATGATGATGATGATGATGATGATTGTGGTTTGATCGAAGGATCAGATGCAATGATGATGGTGTGGCAACAACAACAACAATGTAAATAAATGGTCTGCCCTCCTATATTTTTTTTTTGTGGTTCAGATTTGTTTTATTTTATTTTTGTTGGTTGGCTTTTTGATGATGATGCGGCCAATAAAAAAAAACGGCAGTATGATGGCCCCGAACATTGTGTAAACAATATGTAAATCGAGCCATTTGAATCAGCTATTTCGGTTCATTTGTTCATTGAGACCATATGCATGAATTATTACCATTATCATCAACATCAAAAATAACTTTACATCTTCCATCCAATATATTTGGTAACAAATCAACCAATCTTGACCGATCGATCGTTGTTGTTGTTGAGTTGAATGGCCAATCGATAGATTTTTTGTGACATAATTATGTACATTTTTGTCATTGTTCAACTAAATGTGTAATGATTATCACACAAAATTGCTATTAGTTTTTTTTTTTAGTTCTTAGGTCAACATTGAAACTACCAACTATGGTCAGTTGTCTAGTATCAGATATCAAGTGAAATGTAACCCTTAGTATCAAAAATGAAAAAAAAAATTGGCCAAATGGATTTTACTGGATGTGTTGAAAACTTGAAGAAAAATATTCCTAGTATATATATATAGAGAGAGAGCTGTTATGCACAAATCATCAGACCAAAACTAATTCCATACTGGTTGACATGATCAATCCAGTCAAGATTCTTTCTTTTTTTCTTCTGTATGATCCGATTTGCGCTAAAAAAGATAGATCGATGTGCGTGTGTATGGAAAAATGTTTAAAAAAAAAATAAGCTTTAAATGTCAATTCCTAAACAATCAACCAAGTTATCACTGTCATTCAGTCAACGATTTTGATTACATTGAACAAGATGAATGTAAAAAAATGAAAACAAAACAAAAAAATTCATGATGATACCATCTGTGGTCGTCTTTTCATTGGACAAAAAAAAAAGACAATCATTAAGCAATCCACTCATGAACGAAAGAAACAGTTTATTGTTCAAGAGTTGGTATATCATCATCATACCCATATATAATTTGATTATGTGAGAATGTTTTATAGCAGCTCTGTAACATCATACTGCAACAGTATCGATCGTTTTTTTTTCTTTCTCTCTCTTCATTATAGATTCGATTTCGTTTCCATCATTTGTGTGTTTATTATGACGCAAAAAAAGTGAAAAAAAAAACCATCAGAGGAGACATGCCTGAAGATAATGGTGATGCTTAATATTCGCGGATGGATGCCAGAATCTACAGCATTTGTTAGAATCGGATAAAAACGCTGCTGCTGCTGCTGCTGCTACCATTCATATATATCCTATTTATTTTAATGAAACAATAAATATAATGTGTGCCCATCATCAAAGTATCAACATATCTGTAGGCGGAAAGTCTATAGTTTGTTAGTCGCTATATTTTTGTTATTTATGTCTGAAATAGGCGGTACCAATCATTGGTTCAGATTTTACAATATGGATATTGTTCATCTGTTTATGTGTGTGTCAATTTAATGTAACTTACATAACATGGAAATGTAGTGGTGGTGGTGGTGGTGGTGGTGTGGTGGTGGTGGTGGTGGTGGTGGTTGAAAAATAAACAAAGTGAAACAATTTTCTTTTGATTTTCGTTTTTTCTTTCTGGTTTTTGTTGCAAAAATTTTTTTTTTTTTGCCATCGTTACATCCTACTTGTGTCAGTGTATATATATATTCTGTATATTGGATGTTTTGTTTTTTTTGCTTTGCTTTGCTTTGTTTTTGGTTTTTGGTTTTGTAACGAAATTACAATGTTCACATCAAATGAATTGAACCTCCTTATTTGTAACATTGTTCAATACTTTTATATAGCTCCTCCTTTCTCTATATTTCATTGGAATGAAAAATCCCAAAAAAAAAATGGTTATATGGAAGTATAGATAGATAGATATATTGAACTGATTCAAGTGTGAATCAAATATTTTGCTATGAAAGCTGTGAACGAGAGAAAAAAAAGCAACAACAACAACAACAAAACCTCTAAAAGATATCATCAGAGAATCGAAAAAAATATCAAAATTATTGAAAAAGAAGAAACTTGCAAAGGAAAAAAATCCAATTCGTTTTTTGTTACCTTTGTCGTCAACACAACGCAACACACACACACAAACACAATTACAGAAGTAAAGCAAAGACCAATTTGCTACAGTAAATTGAAAAATTATTGGTGGTTCAGCTTTGTTATAGCGACTTTTAAATAGTGAACATCATCATCGGAAACAAAACAACATTGATTGGCCAATTGCTGATTGTTAATTTTTTTTAAATGTTACGTATGAATCCTGAAACACAATTGGCTAATAATAACGGTGATTATAATCATCGAATACCGTCACCACCACTATCAAATGATGAAGAAGATGAAGAAGTTGAAGTAGATGATAGAATTCAATCGACTACAATGCAAATAAAATCATCATCTAATATAATCCTTGATAATGAAGATGAGCTTGATGATGGTGACAATGTTGATGATGATGGTGATGTTGATGATGATGATGATGATGATGAGGATAATGTTGATGCCGAAAATGAAATTAGTATCTCAAAATCTGTTCGAAATCGCCGTAAATCAACCAAACAAATCGACAACAGTAGTGGCCTTCGTAAACCTAAATGTGCTCGTTGTCGTAATCATGGAATGATATCCTGGCTCAAAGGTCATAAACGACATTGTCATTTTAAAGATTGTCGTTGTGCTAAATGTAATCTCATAGCTGAACGACAACGGATAATGGCTGCACAAGTTGCTCTCAAACGACGACAAGCGGCTGAAGATGCAATAGCTATCGGATTACGAGCAATGGCAACCGGAGCACAGGCCGTTAATGGTTATTTACCACAAGGACCAATATTTGGTCTAGAAATAACGGAACCAGAAACAAAAAGATCTAAATATTGTCAAGATTCAACACCACCACCAGAAATTAAAGAATCAGAAATAGCAGCCGATATTCCAATTGTCTCTAAATCATGTGTTGAAAAGACTAAACAGCCATCACCATCAATAACATCGAAAGGTAATTCGAATATCGGAAGTAATGGCAAACGGAATACAATTAAAGCTCAATCTGGCAAATCGAGTAATGTACGATGTTCAAAATCAGATTCTACTATTATTAATCGACAAGAAAATGAAATGATCATGGCCGATATTGTTACACCTGTCAATAGAGCTAAATTATTGGATGAAAATTTATCATTATTGACTGATGTTGCCGAAGATTATCGTTCTGGACGTGCATCACCAATATCAACATTGACTCGTCTATTTCCGGAACAAAAACTTCAAGTCATAGAACTAGTATGGCAAGCTACGGAACAATCAATGATTAAATCTATAGAACATTTTCTATCGATTGATGAAGCAGCAGCATTAAAACATAATCTAATGCAAAAAGATCATAATCTCAAGAGTTTGTTCTGTAAACATCAAATCAAACAACAAACAACAACACCACCACCGTCATCAATTCCTGTTCAACATCAACAATTGAAATGTAATCATCAATTATCATCTCGAATTACGACCGGCAGTAGTATAAATCAGATCAGTCATACCAATCGACAACAACAACAACAGCAACAACAATCAAATCAATCATCATCTTGTAATTCAGATATAATAACTCATCAATCAATGCCACAATCATTACCTTATGATTACAATAAAGCAACTGCATTCTATAGCCATCCATCATGGAACACTCATCTTGTACCACCTTCAATATCTACGGCTTCAACATTACCGATGACTGCTGCATCAATTTCCACACGAACAACGACAACAGCACTGCCATCACTTCCGCTTGCAACACCATCACCATTGTTACTATCAAGTCATAATACACTTCCAATTCATGGTAACAATAATCATCATCATCACCATCTTCATTCATTTCCTTTCAATCCAATGTTCAATAGCCCATTTTTTCCGTTTCCAATGAATACGGCGGCCATTCCAGTTAGTTTGCTACCACCGTTGCCTCATTCAATCGATACGGGTCGTAATCAACATCATCATAATGATTCCTGTTTCAATTGTGACGATTCTTCTACATCTTTTTCATCGAAAACAAGCAATAAAATAATGCCACAACATATGATGGGCTCAACATCTACACTATATGGTATAACACCCATTGTAACAAAGTCTAATTGCAACAAACTTAACATGAGATCATCTCACGGATCTACATCGACATCAGCCAATGATGAACGAATATTCAATGTGTTAGCTAGTACAAGTCCAATGATACATTCTGAGAATTCAACTACATCTCCTACCTCATTGTCACGATCATGTGGACAGTTATTAACACCGGTGCTGCCATCGATTATGATGCCAATGTCACATACATCCGGATCATTGTTACCATTAGTGGCCGATTCATCGAATTCATCACCACCATTACTTTCGGCAAACACCACCACCACCAATAATTTACCTTCCATGATGAACCATTTATTGTTTGATCCATTCCATCGTCATTTAGCACATAAAGCACAACTACCAAAAACAACAATGATGGACAACAATAGTTTGGCCGATACATTTCGATCCAATCGTATGCATGCAAGTGCAAGTAATAATTCGGATGCTGTCGATTTGACCAAAACAGTCTCATCATCATCAGCTACGTAGTAGTAAATTATCGATCAAATGAATGAATTTATCTTTAAATGTTTTTTTTGCCTAAATTTTTTTGTTTCATTACTCAATTTATCATTGCTAACCCGTTTGAAATTAAACAAAACAAAACAAAAACAAATTTTTTCACTTTATGGATTCCATTTACTTTTTTATGTTAATTCAATATCAGTATGCAAGACAAATAGTTTGATGATCAAATCTTTTGATGGTATTGAGAAAAACTGCTAAACACTGCTACACACACACTCTCTCTCTTTTTTTTTTTCTCTCAATCATTCTCGAATGAACGATGAACTGAATTTTGATTTGATTCATTGGATCAATATTTACATTGTGAAAATTGCCTGAAAATGAACAGCAGCCAAGCCACTACATACACAAATATTACATACAGAGAGTCTATTCTTTTGAATCGTTTGTTTGGTGTTTGATCTGGCTAGATTTTTTTCAACATTGCACGTTAATAGGCCAGCTTGTTTCAATATAATTCGATTGTCGATACCCGAGATTTTATTTTATTTTTTTTTTTTTTCTAGAATTATATTTGGTTCTTCGTTTCTCTCAATTTTTTTTTGTTTGTATATGTTTGATCCGACAAGAATCCAATTAGCATTGTGTATATACCACCAAATCAAAGCTCCACCTTTTTGATGTTTTTACTTGCCAAACTTTGACAAGCTTCTTCAAAATATGTGTGTGTGTTCTGGGGTTAGACACACTAACCATGACCACATCGTTTGTGACACAGGTGTAGCCTTTTGCTGTTGTTGTTGTTGTTGTTTTTGTTGTTATGGATTGGATTCTATTGGAGCCCACCAGCCACGAATCATTTCAATTGTATTCCATAGTTGCACGCAGGTGGCCACAAACATTTTATGGTCTAATTTTTTTTTTATATGTTTGTCATCCAATACACGAACCACTTACTTGGTGGCCTTTTAAATGTATGTCTATGTGATCGTGATCCATGGTAATCAAATAGTCCAAATAAAGAAGAAGAGAGGAGCTCTTAACATAACATATCTGTTAATTTGTAATGTCAACACATCAACAATCATTCTATACAGATACAAAAGAATAGTGAGACTAGACAATAGACCTATGTGTGTGTGTGTTTGGGTCAATTTGTTCATTTTTTTCTATCTATATCTCTCTCTATCTCACTTGAAACCGACAGTTCAAGTGGTGGTGATCTTCAAAGAAGATGAGTTATAAAGCAAATTGGCCCATTCAAAGAATCAGGTGGTGTGGCCCTTAGGTGATGATGATGATGATGATGATGATGATGATGTGGACCACCTTGGCTGCTTCTACATCCTATCAAATCTTATCTATATATTCTATAAGGCCATATAATAATAAATATGAACAGCAGTGCCGAATAGGAAAAATATATATTCGGTAAAGTTTTTGTTCATGGGAATATTTTATTCAATCTAATATTTGTCCTTACATTAGTGGCCATTGGCCATAAAGTTTATCTTTGAAAAAAATTTAATTTTACAATTTTTATTTACACATATGTGTATGACAAGTGTTTTTTTTTACCAAAATTCGTTAGGTTTATGACACACACACACACACACAACACACATGCATATAGAGAAAATGATGACACTAATCTGACAGTAAATATATGGTTAGTTAACATGTGTTATAAGTTCCTAATCGATTGGACTCTTTCTCTCTCTCTCTCTCTACACACACACACACACACAAAATCTTAAGATCGGATTATATCCGGATTAGTGATTTTTTTTTGTGATAGTCATAATTTTCATATACACAGATATGGTTCATCATGAGTTCTATAGTTTTTTTTCCAATGTGACTAATTTACATGATAAACACAACGTGTGTGTCCAATGTTTTCATTGGTTTACTTGATTGACTTGTCAAAAAAAAAAAAAAAATGTCACCATTAATGCATTATGCATATACAGAAAAATTATCCATGTCAAAACACAAAATGAATCTATCGATGAATTCATTCGTTTTTTGTTTGAATAAAGGCGTCATGTCTATTGTCGCCACCTGTTGTCCATAGTTGAAATGAAGATAATGATGACACACACATCAACTAGGTCACATTATCCATGATGATGATGATACATCTTTGGACTTGGATATTGACTCGACAAACTAGTCTTGTCTCATCAACAAAGAAAATAAAAGAAAAAATTTGAGAGAATAGAGCCAGTCAAATCAATTAGAATATAGTTCATCACTGGACATTTTATATACATTGTTGTATTGTATCCTTCTTTTTTTTCAATGATTTTGTGTTTGTCACACACAATCATAATAATAATAATGGCTATTATGGTCATATTATTAAATTTACTTTCGGATAATTTTTCTGTTTTTTTAATGTGAATTCAATTTCAGTTTAAAAAATAAAACAACATAAAATATATCTTGTATAAATTGTCACAACATCCATCCATCAATCAATAATATATTGTGGATGAATGATTAGAAATAGAATTCAAATGACAATATGAATCGATAATAATCTAGTTATTGACAAATAAATGGTAAATTGATTTCTCCGATTAATAGATTTCAAATACACATGAATGGATGAATAAATAAATGGATAATTTTTTTTTTATTATCCATTATGTTTAATATTGCTAGCTAATGCTTTCATATGTTCTTCACGGCCCCAAACTGAACAGAATATATTTGCTTCAATTTCCAATGCTTTATCGGTGGAAATATTACACAGGCTAGTGGCTGCAATTGATTTGATTGCTCGTGATGCAAATGAACTGATTGAACCAAATTCATTACGATACCATTGTTTGGTTGCTTCTAAAGCTTCCATACCACGTATACCAGGCTCAAGAACATGTTGTACGAGACCAATTTTGTTAGCCGTTTTTGCATCGATCAATTTGGCTGATAACATTAATTGTAGTGCTGTACAAGATCCGACTAAACGTATCAAACGAGTACCGCCACCAAAACCTGGTGTAACACCTAGCCGTGCATGAACAAATCCGATACGAGCATCATGAATAGCGACACGAAAATCACAAGCGGTTATTATTTCAGCTCCACCACCTAATGCTTTTCCTTCAATCAACGCTACCGAAACTATAGGGAGTCGTTCCAGTCGAGTCAAATTTGAATGCATTAATTGGGAAATGTAATAGGCACCACATTGATCGGATAAATTATTTTGACGTATAGTTTTAAGATCAGCTCCAGAACAGAAAAAATTATCTGCTCCATAAACTATGATAACTTGACCCTATTGATTGAAATAAACCTTATTATTATTAATATATAGTGAATTTCGTAATCAACCTTACCTTTTTCCAACGTTCTAATTGATCGAGCAGATCTGAAAATTGAGCCATCATGAAACCGGAAAATGCATTTTTACGCTGTGGACTATTAATGCATAATGTGGCGATTCCTGTCGAATCATCCATGTTCAATTCTAGACGACCATTACAATTTGGATCGCATTGCCGTAATTGTTCTCGGATATGTTCGATGCTTAAATCAGGTAATCGTGTTAGCACATCATCTGGTATGTGGACATTGTCCAATGTAGACGAGTCATCATGCAATTGTGACGATTTATTATTATGGTGTCCATTTTTGTGTATGTGATTACTATTGTTAACCATATTGTTATTCACATTGGCCATATAATTTGATGATGATGATGATGAAGACGACATTTTACGACAAACACGATGATGAAGACCAATTATTGATGATTCAATGACAAATTGTGACCTATTTAACTGATGTAGACCATTCAACAATTTACGTGCTGGACGATGATGATGATGAGAATTTTGAGAAATATTATTATTGATGATGATGGACACAAGTTTGATTTGCAGATTCCTTCGTAAACACCAACCACAAACTGAATCGATTAGCTGTTTGGCTGGCAATCCGTATGATAATTTCCAATACAACTGCATGTCCAACTAAATACACTACCACTCATTGGCCATCAATACACACACACACACACACACACACACATACATACAAAAACAAAACAAGCTATCGATATATATAATGGGTAGTTGCAAACGCGTTTTGGTCATAATCTATCGAATTCACTTGACGCGTTATATGATGATGATCATAAGCACATATAATATACACGGTTATGGGTTATCTTTTTAATGGCAATTTAACATCATGGCCATCAAAGTAAATGTTATCAACAAAACAATTATCGACATTGATTCCAATTGGGTATTATAATCAAGATATACATAATTACAAGGCCATATGTGACACTTATAACAAAATGGATTAATCCAATGAACAAAATGGACACAGTTCAGTGTCAAGTTTGATGTGATCGGTCTTTTTTTTTAATTGTATGTATTATACGATGAATTTCTAATTTTGTTTATATTGAATTGATTCAATCTAATTCAATTCAGGAGCTCGTTAAACAAACGATGGCCACGACGAAATGTACAAAAAACCTAAGGCAAACAAAAAAATGAATTTTCAGTTATCATTAGCAATGAGCGATAACGACCGAATCTTCGAGGGCGCAACAAGGAGAGATATAGAATGAAACATTCGTTGATGACAATGACAAAAACACATAGGCAATAGCTACATGTGATACGTTATAACAGAAATAAACATATATATAACTTGTATGTTTGAATGTTGAATGCTCAGTGAAAAAAAAAATCTCAAAACAACCAATCTCTCTCTCTCTCTCTTTATTCGTCTAGTTTTGATTAATAATAATAGTTGTTGATATTCGAAAATGAAAGAGAAAGTTCGAGTTCGAGTACACATACTTTTTTGTTATGAGTTAAGGATTTGTACATCGAATGATGATGATGATTGCACTGTAGCATGTCGAATCTAGTTCAAAACTTGCTTAATTCAGCTCTGTTCAAAAGATGCTGATGATCCATCCCTGATGATGATGATGATGATGATGATGGCCATTTTATGAACGATAACGGGCCAAAATGGTCGACACAAAATGTGTCGACGTTTCGTAGTGAACAAATTTCGATGGGAGAAAAGAATTTTTTTGTTTGATGATAAATAAAAATAATCAAAAAAAAAAAAGTCGAAAGAGAAAGGTCGATGTTGATCGGTCGTAATTATATTTACTCATTACTGTGTAGAGGTGCGCCGACTCTTTAATCCATCGTTATTCATTGGATTATAATTTATATATCCAAAATATCATTGTTTGTTATCCAAATTCATTCAAGTCGATTCGATCTAAATTGAAAAAAAAACAAATCAAAAAGAGAAAGAACGAATGAAATTGGTTGATAGATGCGGAAACATATTGATAAACAATATTGTTCACAAATGTCCAACAAACGAAATATCATTTGTATATTTGTATAGAACTTGGTACACGTCACATTGGATCTTGTAAATATATTTACAAGATCCAATGTGATATACGACCATTTTCTTGCATTCATTGACATTATCATTATCGGTAATCAGATTTTCTCACCTGTTTCAAGTTATTGTCTTTCTTTCTCTCTCTCCTATCTCTATCTCTTTTCACACTATCTGATTTTGTCTTTATTTCCTTGTTAGTTATAATATGACCAATGAGCATCTAAATAATTTTCATTTTGATATATACACACTCTAATACAACAACTTTGTTTTTAATTTCGTTGCATATATGAAATATATTTGAAATCCGAAAAAACATGATTGTTTTGGAATGTTGTCGTTCTCTTCCTTTCTCTTTATGGAAAGGCTTGCTTATTGACCATAATCATCATCGCGTAACATTGATTGTTGTTTTTTTTGGCCATATGTCGTAACTTTCGATGATGGCGTAAGTGGTCATCATTCGAATTAAACATTATCATATTTTTAGGGATGATGGAGATAAATCGAATAATAATTCTAAATAGATATATATATGTTATCTAATTTGGCATATTTTTATTTACAAAAAAACAAAAATTCATAATTTAATTCAAATCATCATATTTAGAAATTTGGTCGAAATTACAATGAATTGGTTCGGAGGAACCCGATGATCGACTATCAATGGTAACTAAAATTTTTCGTTTTGTTCATCCACCCGAACAATAGTGGCCAATTGTCCTCGATATAAGCCTTTGAGTATCATCACTTTGGAACCAGATTTACTCGGTACCACTGTCTCTAGATGACGTTCATCCACACGAATCAAATCTCCATTTGATAATAACTTTATGATGGCAGCATAACCTGGCGATTCTATCGATTCGATTCGAGCTTTTTTTTCGTAATATTCAGATCCTAGTTGTTTAGTCACAATTCTTACGATGATGCCCGGTTGCATCCAGGTTTCCGATTTGTATGGTCCACTATTATTATTCGAACGATGTTGTGAAGCAGCTTTACGAGCTTTCCATCTTTCTTGTTCTTCGAGTATCTCTTCGAGAGCAGATTTCTTTGATTTGGATTTTGATTCCAATGAGCTTTTCTTTTCAGTATCGACTTTATTCTGTGTTTTACTGGAAATTGAATCCAATGGCTTGACGTTATTGAAAATTGTTGCTATTGGCTGACAATTTAAAGATTTTTTAACAGCCAAAGAAAACGTTATCTTTTGATCTGGATCTTCTTTTACTAATATTTGTTTGGATGATTGATTTGATTCTTGATCGGTATCATCGGTGTTTTGGCTATTACGCAATCGATATTCAATTTCCGAGCGTTTACCGCGTTCAATTTGTTCTTGTATTAATTGTGCCTGACGTTCATCGTCATCACGAAACATTTTTTCTTTTTTAGCTTTATTCTCGTTGCGAAGCAAAGTTTCTGGATCACGATCGATGTAGGTGATAAACCAGCCTTTCTCGTTGTTCTCTACATGACAAATTCCTTTTCGTCCCATCCATTTAACTAATCCAGTTAACGTACACCATCGAGTTGAATTCATATGCAAATGATCACGATCTTTAATGTATTCTTGGTATACCTGATTGGCAAGCACTCGTTTTGTAGAATAACGACGTTTCAATAGATGTAGAAAATCTTTGAGGAAATCCGAAGAAAATTCATCCATATAACGATTCGGATTCTCTGAGAATAATAGCAATTGTCGTTGATGGGCCTCCGATGTAAGATGACATTTGAATCCATTCGCATCACGGCATTGTTTTTGACACATTTGACAATAAAATTTCAATTTTTGTAATCCTTTTGCTTTAATACGTTTGCCAATTGCTTTGGCCGTTAATGGTTCGTGTTTTCCCATTTTTAATTTGATGTTATTCAAAAAATTTATCAAGAAAATTATTGAAAACAAGAAATTTAAAGTGATGCAATTTAACAAATATCAACAAGCAAAACAATAACAAATCAAATGTCCAGCCGAGTTTCAATCCATTCATAGAGTATATGACGGACAAATTTTTCACCATGCCGTGACCGGCAATCCAAGATTCTAAATACAGACTTTGTCGATATTAAAATAAATTATCATCATTATCGATATGAATCAATCTGTCGTTCAAATCATCAAAATTTGTAGCAATTCTAGTCAACCATTTCTGTATCGGTCAACAGCCTATTTATTTCGACAATCGATTCGTTACAAATTCAAGCGTTTTGGTGATCGGCCCGTTGGTGAATCATTAAAAATCTTGGATCGCGAATATCGAACAGATGAATGGACTAATATACCAAACAAGGTGATCGATCTGATTGAACGACCTGATCCATTGTACAAAACACTGGGCAATCCAATTTATTTGATAGCCGAATCATTACGTCAACATTATAATGATTTTGAATGTTTTCATTATCCTGATCCAGTTGTGACCACTTGGCAAAATTTCGATTCTATTCTCGTGCCTAGCAATCATGTATCGCGATCGAAAGCAGATACATTCTATGTTGATAGACAACACGTTCTTCGTTCTCATACTTCGGCTCACCAAAGTGAATGTTTCAAACATCTGAAAAATGTAGCAAATCAAGCATCATATGATCCGAAATTCATGATAATTGGCGATGTTTATCGACGAGATGAAGTGAATCGTACTCATCATGCTGCTTTTCATCAGGCAGAAATTGTTCAACTCTATTCCGAACAACATTGCCGGGTAAATTATCATTTGATATTCACGATTGATGGTATTTGATGATATGATAATCTAATTCATAGATGACAACCAGTTTATTTGATGAATCAAACAAAAATCGAACCAATTATTGTCAAGAACGACATAATTTGGATGCCATTCGAATTGTGGAAAATGAGCTGAAATCTCAAGTTGAATCTTATATACATCTATTGTTCGATTCTAAAGATGGTGATCCAATACAAATGCGTTGGATACCTGCTTATTTTCCATTCACTCACCCAAGCTGGGAGCTTGAAATTCAACTACCTCGCAAAAATTTCACCGATGGTGATAATGAAGATCTAGATAATTCGGAATGGTTAGAAATGCTTGGTTGTGGTATAGTCGAACAAAGCATACTTGATCGTGATGGTCATTCAAATCGAATCGGTTGGGCCTTAGGATTCGGTCTTGAACGGTTAGCAATGCTATATTATTCCATACCAGATATTCGTCTATTCTGGACACGAGATACCGGTTTTTCTGTCCAATTTGACCGATTAAAGCCTTTCGAACGATATCAATATCAAACTATATCGACGTATCCACAGAAAATTTTTGACATTTCATTCTGGCTTCCATTAGAATGTGTTGAATGGTCAGCCAATGATGTTCATGCTATTATATTAGAAATAGGAGGCCATCTAGTCGAACAAGCACACCTAATGGATGAATGGATTAGACCGAAAGATGGCCGTAGATCCAATTGTTATCGGATTGTATATCGTAGCCATGAACGTGCCTTAACTAACGATGAAGTAAATCTTATACATCATCGAATCGAAGAAACATTGGTAAAAGAATTGAATGTCGAAATACGTTGATATATTCTTTATTTTTTTTAAATTTTATTTTAATTAAAATAACACAATTCCTATTTCATTATATTATAAGAGTGATGAATACAATAAAAAAAATCATTACAATTACGAAATAAGTTGATATATATCGATAATCATCATCAATTGTTTTAATGCAATTAAAATGAACACAAATTATCTCATGAATCATTCTAATGGTGGTGCCGAAGGAGAAAGTAGGTTTCTATTTTTCGATGATGATACTATTGGTGTCATCATTGTGGTACTGATCATCATGTTATTATTATTGTCATTGTAATTATTACTGGGAATCACTTGATATGTATTGATTAAATGTATTGGCTGCAACATGATAGTAGCTGTTGTATGACGAATTGGACTCATCGATGATCGCTGTTCATCATTATTTGTACTACCCATGGGAATGATTGAATATAGGATATAATGTTTGTCTGCACCAGCACCACGGAACGGTTTTTTGCTAGTTCCAATTATTTCATTATCATTCTGATTATTATTTTTGATATCGGTGTTTTCTTGATCATCTTCATTTTCAAATTGAGACAGTATTTCTTGCCCAACATTCATATTATTGTCGATATCATTGCCCAATTTTGGTTCTGGTTTCTGAAGATGCTCGCTCACTCCTGTCATAGGAGATAAAATGAGAATTCGATCGACTATTGGCTGTTGAATTGTCATTGGTGATGATGGAACCGCTCTCATACCAAATGTACCAGATGAAGCTGATGCCATTTGGTGCGAATGAAGTGTTGATGTCATTCCATATGCCGAATGATTAGCTGTTGTAGTAGATGTTGCCATTGTCGGTGATGGGGGCTGATTAAAATTAGTCCAGAATTTCCAGAACATTCTTGATGCTCCATTAAGTATGGGCGTAATAATACTATTTGTTTGCGGTTGTTGATGGTTCACATTAGCTGATTGATCAACGGAATCAGAATTTTGGTTATCGGATATTGATTCAGCTTTGTTTGTCCGATCACGACCATATGAATGCCGTGACAACAATTCGAACAAGGGTGGAGATTGTCCATTTTGGTCTTGATTTAGAAATGGTCCACCTGCACTAGCCATATCATAATCATAAGATACATGCATTGGCTGTAAAGAACTTGGATTCGAGATGGCAGTGGTCAAGTGTTGTTCGGCACCTGTTGGTCTTATCATATAAGCTGCATAAATAGAAGGACGGACAGAAGGATGTGTATTGATTATGTTTGGTGGCCACGTTGTACCGGTTCTAACCGGCATTTGTTTTTGTGATTCAGGCACATTTATTTCATTGTTTTTCATATTCGGAAAAAGTCCTTGCTGATGATTATCACCGTTGAGATTAATAGTGCAATTAGTGGCGAATAATTTCAAATGAACCGGTACTGTATTAGGTAATGTGATTCGTTGTCGACAATATGTCTTGCTATAGCGTCAAAATGAATGGTTCTGTTAAAGATTTTTGTTCATCATTCAATGTACAAATCTATGGACTTACATGACAAAATTACTGTCCAATAATTCGATACGATCGATATGCCATTCATTCAGACCATAGTAGATCCAGCCTCGATATTTTGTATAGGTGAGGGTTATTTCACTCACATTCGTCAATTTAGGATGTGCCACAATTAAACCTTGGATTCGTTCAGATTCTTTGAGCTTGATCCACCTCTTGGGTTAAAGTAAACGTTTCGTTCATTCCATCTGCATTTATCAATTGCAATTCGATCTGACCCCAGGTTACACCTTGTTCTTTAGTGAATTGTATTTGCACCCTAAACTGATTTACTAGCGATAGTCAAAAAAATAGAGAAACAAAGTTAAGAAACGCTGGTATCAAATTTATGAGACAACATAATGAAAAATACAAACCACAGAATGGCTCCTTATCTCTGGTGATCAGATACATTTGACCACGACCTTGTGAAAGATTGGCAAAATAACCCATATTCGAACATCTACGGCCATCAGGTCCACAATAGAAACATAATCCGCGGACATAATCCTCATAGCTAGTGCAGGAGAATGCTCGAAATGTACAATCCTGATGTACAGAATCGATGAAAAAGCGGAAAGCTCGGCGATGATTGCATAAAAGATTCCATTGTCCATGATACAGTATGTTGGTTAAGGCTCCCAACGCCGTACTACAACCAACCTGAACACGACCAAAAAAAAAATTGATAAAAACACAACAACAACAAGAAGACAGACTATAATGATGATCTAAATTGCTAAAAAATTATTCTTCACTTCCAATTTTTTTTTCATTCTTTCAACTGACTTTTTGTTTTGGTTTGGTTTGGTTTTTATTTTTTTTACCTGGACCCTACCACCATTTGGGTAAAAGTCAACGGAACCCATTGGTTCATATACGCCCAGTCCACCGCGTATAAATCCATCTCCATTCGAATGTATGACATCGACGAATTTTGCATCACTTGGATCAAGCCGAACATTAACCGGATATCCTTCAAAAAGTGGCGATGCAGGATCAAGACCAGTGATGCGACTTATATTCGTTATTTCTTGACCAGCGAATCCAGCAACGTGAGCACCAAGTGAGAATCCAATCAAATGAAATCGAGAAGGAGGAACATAGTACAGGCGTTCAATCTTTCGGATTAGTCGTGCAATTTGTTTGCCCACCAATTGAGTGTTTGCTATAAAATATAAAAGAGATAGAAAGAAAGAGAGAGATAAAGATAGAGAAAAGTTAAAATCCTCGATTTATTCTAAAAAGATAAAACTTACCGGCTGCTTGCACATAATTGGGCAATTTGGAGCCATTTTGCCAATCTACGTTGATGATATTGAAATCATCCAATTGAAGTAGTACTTCGGTCATTTTTTGTACCCATGGCCGTTTGCTTGATGAACCGAAGCCATGTATGATTATTTTCACACCATTTGTACTATTGAATGAACTATGAATCGGTATTGATTTACCAGTCGTCGATGAATCCTGATCATTATCATCATCATCATCATCATAATCCAACGGTTCGCCTTCTATTGGATTTTTTCGCGTATGAAGACTGAAAGTGGTTCCGATTGATTCAGGTGAAGCTAAATTATAACGATAATAAATTTGCTTGAATGACTACATCATACTTACCAGGTAGAGTGTTGAGATAATCAAAGGGTCCTTTGTGCCGGAAACAGCCAAAATGTTCATAACAAACTTGTTGCTGTGGTGTTTGGGATTGCTGAACATCATCTTCACCCCCCTGTAAAGATGAAAGCTGTTCCCGTTTTGTTCGAATTAATCGCCTATGGCGATTCACATCATTCGAATCAGCTGAGGCAAATTTTTGATTTCGATGCCAATCAGTCAAAGAGGTTTTAATGGCTTTCCATATCTCATAATCGGTTGGCAATGATGATGAAGATGATGAGGAACAATCTAATGAATCATAATAATCTTCGGATAATGGATGAACGCCAAAATGAGTTGATCGCGTTGAACACTGTTGATGACGATCTTCGAATGATTGACAATTGGAAATATGGGCAATGAGTAAAAACAATAAGCCACATATGTTAAGATACATTTGTGTGGTATTGATCATTGTGGGCAAAACATTCGGACATCAATCCGGTGGCAATATTGAATGCACACTATGCATACGTACATTGCCTAACACTTGAATGGATCAAAGTCTGTTGGCTACCTGCAACACCACCACCACCATCACCAATCGAATTGTCTGTCAATGGTGATTAGATTTGGTCAACCGAGTAGATTTTTGCAATTGGGCTCTTCACCAATCTAACCACTCACAGGCCAACAAACAGATGATGATCCTGGAAAAAAAACCGAAAAATTCGCACACTCGCTTCTGGCACAGTTCGGTCGATGGTCGTTTGTTTCAAAAAAGACGATGATGGCCATAGCCATTATGACGATTATGCCATTATGGTACCATGAACGAATGAACGAACAAATATACGAAAAAAAGATGATCATCGTCTTGATGGTTGTCGTTTGACATGATGGCTAATATTAGTTCACATTCGGTCCGTTGATCTATTTTTTGTTTGTTTGTTGTTTTTCTTGGTTTTTTTTCTGATGGCTCATTAAGGACATCATGCAGTGCTATCATCATCATCAGAATGACACTAGTTCGTTCGGTAAGGCATTTATTCGATTTTCTTTTCTTGATCATCATCAACACACAGGTTGACGGCAATCTAACTTGTTATTCATCAAAAATGTCAGTGAGAAACCAGAACACCTGAACAGACACACTATTGACAGTTATTTTGTCGTATTCGACTAAAATATTTGCCTACACCTGTTTTATCTTTATCTCTCTTTCTCTTTCTTTCTCTCTATATGGTTGATACGATTTGATCATCGGCCATTGACCAACCATTCAAATATTTGTGTGATTTTTCAACTTTCTCTGGCCTCATTTTTTTTTTTTTTTTTTTTTTTGATTTGTTCATCTAACCAGAGAAAACGAAAATGAATAGGTCATCAACAACGATCGATCTATGATAAATGAATTGAATATTCAAAAAGAATTGCGCAAGGTATAGAAATAATAAATATGATGATGATGATGATAAGGTAATGACGTTATTATGAAAAAGCGCGAATGAAAGATATGAAAAACCAGTGATTAACCTGTGGTTAAATTAATCAATTACATGTACATTTTCAAAATTGAATAAAAATAGCAGATGAAATCATGTTATAGCTTCAATGATGGATTCTTATCGACACTTTTTTTCTCAGAATACGATTTCAATCATCATATGATTAAAATTCAAACTGCTGTCGCAAACAAAATTAGAAAATGGAAAAATGTTTATGGAAAACACATGAACAATGACTGGTGGTCATTTTGATGATGATGATGATGATGATGATTATTACTATAATCACTATATATGCTTCTGTTGTTGATTCAAGAGCGATCGTCATCGATTACAAATTGGCAATGCCGTTAAACCATTCATTTTATTTTTTTTTTATTTTATTTCAATTATTATGTTCGTCTCTTGTCACAATATACAATTGATTTCTGTTTTTCCCTAAATCAAAAAGAAAAAAAAACAATTTTCCTTCAATTTGTGCATTGTCTTCATTTGTAATTCCAATTTGTAACTGAACTCTGACAGATTTTTTTTCTGTTCATTTAAATCTGGCAACTTCAAATTTTAGTCTTTTATTCATTTGATTTTATTCAGTTTGATCGATCACGGTTTTAATCATAAGAATGTCAAAAAATAACATGGCTATTTTATCAGGTTTGTTTTAATGTGGAGAATTTTTTTTTCTCATTATTATCTCGGCATTAGAATCGGTTCCAAATGGTAAAATAATCGAACATCTTAATGCTGAACAAATGGATCGATTATTTATGGAAAAATTTGGATCAAGAATAAATTCAAATGGTGAGATTCGTTTGCCTGATCCATCGGTGGCTGGTGTGTATGAAGTACAAGTGTTAATGCCATCGAATGAATCCATTTTGTATTGTAAGTATGACAATTGATATTGCTAATTTATTATCAACAATAATCATGTATGTTTAGCTGTTGATTTGCGTCGTGGCCGCTTAGTTCGTGGAAAGCCACCATCCGAAGATTGTGATTGTCGTGTTCAGATATCAGCTTATGATTTATTGAGTATGTTGAATGGTCAACTAGATTTTGCTCAAGGATTTCTTCAAAGGAAATTACGTATCGCACACGGTAATCAGGCTTCGGCATTCAAATTCTTGCATTTACTCATTGATATTGCCTCATCAACATCTACTGAAGATAGTAGTAAAAATTTAAAATCTAATGAAAATGATAAGATTTCCATAGTGCCCACTGATGGTCTCAAATCGGATGTTATATTCACAATAATTCAACGACGTTTGAGTAGCGAGCCAGAATTGGTCAAACAAATGCCGTTCATTATAGAGATAAATCTAACCCAAAATGGTCGTCCAATAGCTACATGGACATTGGATACAAAAACAGAAGGAGGTCGAATTTATCGTTATCAATCAAAAAATGATGATTCAACCAATACCAACAACCGGATTAAGCCAGACGCTGCCATCACAATCGATGATAATGATCTTGTTGCCATAATGTTGGGTAATATGAATCCACAACGAGTGTTTATCTCTGGTCGAATGAAAATTAGGGGAAACATAATGCTGCTTCAAAGGTTAAATCAATTTTGGACAAAAATTCAGAACACCCGACGTGGTCCAGACTTTCCATTTGTCAAGAAATTGTTAACAGATAATGTGTGTATTTTTTTTTTAATTGAAACCTATTATGAATGGCTAGAATTAAGCAATTCTTTAGAAATTCGAGACAGGTCTTGGAAGTGAAATGGTATTTTTCGATTGGATCGCTCGATTGGTTCAGCCGCCTTTCCAATTGGTCGACTGTACTATACATTTGATCATCACCGCTAAAAGAGAAAAACAAATCGAATGGGGTAAGAATTGAAGCTAGTGTATACAGTATAACTATTGTGAATTATCATCTCTTTCTTTGTCCTACATGACCATAGTTATATTGTATGATTCAAATAATCAATTATCATCGATCCAGCGACGACGAATAGTCGGTGTCGAGAACTATGGCAATCATAATGATCATTCTCGATCGATAACATTGGAAATGGATGATCAGGAATTTTGTCGTCTGGTTCATTCTTCGGATCAAAACTTGATGCAGGTATATACACTTGAAACGTACCAAAAAGAAAATATGACCATAATGGAACTTTATAATACATTTACAGGCTATCGACCAACGTCGTGTCCATGTCACAGGCGACGATCAACTATTATCCGACGTGTCTAAGTTATTTGATCAAATAGCCGATAACGATCAGACCCCTGTAGTTAGTTTGAAGGCCAAACTTTAAAATCAACTAACAATTGTTTGATTACTTATATTGGGTTTTATTTTAGAAATTGTAAAGAGTTAAACTGGTGGTATCTGTATGTTCTTGGTAATAAAATGTCTTTGTAAAACTATTGTTCGAAACTTATTCCATACAACATGCTAGTATGTGTCATTGCTGTTAGTCTTTGGTCAAACACAATGGTCAAAGATGGCTAGGATCAATAGATTTTTTTTCTCTAGATTGATTTGTAGTGTCACACAATCACTTGACGCTCTGACGCTCTGTGTAATTTTGTTGTGAACGTAAAAAAGTGTTCAACTTGAAAAAATAATGGTAAGTTTCATCGAATGTTGTAATTTTATTGCAATTAAATTGGTTTTTCCAACTTTTAAGAATTCATCGATGCTATTGTTGCTGGTGATCTTATTGATCACAAGCTATAATGATCAAGCGAATGGACAAAAGGCTGCTATGACTATGGCCAACAATTTTTTCAATCGTACAACGTATCCATTGATCAATGGAATATCAAACTTATTTACATTTTATCAGGCATATCGACCATGTCAAACTGAATTCAATACGACCGGAACTTGCCTGGCTCGATCCGATTGTCTTGCTAGAAATGGTATGGCTGCCGGAGCCTGTGTAGCCGGCGTTACCGTTTGTTGCGATCTTAAATTTACATGTGGTGGCCGTACTGATAAAAATGAAACCATATTTGTCAATCAAATGTATCCAATGGCCGACAATATGACCAATACGTGTCAGATAACGATCGAAAAACAACCTAACGTTTGTCAATTACGTTTGGATTTTGATGAATTCACTTTAGCACAACCGGATGAAAATGGTCAATGTACCACAGATTCATTTATGATTCGAACTTCAGTTGGTGAACGTTTACCAATATTATGTGGAGAAAATCCTGGACAACATCTCTACATCGATGTTGGTAGTGGTTTTATCAATTCAAATCCAGTTGTATTGTCTGTCGTAACTAATGGCGCCATTGGAGGCGATCTAGAACGTAGATGGCGAATCAAAATCAATATGGTTCCATGTGATTCGTTGAATATGGCACCATCAGGTTGTTTGCAATACTTTAGATCGCCATCTGGAATGGTTCAAAGTTTTAATTATGGTCCATCGGTAAGTGTCTCTCGGTCTTGAACATCGAATACTATCTAATCGTCATGAATATAGATTGTTAATAAAGCCAGATATTTGTCCAATCTTCGTTATACGGCTTGCATCCGAACTGAAGAGAATTTTTGCGGAATCAAATGGCGAACTGAACAGCCAAATTCTTTTTCATGGGGATGGCCAATTAACCGTTCTGGTCAAATACGTGAAAATTCCACCGCGTTAACATTCGCTGGTGGCCACTGTAATAGTGATGATTATGTTGGCATCGATCAAGCCACTTATGAGGATAATAACCCATTTGCATTGGATGAAGATCGCTTTTGTGGTCTTGGATTAATGGATCATGGCCAAGTATTCTGTGAGTAGCAATAAACAGACATGTGATGGACAGGATTCAAACAGTCCTTTTATCTTTCTTTTTTTTAGCTCGTTCAAAGCCATTCCAGTTGAAAGTTCGATCAAACAATGATCATCGATTGAATGGCCAACAATCTCAACAGGGTTTTAGTTTGCATTTTACTCAATTACCTTGTGTGCTTTGAAAATGGTAACAAACAAGCATTGATTGTTTATTCTATCATTTTAAAAATTTTTATAATTCAATAAAAACACAACATTCATTTTTAACAACATACAAAGTTTATGGCATTATATATTGATAATTTTCCTTCATTTTTGCCTTTTTGTCTACGTTTGAGAAGGTAATAAACGTTTCAGATTCCAGCATACCACTATGAGGCCAACAGAATAATTTCGAATACAATCGAATGGAAAGCAATAGTATAGCTAATAATAATGTCATCAACATGCATGACAAGCCAATATCGAATCGAAGATGATCGAGCATTTCTTGTCGACATCGTTTTGTTGCTTTTAGGTTCGATTCAATAATGGACACTTGAATTTCGTCATCATCATTTTCATCGTCAGTGAATAGCATACCTTCGATAATGTGTATGCCATTTTCATTCGATGGTGATTGATTCTTGTTTTGCCAACAATCGGCCAACTTTCATTCGAAATTGAAAAGGTTTATTATTATAAAAAAAACAATCTAACTATTCTATTAAAAAAAACTTACCATCGTGTCATATTCACGCAATGCAATGGTAGGAATTTTGATCAATAACGCACCAAACAGAATAAACAAAGAATAGAATAAAAGTCTTACGATTAACGAACAGGTGGTCATCATGGTTATCGATATTTGAATGGGTCCTGGTTATAAAACGACTTTACAAATGTCGTATTATAACCAATTTCGGATCCATCATTTTCATCATCAATATTTGATGATTGATAATTTCGCTCTTGACCTTTGAGAGCAAACATTATTATTTTTACTTAGAACACCAACAACATATTATTAATCGATCCATAATCCATTCACAATGCATTGACAATATATATATTGTATACAATTCACATTTGAATTTGTTTCATTCGGAGCTTTGGGATAAAGAAAGCATGATCTGAGTAGTAGTAGTGGTTCAGATAATACCAAGCGATGTACTTGTATGAATGTTAGATGAATCAACTCATGCGTAATTGTTGCCTGTTGTTGGTGGTGGTGGTGGTCATTATATCTGCAAATCATCAAACGCGTATGGTGTGTATTTCCATTGTAGCATTCGTGGATACATCACAATATATATATATATTTTTGACTTATTCTCTGTCCATAAATTATCGTTCAAAACTTTTATTTATTTTTTTTTTTTTATTGGTCATCAATATTTGTGAATCGATTAATCATAATATATCACACACACATCACCAGTGCCTTTGTGTGTTTGTTTTATTGATTATAATCAAAAATTTTGTCCCAAACACATTATGTGATCATAGTGAGCGCATTGTGGATAAAGGTATGTTTATTTTAGCTCAAATCTCGATTTGGGCGTTTGTATCTCTCTCTCTCTCTTCTATTGGTTTGGTTTTTTTTGTGTTGACCCCCTTTTTTGTTTTTGTTGAACCAAAACGATCACACACACACACATCTGCTATTTCGATCAATAGTTTTTTTTTGGTTATAAAATGGCAATTGAACCAATGATAAAATATGGCATTTGCTCGATTTAGTAGTTAATACTTAAAAAATGAGTATATATGTCCATATTTAGAATTGACCATAACTTGCCGCGTTGGCGCTATCTCATTCTCTCTTTTTTTTGACCATTAAATAATGTCGTGATGGACATTGTTATCGATTCAATCGATTGAAATAGATAATGAAAATGACCGTCTAGCAGCAAAATCAAGAGGGTATTTACACCTGAGCCAAATTGATCATCATCATCATCATCATTATGATTATGATTTTTGTTGTTTGGCTGGCAGCATGCACACCTTGATTGAACTGCTTCCCTTTTTTCTGCCTTATATGGCCAAATGTATATACATAAACACTTGTATTTTATTACCTTTCCTTAAACCGACCAACAAATGGCTTTTTTGCTTTTGTTTGGTGTTGTTTTGTTTGTATGTGTGTGTGTAATAGAGTGTGTTAGCTCTCCACAGAGATTCGTTAGTGTTTATGAAAGAGATGGGCTGTATACAATCATCATTCAAGCTATGGCTTTGACTTATTGTACGATTTTCATTGTCAGCAAACAACGCCAGCACCAACCACCACCACCACAATAATCAAAACGACCATCGATCGATTTCTGTAAAAACCAACAACAGTGTTAGTCCATGTTTAGAATCGGCAGATATTCTTTTCTCTCTAATCGATCTCACATGTGACATTTATTGTGTTTCAATAGCTCTAGTGAAAATATTTATCTGAATTAGTTTCCATTTCACCTCATCTATGTTTAGATCCAGATCTGTTCAATACGACAATCGCAAGAAACTTGGATACCCCTGCAGAATTTGACAATTATGACAAAGGTATTTAATGTATATATATTCTGTCAACATTCTTTTGACATAACGTGATTGTATTGTTTAGCGTGGAATTGATGATTTATCATTCAACAGTGGTAATGTAACTGTTGTACAATCATCGATGTCATCAACAACTACAGAAACAATGAATTCGACACCAGCGAATTCATCGGCCATTCCGGTAAAAGTGGAAGACCGTGATTCCAAATCTATCGAAAAAAGCCTTGATTACTTAAATGGTAATGGTAGTAATGGTTCGACAATTCATTTGGAATCATCATCTGGAGCAATGCATCAAAATCATCATAGTAATAATAAGAAATTTAAATCTTCCTTGGAATCATCAGCTGGTATTTTGCCAGCATCGGGCAAATCTCGTGTTGTTCATATTCGTAACATACCAGCTGAAACTTCCGCACAGGAATTGATAATTCTGGCATCACCGTTTGGTAAGGTTACCAATTATCTCTTCGTACGAAGTAAATGTCAGGCGTTCGTTGAGTTTGAGTCTCATTTTTCGGCTATGCAAATGGCTGCTTATTGGATTCAGACCACAATTGGCGGTATACCTACTCATGTTCAACCTACCATCAAGTAAGTCAAAATCTGAAAACATATGTAATTTACTCTCATTATTCTTCTCTTTCCAGAGGTCGACACGTACATGTTCAAGTATCAAACCATAAAGAATTACGGACACATGAGCAAAACAATGGTGCTAATAATGGATTGCCTTCCTCATTCTCTAATGGAATGGCTGATAGCTATGCAGGATTGATGGCTGAGGCCATTGATCAACAGCAAGCCGACGTTAGTCTTACACCTTCGCCTGTAATCCGGGTGATCATCGAGAATCAAATCTATCCGATCACATTAGATGGTCTATATCAAGCATTTTCTCGTCTTGGTGGTAAAGTGCTCCGTATCTTGACGTTTCAGAAAAATCAACAATTACAAGCATTAGTACAATTTGGCGATCTAGCCACAGCCATCCAGGCAAAAACAAGCTATGATGGCCAATCTTGTTATCCAGGTTCTTCTGTCGGTTTCAACGTGATGCGCATCGAATATTCCATTCTACAGAATCTGATTGTCAAATGTAATAATGACAGATCTCGTGATTATACAACGAGTACTACGAATGGTAATGGTATTTCTTTAATAAATGGACAATGTGCTACCACAGCGATCAATGGCTCAACAGGTCAATCGGTCTCGACATCAAACAGCAATTCCGCCGTCACGAATCATCTCACAGATCCTACCGAAATGGCCGCAAGTCTATTTAATCTGACTGCTGGTGCTGCTGCTTTATCAGCCAACAATTTCAGTTCACTAACTCCTTTGGGTGGAGGGGGGCTTACGACCAATGGACATCACCGTCATCATGCCACCAATTCAGCGGCCAGTATTATTTTGAATCAGCAACAGAATGCCTATCTGGCCGGTCATCCTTACACATCATTGCAACAAGCCATATTGGCTAATTGTGGTGCACCATCATTGGCCGCCATTAATCCAACATCAACAGCTAATGCGGCTGCAGCAGCGGCCATGTTTGCCGCTGGTTTACCTGCTGCTGCTGCTAATTTGGTATTCACTTCCGTAATTCACGTTTCCGGCTTGAATCCAGAGGTATGATGCCACTTGCCATTTTTGTTAATTTATTAACCTATATAGCTTATTTTCCTCATATGATCGGCATGTAATGGATCTAATTTTTTCGTTCATTTTTGGCTAATATTGATTTTTTCGATTTTTTTTTGTTTTTGTTTCCATTTTTTCATCTTTCTACTATCTCTCTCTATCTTTGTGCCTTGATTGATTGATTGACTCACTGACTGACTGACTGATTGACTATCGACCAAATATATCTCTGATCTGAATATTTCTGATGCACACGACAACCACAATCGACACTCACAATCATCTTTAAAAATCCACTTTTCTTATCACTTATGTTTTCTTTATCAATTGTTGATTGTTGTGTTCTACCTTCATTCTTCAATCTTGGACGTCGGTTCATCATCATTCTTTCGGATATAATTGCTATTTCAACCGATACGGTTCCATGATGTGCGTGCGTGCGTGTGTTTTCACCATTTTCCTAAAATAACTATATCATACACAAATATGATTGGAACGCACACACTGAAATCATGTGCTCTAAATTTCTTATATTGAACTTATGCTATCCTCACCCTGTGTGTCTTGATGTCAAATTATGCAGCACGTCACTCCCGATGCTTTATTTACTTTGTTCGGTAATGCTTATTTTGTTGTTTCTCTCTATTAAGTAATTTCCTATGAACAATTTCCTTTCCAATTTTTTATGGTGTTGCTAAATTCTTAATCCTTTAAATTTACGATCTAATCTTTTCTCGTAGGTGTTTATGGTGACGTGATACGAGTCAAAATCCTTTTCAACAAAAAAGATACAGCATTGATACAGATGGCCGAACCAAATCAGGCACAGAATGCCATTTCTTATCTGGATCGAACTCGTTTGTTTGGTAAGACCATCCATGTGATGAGCTCCAAACATCAAATGGTGCAGATGCCCAAGGAAGGACATCAGGTAATTTAACTAAACAATTTATTCATTCTACCTTGATTGACCGTTCTTGTCCTTGATTTCTTTGTCTGGACTTTGAATTAGGTCTAATCAAGGAAAATAAAATATTGATTGTTTCCAAGTTCGTGGCAAACTTGTTTCTTATGTTAGCTATTGAATATTTCACCCAATCAACAATTGCTAAATTCTTATCTATTTAACTTGACTAGGACTCTGGATTGACCAAAGATTACGCGAATTCACCTTTACATCGTTTCAAGCGCCCCGGATCGAAGAATTACAATAATATCTACCCACCTTCAGAGACATTGCACGTTTCTAATATCCCACCCACATGTTCGGAGGATGATCTTCGTAGATCATTTCAACAGGAAACGGGCAAGCAAATACAAAAATTTAAATTCTTTCCCAACGACCATCGAATGGCATTGATACAATTCGACAGTATTGAAGACGCCGTCCTCTCATTGATTAAAATGCACAACTTCAAGTAAGTAGAATCATTTTTTTTCTTTATCCTCCTCTTTAGTAGGCCCTAACCGAATACACTGTCAGATTTCGGTTAGGTTTGGACAATAAGAGGTAGAAAATATGAATAATTGCAGCATAAACAAACACGATGCTAGTTTATTTATGCATTGTTTAGTTATTTATCTGCTTTGATCCCACATATTCATTATGAATTTTTTCATTTTTTTACAGAGTCGCCGAACATTCACATCTTCGAGTTTCATTTTCGAAATCACCTGTTTGAGCATAAACGAGGTATATTTTTTCATTTTCATGATTATTTTCTCTCCTAGAGACGTTGTTTGATCCATATGATTCAAACAAACGTAAGACAAGAGAGACAAATGAAAGCCACTATTTCTTCTGTTCTGGAATCATACAAACCGAATATTTGATCGTTTGTAAAGGATTTTGGGTGGAGAAATACATTACCTAAAACAATCATACTGATTCAATGTTTTTTTCTTTTAATTAGCAGGATTTCGCTTTCATTATTGAATTCGACTTGCTCAACTTTATTTAATGATCATGTTTAAAAGTGTAAGTATATATTTATAATTTAATTACTGCTTTTTTGGACAATGCCTCTTGCTCAAAGGCTGTTCGACTCAACCTATTTTTCGCATGTTGATACGAACCAATGCAAGAGGAAAGTAACCAAATTATGCACAAAGTCCTGATTTTCATCACCACTGTAAACTTTTATGATGAAAATTTTCGTATTTTGTTGTAACATTGTTTTCTTTTCTTTTTTTTTTGTTTTAGATTCCAATTTCAACTTCTTTAAACCCATCAAATTATGTTCCAATTCAAACGAAATATGTTGCCTTGTTCTTGGTCCATCCATGAATCGATTCTTCAATTGTGAATTCACTATGAATCATTCCAACACATCAAATTCACATAAAACACAATCGTTGAGCTTGCAATTTGGTGCCTTAGCACAGATTTCTTTTATTATTATAATGAACAGACCAAAAAGCCAACCACAACGCAAATAATAAATGCCAGGAGTATTGTCCATTGGTTCATATTTTTTCATCATCATCTTCACATTCATTCATTCATTCATTTATTTGCCTATCATAAGATTATTTTTATTTTTTTATCATTGTATTGGAAAATCATCGCTTATTCATCATATTTTGCCTTGTTTTGACCAAAAAGATCGATCATTAATTAGCCAAAAAAAACGTGGTCCAACCAAAATTGCTGAAATTAGTCTTCCTTTTATTTTTTTTCGCCGCTTTACCGTTTGATCGGGCCAATTCATCCGTCCATTTTTTAAAATTAAAAAATTAATCGTTACATTCCAATCAAATGAATATAATAAAATTAATATCTCACACACACACACATACACACACAATGACACACACGTTAATTGTATATGAATAAACGAATTTTTCTTTATCATTATCATTGAATGTCTAATCTTTGATTGAACTTCATCATTATAATTTTGAGCAATCATTTTTTTTTTGCTTTCTTAAGCGAATTTCTAATATTGAATTTGACGGATACACAAATGAAATTATCAGTGATTCAATCATTCGAAATCAGCAAACTTATGTCCAAATCGTGGCCAATCAAAAAAAAATAGCTGACTATTTTTTAAAATAATTTTCTCATCCATGCCCATAACCATTGTGGTCATAATGTTGATCATCATTTACATTATTTGCTAATGTGTTGATTTTGATTCATTCTTAAAAGAGAAAAGATTCATTAGTTTCATCCTTGTACATCAACAAGTTATATCAACAGTAATGGGTTAAAGTTTATGAATCTTTTTTTTTCAAAAATGATTCAAGTTGACTTTAATTTTTTTTTGTTCGAAAATATTTTTGCAGATGATTTAGAAAAAAAAGGAAGCCAGCTAAGCATAAAATGATGGTAATCGATGCCTCGATCCTTTCATTTTAAATGATCTCAGCATTCCTTTCATCAATGGATTTGTTGAGACCAAGTTTTAAATTTGGCCAGATGTACTTACAGTTGCAAAAGCTAGAAACCTATTCTAGGATTTTATCATTATCACAAATAATGATGATGATGATGATGATGATGATGTACAGTGTAGTGTTGATATCTCGCTGCCAAAATCCATATCGGCTAAGCAATAACAACAGCTAGCCAAGCAAAATTTATCTCGAATGCTTCGAGCAGCATTTTCCTGCATCTTCATTTTCAGGACCTAGATTAGCAGCCAGGTTCGATTGAAAGTAAGTATAAATATTGTTAGGATTCCATCATTTGGATTCATCATCGAAGAGTTGCTGAACATTTTTGTCTTCATCTTTTCGATTATACGAATTTTGTCATCTTCAATTTTTTCAACAAAAAATGTAAATATTTGTTGTTTATATGACCCATTCATAATAATTCTGATTATCATCATTCTCTATTATATCCATCACAGATTTTTCTTTAATCTCTTCACAATTTCTGTTGGAATCGTTCGAATACCAACCGACAAACCAATCATTCATTTTTTATTTGGCCAACATGGCTAGAACTTTGGCTTGGGGCACGATACTTCTTGCCTCATTGCTTCTTATCAATCTGCCTCATTGGGCTCAATCATTTCGACTTGACTGTAACTATATATGATTTATACTTTATTTCTTGTTCATTAAGTAATAATTTTTTTTCATACCTTATTAGCATATAACCAATTTTCTGATAAATCCATCAACTTTAAAGATGGTGATAAATTCACCTGTGCTCAAAGTTGTTCACTCTTGGAATCCTCTAAACGTTTGATTGAATATCAAACTGGAACAACCTATAGCTATCAAGTACAACTATCAACCAAATTGAATGGTCAACAAGGCTCTATTGATTCATACAATCAAGTTCGAATCGAAGCCATCGCTGAATTGTCTGCATATGGACCATGTGAAATGGTTCTACGGTTACGACAAGTGCAAATCGATGGCATCGAAGATGAACGACAAGCAACGGAAATGAAAACTGAATTGGAAAGCCATTCCACACATTTTGCCGTCCAAGGTGGCCAAATCGAAGAGGTCTGCGCTGAACACGATGAATCTGAATGGACTGTTAACATCAAAAAATCAATCATATCATCGATCCAAATATCAGCCAAAAGTTTGACTGAAAAATCTTCAGTGCTTGAAACCGACATCAACGGCCAATGTTTAACCGAATACCAACCAATAAATGAATGGCGATACGGTCAAGACAAGACAACTATCGTTCAAATTGTCAAAAGCAAACAATTGTCAAAATGTAAGTGTTGTTTATTGTCGGTTTTAATTCGGGCTCATCAATTAGATAAATTAAACACATGTTTTAGGTAACAAACGACACCAAATCAACTTGGGTCTTTTCCCACGATCATACGGCCTTGATCAATTGATTCAATCCTCAATGCCGATCGTGAATGGTACCTATGAATGTCGACAAAAGATTCAGGACGGTATCGTCATCAGTTCAGATTGTTGTGACAAACAGACTATTTGGCCATTGAAAGCTACAGTCGATTCTGATGTTCGTTGTCGATTAATTGGCGAACAGCCAGTTTTGACCACACCAAAATCATCAAGCCGTTCAATGAAACGCCAAAACTTAGCATGGAACACAGCTTTTTCAAGAGAAAATCTGCTTAAAGGATCATTGCAATCTCGGGATACTGTTTACACTGTAGAGCAAGTAGAACAATTATTGCAACAGATTTGCATGCAAATCCAAGATTCAATTAAAATGCAAGTACCAGAAATGTTTGCCCAGTTGATTTATGCCAAACAATCATTGAGCGTTGACGATGAACAACGAATTTATGATCAAGTACAAAGTGGCCAAATTTGTCCATCGTCCAAATTGGTGGACATATATTTGGATGCTTCAGCTTTGTCTGGAACACCTGGATCGGTTCAAGTGTTGATTCAAGCTTATGAAAAATATCAACAACAGCAGCAACAACAACAAGACCAATTTGAAATTCTGCCACGATTCTCTTATCTCTTTTCATTGTTAGCTTTCACCAAAACACCAAATGTCGAAGCAGCTCAACGTCTGTTGCAATTTGTACAACAGCAACAACAACAAACTCCAGTTTCCCAAGATTTCGAACAAATCATTTTCGGCGTAACCGGATACGTACATAATCTCCGCCATTACACCCAACAAGAACAGCAACAAGAATATAAAGAACATTCAATCAGTTGGACCGATGTCGAGCAAATTATTGGTCAATTGCAACAACAATTGATCAACCATCTGGAACAATTGATGCCACAAGTTGGTCAACAATCACAAGTGAACTATACCACTGTTCTCTCGTTGATTCATGGATTAGAAAACATTGGATACGAATTACCAACCAACTATCAGCAACAACAGCAAATGGTCAAACGCATGATTCAATTGTGTCAACAATATAATGGACAATCTCAAAGTGAATACTATACGCCCATTCGTGTAGCCATCATTCGATCAATCGTCAATGTGGTTGATGATGAATCAACTCGAAACTATTTGTTTGACATTTTCTTCGACCAACAACAACAGGAACCAAATGTCGTACGAATCGAAGCCTACAAAACATTAGTTATGTCAGGTGTGAAAATCTCCGAATTACAAAAGATCCAGCAGTACGTCGATTCTGTCTCCGAAAGCCGTTCTGTCGACTTGGTAAATTATGTTCGTTCTCATCAAGCCAACCTTCGAACCACTTCGGACATTTATCGCCGTTCGATTTTGCCTTTGGGCGCTCCAAAATTCTCTAAACCAACCAACATGTTTGGTGTATCGCGAAATTATGAATTCTCATATTTGAACGATGCATACCAGATGGGTGTAACTGCCGAAGCCGATGTTATCTATGATACCAAAAGCCAATCGAATGTCATCCCACAGATGATCTCTTTCAACCTCACATTACCAATCATGGGTCATGAATTTCAAGCAGTTCAGATTCGTGTCCACCAAAACGGTCTTGAACAAGTTTTAGATGGCAAATATCAACAATTGATTGCTGGTCAATCGAACAAACAGTTTGATGCAATCAAATTGATCAGTAAATTGATCGAAGTAGTCTCGCAAGATGGTGAACGATTATTGCAACAAAATCCTGAATTCAGCCTATTCGTTCAAGTCCAAGTTGACGGCAAAACAGTCGTTTTATGTGACCATAATGAATTGATCTCATTGGTCACTGGCCGTGGTGTTTTTGGAGAATTGTTCCGCAAGGTATTTACTGATCAACAATCAAATCTATCAATTGATCGAGCCTACTCGATTGTTCCGATTGATTTCGTTACATCGATGACCACATCGAGCGGTATGCCAGTCCAAGTGCAAGTGAACAGTACTGTCGTCGTCGGTTTCAAAACTGATATCAACTTTAATGTTGGCCGCCAAGATTCTTCAAACGTTGAATTGGCAATCTGGCCATCATTCGCTGGTCAAATGGAAGCACGTGTTCAATACTATGCTGGCCAACAGGTCAAATCGATCCAACATATGGCACGCCTTTATTCTGCACCACATGTTAACTTAGTAGTTAAGGTAGATGGTCAACAAGGCGTTAGCATTAAATCAACAATGCCCGAACAGAAATACACAGTGATTCGATATGAAACTGGTTTCTATGTGGATCAACAAATTAGTCGCTCTTCATTGGATACGGAAAAACGTAGCTTGATCTCGTCAAACGATGGAGTAGACGACCGACATCGATGCACAGAATTCACCAAAAAAATGCTTGGTATGTTGATTCTCATAAAATGATAAAATAATTCAATTCTAAATGAACATAATTTAGGTGTGGCTCTTTGCTACGATGTTGACTACGAAACTGATGACCGACAAAGTCAATTTGTAGCCGAAGTTAGTGTTCAGAAATTTGACGATCAATTGAACAGCTTCGAGCTTCATTTAGAAAATCCTATCCCATTCTTAAAATCAATTTCCGGTATGTCTTCTCGATCGAACAAAGCAAAACGATCGGTCAAATTTGTCTTCAACACTCCTGGTTCGCAAATCGACCGTGAAACGGTATTCGAATTGCAATTGCCAACTTTTGACAGAGAATCTGGTTTACTGTCGTCTGGTGCACGTCTTAATATCAAAAGTCCTTGGAAACAAATGCTTGCCGAAGCCGTTGTACGTAATCATCAAAGTGAACGATCAGTTAGCGTACAATTAAGTCTGGACAAACATCGTTACTTGCAAATGGAAATGGGTTTCGAAATGGTGAAACGTGGCCAAAAGACTGAATATCAAACCAAAATGATTTTGGATACACCAATTACCGGACAACCAATCAACTTAGTTGGTGTCTGGTCATACCAACAAGGCCGCAAATCGATTTTCCACGTTTCTCTCGAAGATGTAGAACAACAACGAAACTTAATTAAAGGCACCATAGTCAAGACTGGCCGAATCGATCAAGGTGATTTAAAATGCTCAGCCCATTTAATGCTTGATTTGCCAGGTGTAGCCTGTAAAGCCACCGGTACATTAGAACGTGGTGTAGGAGATCTCAAATTGGATTTTTCTACTGATTACGAAACTGAATCTAGTGGTCGTCAATCTGCTCAATTGTCGTTGAAACACCAGAATCTATCTTGGGGCAAAATGATCAAGTTTATCAATCAAGCCCAATGGTCATCTAGTCAGGCACCGAAATACAATGCTCAGTACAACCACCAATTAACTTATGGATCGAATGAATTTCTTGAACACAATTTGCAATTGAAATGGAATCACGATAAAGAACAAATCCGATTTTTTCAATCTATAAAATTGGCAGAACAACGTGGCCAATACGATGGTGAAGTAGAAGCCATTCTTATGGTAAAACCATTGGATATCGACTACCAAATTAAAGCTCAAACAAACATGATCGGGTTTGGCATTGAAAATGCAGAAACCAAACGATATGAATTAATTGCCACCGGACATCGACGTGATCAGCCAGAACTGGACAAAGTTCGTGCCGAATTGTCATACGAACAGCAATCATCGCAGCCATTGAAAATGAGTGTTCGAGCTGCCGTAAAATCCGATGAAATCGATTTCGTCTACAGCGACAACGTGGAAGAAAAACAACCAAACCATTATCATGGTCGTATGATGATCCAGTTGTCTCCTGAACAAAAATACAGTTCCCGTTATATTTACTCGATCAATAAGAAAAATTCTCAATTGACTGAACATCAATTAGATGCCACTTTCAACGATGAAATGACTAAAAAATTGACTGCTCGACATCATGGAATATTGCGTTTGATTCCAAATCGATCAATCGATCTTCAATCCAAATGGACCAACGAACAGGACGAAGATCTAATTGACAGTCGAATGAAATGGGAACATGACGGCAAAACTAAATGTCGATTTGAACATCACCCCAGTGAAACTCGTTGCGAATTTGATTGGGACCTGTATTCAAGCCCACTGAAAGCTAATCTTGACTTTGAAAACAAACAGTACAAACATGCCACAAAGATTGACTTTGATCAAATGAACAAACTGTTCACAATGAACTCGAAAACAAAACACAACGAAAACGACATTTTCTCCGTAAGTTTTGAAATGACTATTTTTCATTTTATAACTTATCACAATTTCTAATATCAATATACAGATTGATTCACGAATCTCGCCCAAACATCGATCTCATTTGGCTATCGATTCCAAAGTATTCAGCAGTGATTGTCACTATGAACCAGAATCGGAATCCGGTAATCGATACAAAAAATCAGCCAAAATTCAATTCCGTTTGCCTCAATCGTGGCAACACGAATCCCAATCATGGATGGACTGTGATGATGGCCGATATCAATTGCAATCAAAAACCGATTATGATGAAAAGAATGTGTTTGATTTGAATGGTAAATACCACCGAAACCAAGCAATAGGTTTAGCAGTGAAAACTAAATCAATTTCTGGAGGCTTGTCTGCTGAAAAAGGCAAACAATACCGATTGCAATTCGAAAACGACCGTTTCAAACATGATACTCGATTGAATTGTGAACAACCAGATTTGATTGAATTTGAATCTAAAACAACCAATAATGGTCAAAATGTCGCTGCCATTCAATATGGCTGCAACCAGGATAAAGTACATGAATTTAAAGTCGATTGTGATCGAGTGGTTAAAGCCAAAGGCCAATGTCAATGGCATTCAAACGAACCATTCGCCAATTTCAATGTCGATTGGATGGCCGGTAAATCACCCTTTCATCAAGAGACTCAGATTAACGCTAATCGACGTGAACAATCAGTTCGATTTGACAGCAAGACCAAATTATCGGACGAGAAAGTAGCTCAAATCAAAGCGGCAATTGCCAAGAATCCAACAGATCAGCAGCCTTTTGCTTCAGCTTCGTTTGAATTACCACAATTCGATGCTCATATTGGTTATGAACAACAGACAAATCGTTTTGATGATCAAGATAAACATCATAAAATTTCGTGTGTTTTTGATGGCAAAGAATGGAACCCAGAATGGCGACACCAAAGTCAAATGAAAATCTTAAAGAAACGATCGATCATAGAATTTGAGAGCGAAACTGAATCTAAAAAAGATAAATCCAATCATTTGCAAGTAAAAGGACAATACCGCCATTTGGATGAACAACAGCCATCACAATTTAATGTAAAATTGGGAAATATTTTGTCTACTGTAGGACAGATCAACCTGTTCAATAACAAGGAAAAATCATTGGATATGCATGGTCACTACTTTAATGGCCGTCGATACGAACACGAATCAAAAGTTAAATACTGGCCAGAAGAAGGTTCAATGAAATGGGACGGTAAAATCAGCAATGAAATTGGCAGAAAAATCGCTTCAATCGGATCTTTCATGAGCACTGATGCCGGTAAGTAGACAATCATCAATACTTATGAATCTTAGCAATTATTTCAATTTCACCTATTTTATAGACAAAACATCTTATTTGCGAGTTGAGTCTGAAGACAAGAAACAAGTGCCTGAAATCAAAATCGAGTTGAATCGACGATTGAAACGTGCTGCCATCGATTTTGATATGGATCAATATCAACACCAAACCTTGATTCATGACGATCAATCTGCTGTCAAAGTGAATACAATCACCACAAAAGATCAGCAAAACGTTTTCAATTTCAACACTGAAATTAACCGATATCCATCGGCCAAATCCCACGTCCATGTCAAAGTTGGTCCAAAATACGAAACTGCTATGCACGTCTACCCGAACAAACGATCAGGTGCATTCTCGATGATGACACCAACTCTAAGACATCAAACCGAATTCGATTTGAATAACCAGGTTGGTGGCCCGGCAAACGTGATTCAATCGACCACTCATTACCACGATGATTTGTTGGCCGATTTGGACGCTCGAATGGAAGGCCTTCGTGGTGAAAACATCATCAAAGCCAATGTGCCCGGTATGATGCGATTAGATACGACCATGGATGTACCTGGAAAGCGATTCTCATTTGACGCACAAGCTGATTCTCGTTACGGTGGCCGTCATGCCATGGGTTCAATCTACTCAAACCATGTTCGACGAAACAGTGCTGGTATTGAAGACCAACAATTCCATTTTGATTTTGCCTGGGATGTTGATCGTGATCCTCGATCTCGTGTCCTCGTCGACGTCTCTGCTCAACGTAAACCAGATCAGTCGGTTCAGTTTGTAGCTCGTGCTGATTATGCTCACAACAAACTCATCTTCGAAACGGAAATGATGCCACGATCTATTTTTGCTCATTCAGCTCGTATGTCGTTGTCATACGTTCCGTACGGTAATATCGACTCATTCCAAGTGATTTACACCCACCTGAACCGAATGCCACAAGTCGAATGTAAAGTTGATTTCATGTTCCGTGGGCAATTAAGATATTCGGCTCGATTGACAACCCAAGTGACCAATGAACGATTTGTCATTGGATTTCAGACCACTTCACCACAAAACATCGAGGCTCAAGTGAACGTAAACGTAATGGGTGTTGCTAATGGACAAGGTCCATACTATTTAAAAGGCAGTTTTCAACGAGCTGTAGAAGAACAGTATGAAGTGGAAGCCACCCTTGAAGAAGATAACGATTATCGAATCTATTCCGGCAAAGTAGAATTACGATTACCAAGAATTGAATCACAATCTATTGAATATCGAATTGATTTTCCAGGACGTTACATCTCAGTACACACTGTCAATCCACAAACTGGTGGTCGATTTGAATTAGAAGCTCAAATACATCCTGATCAAAGCTTGAAAATGTCCGTTAAATCGGATGTGGCCTATTTACCTGTGATTGATGGTAAGATGAGTTACGCTGCAAGCGAACCTGAATTCTATGCCAAACTAGATGTCAATCAAGAACGGTTGATTGAAACCCAATATAAACTGACCGGTATCGAATCGATAGGTAGCGGGCGATTCCATTTGTTGGCCAAATGGCAATCTGTCTTTACACCATCGTTCGAATTGAGCAGCTCAAGTGGTATTGAAAAACAAGCCAATGGACAAGAAGAATGGGTCCTCACTGTTGAAGGCAAATACAATGTTGAAAAGATCTTCTATGGTCAATTGAAACGATTGTCATCACAATCGAACGTCTATGGAAAACAATCGGTCGTTTTCGATATGGAAGGTTGGATTTCACGACCAAACGGTGTCAAACTTATTCGAACAGCTTCGAAATTCGCCTTTGACCAGCAAACAGACTCGTTGATCGAATACATGTTGGATATTGAACCAAACCGTGATGAATTGGAAACTATCGAACCGTTTTACGTTATCATCAACGGTGTACGAAAAGCCGAAGAATCATATAAATGGATCGGATCCATCAAAATTAGCAAAGGAGAAGAACGTCGTGATTTGATCGATGCAGATGTTGTCATTGAACAAGGTCATCACTATGGTCAAGATGTTCCAGCTGTTGTTGAATTGTATGGTATTGTCTTCACTGTTCCAGAACGTGTCATGACTACTGTGCGATATGTACCAACCTCGACACAAGCTACATTCGAAGTTTCAATCATGGAACAATTAGACATCGCCAATGGATATGGTAAAACTTTGTTTGATGAACAAACGATCCAACCTCAATTGCGTAACTTGCGTGTGATACGAAAATATCGAAACCAAGTGGTCGCTACATTGGACGAACAAAAAATTGGTTACGAAGTCATTTCCAGCAAATTGGCATATCGAAATACCTGGGAACATTCCGTTCGTCTTTATTCTCCACAATCAAATGGTCAATCAGTCCATTATCGAACCAGCTACCATTATTCACCTGAAACATTCACTTATGTCTACCGAAGTGAATTAAAATACGGATACCAAAGTGAACAACCAATCTATACTTCAACACAGGTGATCGCTCCAATCCCGAACAAACCGACCTCATACATGTTCTATTACGATCTTCATTCGCCTGTATTGGGTGGTGATGGCCATGTTTGGGCTCGAGCTTTCTTATTTGGTTCCGAGAACAAATATCAGGGTGTGATTGCTACATTGAAAACCACCCAAAATGACCAAATTACCTTCGAAGCTACATCACGAACAGAAGAAGAACAAGCCAACCAGATGGTATACTATGGACAAACAAATAAAGTAACCTACTACAACGTCAGCCTCTATACACAAGATCATCAAATCGATACCGGTGTTGATGGTTACGTTTCTGGTACGGGCTTAGAATTGAATTGGCACAATCAAAACCGATACAGTCACCGACAAACTGGTCAATATCGATTCCGATTTCTCGACAATAAGCAATTTGAAGCTGTAGTTGAACATGATAACCACGGATTTCACTGCAAAGGTCAATTGAGACCTAAACAAAGTGTCTACATTGTCGATGCAGTCGTTGAACAATATCATAAAGTGATCACCAATGGTCGATATTACTATGGTCAGCAAACGGAGAAACAAGTCAAAGGCCAATACAAAATTCACGTTGAAGCCAAAGATCAATGTATCCGTGCCGATATCGTCCGTGATTCGACTGATAAATATGAACAACAACAACAAGAATCTCTTGAAGGAAGCTACACTCAACAATTGAGTTTCTGTATGGATGATGATAAATCAAACATCTTAAACTTAGCTATCGATTCTATCAAAAATGGTCAAAAAACAACCGATTTGAATGTTCGTCTTGACACCCGTGAAGTTGTTAATTCGATCATATTGTCATTGAAATGGAACCCGAGATATGAACAAACCTACTACGGACAAATTTTTGAACAATTGCGACACGGCATTTATGACAAAAACGAAGTTGCTGAAGAAATCAAACATGTTGTGCGAGCTGTACGACGAATTCTTTACGAACAACATGATGGAATTAATCGATACCAAGTTTTGGCTGAACAATTCGTCCGATTGGTAGAAGATTTTTTCGGTATGGATGCTGGTGAAGTGCAACAAGTGATGAACGACTTGGTTGTTGTACCAATATTGTCAACAATTGAATCATTCTATCGATATGGTTACGAATACGGATATGTGGTTGAACAATGGCAACAGAAAGTGCAGCAATTTGTCCGAAAAGTTGAATACGAATGCTACCAGAGTGATGTTTGTCGTCAATCAGTGGAAGCTGTGATCGAAGCCTACAAGACTCCCGAACGATTCGTATCGGTTGTTAGCGATTATTTCGTACAAGCTTTACAGCACACCCATCGTTTCGTTTCAACTAGCTATTCTGGCCGTTTGATTCGTTCACTTATTCCATCGGCTTTTTACGATTATTTACCAGAATTGATTCATCAGATCAACTATTATTTTGTACAATCATACACAAAAATTGTTCATGGTAACTATCCATTGGCCGAATTTATTAACAACTTGGAAAATGTTTCACATGAAATGATGGTAGCCACCCATTGGCGTCAAGTACAATGGCAGCAGGTAAAAGAAGCAATCAGTAAAATGATCGAATTAACTGTATCACCATGGCGATATATGAGCACCACTCGTGTTCTTGTATATGATCCACAACAAGGTCAATTTCAAATTGAACTTTATGGTCCAGCCGTAAAACATCCACGATACTATAAACAAATGATTCAACCAATGTTATCCCGCCATACAGATGTTTCAAACATGAACAACAACCAATCATGGTACACTGGCTATGGTTCTTATGGAAAAAACTACAACAAAGGTGGTTTCTATTATCCAGCTGGTGAGCAACAACCATCATCTATCCTCTCAAAAATGTTCGGTCGTGTTTAGAATCAAAAAAAAAAAATTCTTTCTCAATAAGAACAACAAAAATTTTATTCAAATAAATAATTATATATTCCATCTAATTGTTTTAATTTATATTATTATTATATGATTTTGTTAACTATTTATAATTTCACTTGAATGCCAATAAAAAAAATGGCGCGTGACGCAATCCCACCTACACACATTCTAATCGATTATTTTTTTTTTTTTTTCTAAATGTCAAATTAATTAGATGATGATGATGATTTTCATCATGGAAGAGTACGACGGCAAATCATGAATGATTCACATATTTCATCATCCGTAAAGTTGAATGCAGCTTGGATTGAATTAATGTTGGCTCATTCTTCAAATCATAATTCATCCATGCCAATTCATTTGATCACCGAACAAATCGATTTAGATGATTCAAATTTGTCTAATAATCAGCGACAATTACATTTGTTTGATTTGAGCATATCCGAACAATCGGTAATCAATGTGAGCATGAAAAATGATGAACAACAATTGGACATCGGATTTGTCAGCTTGTAAGTACCAATTAATTAATGCATATTTCAACATTTCATTCATCGATGTGAAATTATTGATCAGTCATTTGCAAATTGGTTCCGATCTTCGATGGACAGCTCGAAATTCAGACAATAAAGATGAACCATTAAATTCAATACGTATACTGGGAAATACGTTTACAGTGTATCTACAAGAAAAGATTAATGAATCTAATTTATGGCTAAATCTTACCTGGACACCTCAGCGTCATCATTTGATCATTGACATTGAATTGGAAAGGCTCGAATCGACAACAACAAACATGACTATAGTGATGCGATCTTTGATTCGTTCTGAACGAAAAGATTCCTTGATGTATGGACAAGTTTCTATGCTTGAATTAATCGATGATGTTTTTCCTGATGATCCGTTTTTTTCTGCCGATAATCTTACCACATTGCTTCATAATGGAATGAATCTTCGGCAATCGTTATGTTACCATTGGTTCATGTATAATCGCATCAATCATAGTGAACCAGAATTACAAGCTTGTCATCGAATCCATGATCTTTGTAATCTTATTGGTCATTTTGTGCAACAAAAACAATTGTTTAGAACACCTAATCCATGTTTGTCTTGTCCTATGAGGCAATCTGTTCCAACCGTTTCATCTACAAATATTCAACGAGTTCGTTTCGGTTCAAGACAGATAGTCGAGAACAATGATCAAGCTCAAGTGATATATTTGCTTGATGGTACTTGCCATCAGCATGAACAACCCAAATTGACTTTGCGATTTTTTCTACAATTAAAACGGCTTTCTAAAGTTATCGAAAAGCAATTTCGTACTCAACGAATCAAAACGGAATTCTCGGTATTTAATTCTATTCTCTTAACCGAGTGCAGCTTACTGATTGTTTTTTTTTTTTGACTTAATTATATAGCTAGTAACGGCAAATCGAGATTTTCATTATGAACAAAGCTGGGTACAAACAGAACCACAACTGAAATTTGATCATTTGGTCAAATTCCGATATCGCAATCTCAAACCAATACGCTTGTCTAATGGCTCATTCATATGGAATGAGACAATGTTTCGTCAATCATTATGGCCCGTTGATGGCAGACATTCGCTCGATTTTCTTTATCAATTTGCTTACTCACCAAGACGAACATCTCGACATTTCATCATGATAGATTGTAGCCATCTAGTAAATGTAACTGGCATGGAAAATGGAATAAGACATAATACATGTCAGGAAAATGATGTCGATTTCAATACGGCTCGCAACATACTACTACAATCGGCGAATTATTTTCATGTTATCACCGGAATTGGTTTGACTCAGCGACCATTCAGTTCTCCAAAGATGCGTCGTATAATTGGAATGGATTGGAATCAGGTTATGTTTGAGCAACAAGTTGCTGCCATATCCAAAACGAATGCAAGTTTGAACCAAAATCTGAATTCCAGTCAGGTCACTGTAGCTAGATGGTTACGGCAACACATAACGCCTAATCGTGATCTATGTCATGTGCTAGCATTGGAGACCAATGGATCAGTGTTTAACCATCGAGCTTTAAAACAGGCCAATCGTCAAACATTTGTTCAACGTTTGTTAGCAAACCATCAAACCAAATTATGTCAACGATGTGATTGTACATTAGCAAAAGATTATCTGCTTGCCCAACAGGAATGTTTCCTATGCCAATCACGATTACATACAGTTATGAATCGTTGGAATAACCGAGAAGCGGGAAATTTGAATGTAGATAATCTGTTGGATGGTCCACAAGAATGGACCGATGAAGATGAACAGCAATTTATGGAGAGCGAAAGTCACTCGTATGATAATGATCAGGAATCTGATGATTTAAATTTATGAAAATGAAATGAACTATAAAATCAATCAAGAATGATGTTCGTAATGAAATGAAAATCCATTTAAAATTTCAATCACTATATTTCACACTACGCATGTCTCTATTGTGGTATTTTTATGACGTAGTTGTAAGCCACACAATGCATGCATGTGGCTAATGTAAGGTTATATGCTACTTGATTATAGAAAAACATACCACTACTACTATCCATAAACCTGAGTCAAACACAATGCATTTGAAATTAATGAATGAATGAATGAATTATAGACAATTTGAGTACGTCGTTAATGAACGACAATCGAGTCTTAACGATTCCCTCTCTTTTTTTTTGCGGCTTTTCTTTGGTTGTGCTCAAGAGAGTTTGAAGATTCTGTTTCATTGTTTGTTTCCATGTGTATAGGTATGTGTTTGTCAATACAAATATATATTCCATCGCTACTAAATTTGTTATGACAATTCTTTTAGTACGGCTGTGTGTGTGTGTGTTTTAATGTCTTCGATATTATGAATTATCATATATATTAATATAAAAAATGTTATATAATTATTTCAACTAATTTTGTGCATATTTCTTTCAACAATTCAATGTTATGAATTAATTCTGGTGTTGACAAAATAATCATGAAGACTATTGTCATCGGCTATTTAATCGAGTATCATGACCATATTATTGGACATTGTCACAGTAACAAGCCACAAACAATTATTTAAAGCTATTTTTCACTATTTACAATCAATGAATTTATTTGGAACCGGCATAAGGCTCCTTTCTTATTTTTTTTCTGGGCTATATACTGTACTTGATGTCATGGGCACCTGTGTCAGCTGCTCGATTGTTGCTGCTACTAATAACCAACTGGTCTATATAGGGATAAATTAATAGCATCCAGCTAGAGCCAACGTAATTCTTTATATTGATTGTGCATTTGTTTGTTTTGTTTCTCGTGTTTGTTATTGTCCATCTGTTTACCTTGTACTGAGTCGAACCATGTTCATTAAATAATCAAATAGATATTGGTGGATTGATTTCTATGATTATTATATGTTTGAATGCAATAGTGGGCAATCATGATGGCCAACATATCGTTACAAACGCAACAAAATACCAATCTGCAATCGATCATGCAAGTTTCGAATGGTACGGCATCATCAGGATCGGTTGCCAACAAAGTACTCATCGGTGGACATTCTCATCCGTTTACATCACATCATCATCACAACCATCATCATCGTCATACTTTGACATTTCCAAATCTGGAAACGTTATTTGGAACATCAACATCAACGACTAATGGATCATCCCATTCGATTTTAACGCCGACGACCAATGCCACAATAATAAACGGAAACAAAATTGTCGTACGGCCTGTCATCAGTAATCCAAAGTTAAACAAGAATACCACATTAGCTAGAATTCAACAAATAACCAAATTTCCTGATCATCCTTCAACTGAATCTAATAACAAAGGTGTGTGCTCGACAATCACTGGCGGCAATGGAAATTTGGTCCTATATTCTTCCAACATATGTAATTCGACGAGATCTTTGATCAACAATGTAAATTATGTCATCAACAACAATAGTTCATCTGTCAAACATGCATTGGAACCAATCGTTCTCAAACCGAAAGCGGATGAACTATTGACTACAAATGATCGAATAAAATCCAAATCTTCATCGAATGCTACCTTGACTGATACTGCATCAAAGATCTTGTGGAAGCGGGCCAAATTTAACAATAACACGTGTACACAGCCATCCACGAATGCAAAATGTCATATTACGACCGTCAAAATAGAGGATCCCGAACAAATACAAGTTTCAATCAATCCGAAATCAATGTTCTTCACTCAATCAAATGTACAAAAGATGTCCGTTCCTCCTATCCATAATAAACAGCTAACTAGTAGCAATGTTAAATCGACCAATGATCAAATTAATACCGACAATGGTACACAGAATCAACAATCAACCAACAAGACCGCCACTCGATTTGTTGGCATCGTAAATCGGCTTAATTCATACCACAACGAAACGGTAAGATATTCTTTCCTGTAGTAAATATTTCTCTTAATATCATATTTGTTTATATATAGCTACCAGAAAATATCTTCGATACAGACGATGAAGATGATGACGATGATCTAGACATGAATTTCGGGCCTTATTATCATCACGATTCTACCACCATCGCTGGTGTTGATAATCTAACCACATCGAGTGGTTCACAATCTGATCCTATAAACACCAATTCTAGCCAACATTCATCGATTACCAGTCAGCCATTAAACACTATAATTCAATTGACCACACCGGATTCACTACAGCCGACGATAGCCACAAAAATTACGTATCCTAAACTATCGAATTTGTCGCTTGCTACCGATCATAATGATTCAACTACGATTGGATCAGTAAATGTTACGAATGGCAAATGTAATGATACACCTGTTCACTTACTTGATTCATGCAAGGCAGCCATTCCTGTTACTGGCACTATTCAACCACAACAATCCAATCTGACTACGACTCTACCGTTCATATCAAATAAAGTAACCGAAAATGTGGTCAAGAAACAGCCTATACTCGATTCCTCTTTCATTACCAACACCCAAAACCAAACAAATTGTACCATTCCTCATACGGCTACAATTATTTTAGCATCATCATCAACAGGACAGACGGAATTGAATTCATTCGATTCTTCTAAAACCACTTGTGAAAACAGTAAATCCAAGACGAAAAAGTCATCAAAACTCGTGAAAAGGTCGACCATTCATAAAGATGGAACCACAGGTCAATCGAGAAAAAATGGCCAGAGAAAAAAACCATCAGCGGTCAAAGCAACCAACCAACAGCAGCAACGTTTGCAGATGTTGCAACGAAAACGACGACAAGTTTGGTTTCAATTATTACCCCAGATCACGGCCAAAAAAGATCGAATTTCGGCTGCCAAAATCGAAAGAAGACAACGTCTTCGATTGTTAGCTTCCGAATGCCAGAAACAATATAGCAAACAGAAAAATACGACATCCGTACAAGGACCACATAAATTGGATTCTGTTTGCAATACGGCCACCCAATCATTTTTGACTCAAAGTGAAGTCTTGTCAGTTGATCATAGCAAAATACGTGAAACAACAATGGCCAAATTTGGTACATCGATAATGGCTTGATTGAGCTCCCTAAAATAACTAGAATCGAATAGATCTCCAATGTCAGTTGCTGATGGCACAGGAAATCACCATTAACATGGTTTCAAGTAGCAGACAGATTGTACGATTTTTTAACGATTATATCGAGCTTACGACTGCTATCAACAATACGACATTTCTCTTTATGGCTTAGCTTGTCTCGATAATCTTCATCATCATCATCATCTTTCGGTTCTGTGGTCGTCAATTCATCACTTGCGAATTTTTGCATATATTCACATTATAAATACATGCGCATATTGATTTCTTGTTTACTTTTCTATACTATATTATTGCATTGATATCTCATAATATATTTGATAATAAAATGAAGTCATGTTTTTCTTATCTAAGTGATCAACTATTACACACAAAAAAATGAACTTGAGACATTTATTTTAATTCAATCGATATTTATTGAAGAAATATAGCTAAAATTCATCAGTGCACAATAAAAAATCAAAACAGATTTGGTTGTCAAGGTTTTTCTTTGTCTTAACATTGATCAATATTTTCAAGTGCACCTTTTTCGATATAAATGTATTGAATGAATGTTTCCAGACTAGATTCGATTATTCAAAGTTAAAACACACAATTTCAACATTATAATCGATAAGTGGAAAAAATGTCTTTAATTCATTCAAACATTGGAATCGAATTCAATCAGAATCATATTCGAATAAACGGAAATGGAAATAAAATTGATTTAATTACTGCTGTCAATCGTTTATTTAGATTATATAATCTTCATCATGATCATAATAACATTCATCATCGAACTAATAATGGTTATGAAAATGTTTTGGCAATCATAATCGTTATAAATGGATTATATCTATTTGTTATGGCTATTATTCCGGATAATCATCAAGATATGTTGGCTATATTCATTAATCCAGGATCATTGATATTAGGTCCGAATAATCACCATTCAGGCAACATGTATTTAGCATTATATCAAGTATTTTTATTAATCATGTATACGTTACATTATTTCCATTATGATAATGGTTGGCTTAATAAAGCTAATTATAAACTGAATCATGGATCAGATTATCTACAAATTGATGAAAAAATTCAATTGAAAATTGATTCATTAAAACGAATTACATTGATTGCTGTTGGTATTAATATATTATTCTTCATACTATATCCATTAATTATTTATCCAAAAGAATCGTTTAAAATAAATCAATATCCAATCATAAGTCATATTTATTTAATTGTTTTTACCACCAAAGTTACCTTTTATTCATCGGCATTTTTAAATGAATCATTTTTATTGATCGAAATTTGTATGGAATTTCTACGACAATGTCGAAAACATTTAGCCATTATGAATGGTCAATTGAACAGACATGGACGAATCATCTCATTATTTAGATTGAATGGCAAAAAAGTAATGAATGAATTGAAAAATATTTCCAATTTAATAATGTTGATTCAAGATATTGAAATCTATTTAAAACGTTGTTATTTAATTGTTATATTCTCAATCATTTGTTTGACTATTCCATCATATTATGGTGCATTCTATTCAAATTTTAGTCCAATTATTCGATTTATATCATCCATTTGTTGTGGTATTTATTTCTGCATTGTAGTAATCTATTCATCGAAATTTACTTCAATTGATTTTTATGCAAAAAATTTGGCAAATTTTCTATATAAAAATCTATTGATAGACAGAATAATGGAAACAAGAATGAATTTTACGTTTTTATTTGAGGTAATATAATAATAATAACAATCAGGTGTAATAATTATAATTCATTAATCATATTTATTTTTTTTCAATATTAAGACATCAAAATTATTGAATAGCTTAGAGAACGGTGCATTGGCGGTAAAAGTCATGGATACTGCGATTAATTTAAACGTCATAATAACGGTATAGATAAACGGTTATTAAATCTATTTATTATGAATTAATTTTACGATATTTTATCATAGATGATGACCATGGTAATGACCATTATTGGATTGGCTGTAAAAAATCTTTTTGTCAAAGCCTATTAAGATTATCGATAATCGATACTATGGAATTCGATAAACTGGATAATGATGATGAATAGTGATCAATTATATTTACGAAGTATAAGTGTTGAAATGGTGAAAAATATTGTTGTAAACTATATTATTAGCAATGAATAAATTGATAAAAAAATAAAGAATTTAAAAAAAAATATTTTTTTTGACATACCGTAATAATGGTTGTAGCATTTACAGGACTACCCATTATTTCTAATCCCAATGGTTTGCAAAAAGAATTTCCCATTCTGATAATCTGATTTATATTTAGAAAATTAGTTAATATTTAAAAAAAAAAGACAATTCAACCAACATACCTCATTAACATTTTGAAACGACATTCCAATGTCAAATTCTTCCTGTATGTTGGAACCATAATCACGATATTTTATAATATCGATGGCAAATTGTTTATAGATCAATTTTGAGCAACGTTTTGCTTCGATTTCGATCCGATTAGGAATGAGTGAAAAATAAATAATATATGAAGTGAATGTAATCAATGTGAATGCGGCAAAATAATTTAACAATTTATCAATATTATCGGCATAAAAAGTCATATAGAAAAATTCCAATGTTACGCCGAATAGACATGAAATCATTACCAGATAGAATGATTTAAGATAAACTTTAGCATTTTGAATCATCAATACGAGCACGGCAAATTGTTTCATCGTATGCAATTCGGTCATTGATTTTGATTCATATTTAATCCATTCATTATAGGTACGCAATGCACATGCACAAATATTATTGAGAAGATAATTTTGAATGACAAAAAATCCACAAAAATATGTAGTACAAGTGATGATTAAATGATTTAATAGAATTTCTTGCCATGATCGTAAACCGTTAGCAAAATAGCACATACCAAACAATACTATATTATAGATAATAGTAATGGTATTGGTCATACATTGTCCAAAACAAATGAGTTTCTTGTTCGAAGTGAATCGACGAAATTTATCGGGAATATTTTGCATCAAAATTTCAAAATGAGTATTTGTTTGACAGAACCAATCATAATTGTCGAAAAAATAGAATATATTATATAATTGAAATGAAATACAACGATAAGCAGTCATTAAAAAATTGCCATGACGTCGAAGTTTTGGTGAAAGAATTAAGCAACCAATTTCAAGAAAATAACATGGCTGTTTATCATCTGTTTGTAGGCCTTTGATCACTACCCATGTGCCCCAAATAATATCTGACCAACTTAAAATCAATAACAGGATCATTATCCATGTTGTCCGGCGATATAAATTATATTTATCAAAACTGAATCCATAGAATGACATTAAAATTTCATAAGATTTAATTAAATCTATATCAATATCGTTGTTCATTGTTCACTGAAAAGCAAATGCAATCATCAATAACAGAATATAAAATCAAACGAATACAGGAGTTTTAAAGTTTTTCATTCTGATTCTGATAATAATTCTCTAAATTGAATAATCGATTTTTTTTTTTGCTATGAATTCAAAATGTGAAAAACAAAATCTTAACGATTATTGTGATTTCTTTATCGGTTTGTTACCACGTCACCACAAGTTATTATTATTATTATTATTTATTTTACAATATTATTATTATCATAAAAACAATCATCATTTGATTTGAAGAAAGAAAACAATAATAACGAAAATCGATCGATCGTGCAAGGTTTTGCAGTTATTTAGTTCGTCGTATTGTTTTGATCATTGAATTTGACAAAATAATAAAATTCTATATGATTATTTAAATTATCGGATGACATTTAAATTACAACAAAAGATGGCGATACAGTATAAAATTGGTCATGATTTCAAAGATAAAGCAACAAGTAAAACTCTCACTATGGATATAATCAAAGCAAAACATCGTCATCGTCATCATCATCATCAACAACAACAAATTATTATTACTCGATGTTAAAATCATCGCTTATTTCATCATGACATCAAATAACCAAACAACAAAGGGGCCAAATATCAACTCGAAACAAAAATTACCAAAGTTGAACAAGTTTGCGAAAGCTCAAAAATGGTTTAGTAGGCTCAATTTTGCTTATGAATTATCCAAATCGATTAGGAATGATTTTCGTAATTACAAAGAAATAAATGAAGAAATTCTTCGCATTGAAGAGACCATCAATGAACTCGAAAATATCGATGACAATGAAAATGATGATGAACAAGAATTGCGAACAACAATCATTCATAATCTACAACAAAGATTACAAGATTTAATAGCACAAAGAACCAGATTTCCCATAGAAACGGCCCGATCGTTTGTTAAATATTCTGGTGCTGTTTTGGCTGAAACTGGCGTTACTTTAGCAGCAGGTATTTTAATGTCTAATCCACCAGGTTTGGTTATTACTGCCGGTTGTATTGTTAGTACAATGATTGGAACAAAATTATCAGAAAAAGCCTTTAATGTTGTCTATGATGGCATAAGAAGAAGATGATGATGATGATGATGAAATTGAAATCATCACTTTTTTTTAAAGATAATTTATGAATAAGGATTTTAAAATGCGAAAAAATCATCATTATTATTATTAAAAAAATTTAGCCTAATTAAAAAGTAATCGTTATCGATATTTTTTTTTTTTTTTTTTTTTGTTAAATTTTGTTTTAATTAGTAAATCTCATCATCATAAGATTTTTGATTGTACATATCTCATATTTCATTATTTTATTTCACTACATACAAAAATGATTAACCATATGATATACTTGGTGTTGATTTTGTTTGTTGTCATCATTTCTTCAACTTGTGATTCAATTCCATGTGGACAAAAAATTGATCTAGATAATGATGATGCACGAATAATCGGTGGTGAAGATGTCCAACCGAATCAATATCCATGGATGGTATACATGAAATTAAATTATCTTCCATTGCATGAATGGCAAAAACCAATGACAAGTTCATGTGATGGTTCCATTATCAATGATCGATGGATAATTTCAGCAGCTCATTGTTTTGCACCTAATGGCTATAATTTAAGTGAAAATATTGTATACTTAGGATCACATAATATCACTAAAACAGAGGAAAAAAATCGAAAAATAATCAAGGCTAAAAAGGTAATATATAAAAATAAACAAAAATCAATCGATCAATTGATTACAAAAATGAATATTCTGATTAAAATTATTTCGATCCACATTCCAGGCCATAATACATGAAAAATATGATAAATGGAATATAAAAAATGATATTGCATTAGTCGAATTATCTGAAATTATTGAATTCAATGAATATATATCGCCTATTTGTATGGCCAATTCATATGAAGAATTTGATCACGATAATTGTCAAACACTTGGATGGGGTAGAACGGGTGAACGTAATTTTTTTTTTTTTTTTTTGTTGAAAATTGAACAATAATTTTTCGATGATGATATTAACCAATTTATTATTATTATTATGAATATTTATGGATAGATATGGAAAAATCCAGTACATTGAAAAAAGTTGTACAAAAATTACGAACATTGGATGATTGTAAAAAATTCTATTCAGATTTAGATGATACACAATTATGTGCCGGCACATTAAATCATGGACCTTGTACTGGTGATTCTGGTGGACCATTACAATGTTTAAATCAAAATCAATCATCATCATCATGGTTTATCAAAGGAATAGTTTCATATGGATCACCACATTATACAGAAAAACCAGCTGTATATACTAAAGTTTCAGCATATATTGAATGGATAAACAAAACAATTGAAAATAATCATCATTGTGAATGACGACGAATCCATCAAAAAAAAAAAAAAAAAAATGCGAGATCTTTATTGATTGTTTTGTTTTTCGAACATGAACATCTCTCCATTATGTGAATATATAATATTATGATTACTGAATCATCATTTGGATATATAATAATATTATATTTTATAATAAAAATGAAATGAAAACTAAATTAATTGATTTTTTTGTTTGTTCAAAAAGGATATTTATATTCATATATAATGATGATGATTGATGATGATTCAAATGTGGATCAAGTGGAAATTAGTCAGTTACAAAATGAAATAGAAAATTAGCAATTAGAATGACGATGAGTAAACCAAAAATTGAAAATTTCAAATGAAATGGGTTAAGATGAAAAAGAAAACAGAATATGCTGATACGTCAAAATTTCGAAGAAAAAAAAAGAAATTGATGAACATATGAAAACGAATGAAAATGTTTTTTTTTGTTTTTGTTTGTTTGTTTGTTGAACGATAATGATATTATATTATTAATAATAAAGACTGACTTCAATGGCTCGATTTTCAATGCGAATTCCATTCATCAAATCTACTGCTCTTTGTGCATCACGATCAGATCCGAAACGAACAAGAGCAGTACCATGGCCTTTGATTTCAGCAAAACGAACTTCACCAACTTCATTGAAACGGTCACGAAGATTTTGCCAACTAAAATTTGGTGGCAAATTTCGAACAAAAATAGTATCAATTCCAGATGTTCGATATTTATCATCACGATAATCGCCACGTTGATCATATGTAGAATAAGAGCTTATTGGAGCATTAGGCGTTCCTGCATTAGCACTGTACGGAACAGAAGAAGTTGGTGGTGGTGCCGTACCATAACTGGATGGCGGCATCATTGGACTTGTAGTTGGATATGGGGCAGCAGGCTGTGCGGTACCATTTCCATGTGGAACAACCGAAGTATATCCACTATGGCCATAACCAGTAGCAGAAGCACCCGGAACTGTATTTCCAGAACCAGGAATATCATTAGTAGATGAAGGATAGCCAGTTGAAGCAGCCGGTTGTGGTGCAATTGTTCCAGAAGGATTATTAGAAAATTGTGCCAATGATTGAGTCAACGAAGGCAAATGACCGGCTAAGTTGCTCAAAACGTTGATGGCTGCTGTGGCTGCTTGTGGAGTAACATTTGAAGCTTGAGGTGTGATTGGTGATGGTACGGGCAACGACTGACCTTGCATGCTTGGTGCAGGACTACTGATACTTTTAGCTATATTCAACGGCTGACCATCAATACCAAGACCTTTGCCAATACTTTCAAGACCTCGCGGTAATTTGGCAGGCAAACCATCTTTGCCAAATGGATCCTCATTGTCAAATTTATCCAAGCGAACACTAAGAATTCGATCATAAAGTTTTTGATTGTTGAACATTGAAATTGCTTGAACGGCTTCGACAGGATGTTCAAATTCAACAACACCGAAACCTTTCGATTTTCCTTCATGGTCACAATACAATCGAACTTTGGTGACTTTTCCAGCCAATCCAAAAATGTCCTCAAGTTTACGTTCGCTAACTTTATAATCAAGATTAGCAACAAATACACGATTTGTCAATGGACCTTTGATACCAAGTGAATTAAGAAACTGTGGACTCAAACCATATGTATGATAAGGAGTAGAACCAGAATCAGAACCATTAGAATATCTATCATCATATCGATCTCGTCGTCTATCGCGATCACGTTCACGATCCTCTCGACCTGAAGAAAGAATCAATCGCCCGAAACGATCACGATCAATATCAAGGTCTTCTTTGACAACAAGTTCTCGACCTTTGTAATCAAAGCGATTGAGCACATCAATGGCTTTTTTAGCAGAAGCTGAATCTTCGAATTCAACTAGACCACAACCGCGAGGTTTTCCTTCTTCATTTTCGAAAAGTTGACAGAAACGAACATTGCCCACTTTATCGCGAAATAAATCTTTGAGCTCACCCCACTTTACATCAAATGGAATATTAGCAACATAAACACGTCGATGAATTTTGTTTGAACGATCTTCACGCGAACGAATTGGTGAACGAGAACGACGTCGTGAACGATTACGATCACGACGACCACCACTGCTGCTTCGACCAGAATCTTTGGAACGGCCCGAATCATTGCTGCTGCTTTTGGGCAAATCATTGTTTGAAGTATTTTGTTCAATTTTCTTCTCACCGTTTTCGTTGGATTCCATTTTCACAATGTTGTTGTCCATTAAAAGGATAAAAAAAAAAACGAAAATAAATTCTTAACAATTCGACCGGCGAGAAAACAAGAAAAATAAGAGAGCCTGTAGCAAAAAAAAAGAACAATGGTTGTTTTAGTGTGTGTGTGCTCGCTAGCATTGATTTATATATAAATACCAGAGTTGGTCTATTTCGACATTAATGGTCGACAAATGTCGATTAAGATTTTTAAAGAATTTTTTATTTTATTTTTTATAATAATTATTATTACTATAATTCAATGATTCTAATACGGAAAAACATTGCTCCAATGAATTAATGGCAGCTAATGAAGTTGCTTTCAGGATTAATAAATCTTCGTCAGTATTGGAAATATTTTCAATTAGTTTCACTATTGTATCATGATGATCTTTGGCCTGTAATCGCAAAAAAATATCATCATTAATCCGTTTTGAATAAAATAAATAAATAAACACATACCACTGATAACTGATTTTGTACACCATCAAAAGAGCTTAATAAATCTGAATTGAATTTGATTGAATTTATTGTCGAATTTTGTTGTATTTTATCTTCTTGTAATTGTACAGCCAAACGTAGATTATCCACCCATATTTGTCGATCTTTTGCATTGGCTGCTTTTAATTTATAAACTTCTCCACCGGCAGAATGAACGGAAAATGTTTGCGAATCTTCATCAGATGGTATCACTTGACAATTGGCAAGACAAAAATAACCTCTCTGTTTATGTCTATCTTTTGACTAATTATAAGATGAATAATTTAAATAGAATACATATGATTGTTTATAATTTATCATATTTTTTTTACCGTATAATATTCAAGCATGCCACCAATAGAATTGATAACGAACCAACGATATTGCCAACCTTTAACCACATTGGTATATTTACATAATTGACCTTCAAAATTTTTTGATTCTTTTTCATCAAATTCCTGTAAACAGATTTTTTTCCAATTAGTTTTTCATATAATCACAAGTTATTCAAAACAATACCTTTGCACGTATCATTACTGAACAAAGATGATCCAATTCTTGAGAAGTTAATTTAGTATCACTAGATAATTCCCGTGTAGATTCATTTATTCTATTCTTCATTAATGTTGGCTCTTTCTGTTGTTTGATTGATTCAATATTTTGTATGTCTATTGGCATAGCATTTAATTTTGATAAAAATATCTCAATTTGATGATTAGAAAATATAATAATAATGAAGAGATAAAGAGATAAACCAGCAGAAAAACAAACAAAATAAATATCAAAAAAAAAAAAAAAAATAGAAACGAATGTATTAAATTATTTTTTTGTTTGTCACATGATGGAGCTAAAATGCCCAAATGTGGAAAAATTCGCCATCTATCAGTCAGAATTGAAACTTTGAAATTAAAAAAAAAAAAAAAAAAATTTATTCATTAAAATAACGCACAAAATTATTATTGGCAGTTATCAGTAATTAGATTACAAATAATTCATTTTTGAAAATTAATTAATTTTCGATTAAATTGAATGGTTGGTGGATATTGATTGACAGGATTTTCCATACGAATACCATCACCATCATCATCGCCATAGATAAAATGCTGAGATCTAAAAGGATCATCATTAATTCTAATAGTTTTAATGTTTGATGATAATTTTGATTGAACATTGACTACGGGTGTCATATTCATATTCATATTGTTACTATAATCACTATAGATTGGTGGAAAAATTTCATCCAAAATTCGTGGCTGTGATGACAATAGCGCCGTTGTCGCCGTCGTCGGTGGTGGTGGTGGTGGCGGTAATGATGTATTATGATGTTCAATTCGTTTATTATTAAAATCATTATGAACATTGTTCGATCGATGATGATGGTTTTGGTGGTGATGTTTGTATCTATCTGTTTTTCGTAATTTTCTAATGAAAAAAAAATCAATAATCAATATTTATATACAATTATTTCATTAACACATTACCGTTTAAATAAAAACATTATGATGATACAAACAATAACTAAAGTAAAACAATCAATAAAACTTTGCAGGCAACTTGTAAAAAATCTCCTACATCATGTATGCAATGATGACAAAATAAATAAAGTTTTGGTATTTAAAAAAATATTCACAATATTCATTGAAATTGATCATAAATACCGGAAAAATTGAATGTCGATGTAATACATTCAGAAATATTGACCATAGGTATATTGTAATTGTATAGATTCAATATACAGGATTGATTTACAACATGATTGTCAATTTCATCAATCAGACTGCTATCATTCAATGGATTGGTTTTTTCATTCGATTCAATATTGATGGAAAATTCATTCGATTCAACGACAATAGTTTTTTGTGTAGTATTCACAATAACATCTAAATTTTGTTGAACATCAATATCTGGATTCCAATCTGATGTTTGTATATCAAATGTTTTTGTTGATGTTAAATTATTAGTCTGTCCAGGAACTGATAGTTTTAAACATTAAAAAATTGTTTGAAATTTTATGCTAATTAAATAATTACCAGTCGAACATGGTGTATCAATAATCAAAGGACATGCACATATGTATCCATGTGAACGAAAAAGACAAAGATGGCTACATTGTCCATTCTGTTGGGCACATGGATTTGAATGTGGTATATTTGGATTATCGGGATTTTCTTCCCAATAAAAATCTATTTTTTGCTTTGATTCAGCAACCGCTCTGATCTGTTTGATGTTTTCAATATTATCGCTAATTAAATCATAATTGAAACCCGTCCAACGATTTGCTCTTTCGACAACTTTATGATAAAGATCCGACCAATAGATATAATCACCCAATACTGTAATACTGAATGGTAATGTCAATCCTGAAGCAATTATGATTCTTCGTTGAGTGCCATCGACAATGGCTGTTTCGATTCTTTTCAACACTTCATCACTCCAATAGATACGAGGCGTTCTATCATGATTTTCAATTCCATCATCAACAGCCAATCCATTAACTAATCCAATATTTGAATCAATCAATTTGATTCGAGAACTACCGTCTAAAAAAGCTTTTTATGATGAAAAAAATGAATAAATAAAAATAATAATGATAATGGAAATAACAATAGAGTATCAATCAAACCTCTTTCAATTTTTTGATTATTGCCACCATTGATCCAGAAAAGAAAACCTGAATTAGGCATCACTTCTAGACATTTTGGCTCATCTAAATCAAGATCGATCAATATTTTTCGTGAAGAACCATCAATTCTGGCCACTTCGATTATATGACGTTCTTGATCGCTCCAATAAATATTATCAGCGATCCAATCGACAGCGATGCTTGTTATTTTTCTATTATTATCACTAGTGATAATAGTTATTGTTTTCAATAAACTTGCTTCAGCTAATTGGCTTAGATTTTTTCCTGAAACAATTTTCAATGATCGTATCTCATTTGTTTGAGAATCAGCATAAAAAATTTGCCCGTGACGATAATGAAAATCAAACGATACGACATCAATTAGGTTATTGATTGGCAAATAAATATCGATCCAATCTTCAATGTCTAATGAAAGACGTCTAATATTGTTTTCACAGCCAATCAATATTTGTTCACTTATTTCTGTGTGTACGAGAAAAAAAGAAACAATAATTTTAATCGAACGATAAGAAATTCTTAGCATACAAATTACCTGATTTACAAGTTGTCAAATCATCTAACAGGACAACACCAGAAGGGCAATGACAAGAATAACCGGGGTCACTATTCAGAAGGCACAAATGTGAACAATTATTATTTTCACGGCATATCGTTTTCATATGATGATTATTAGATAGAATTGATACATCTGGAACTTTATTCACAGCAACAATGTCAACCAAATTGTTCAATGATTTTGAAACCATCTCCATTTTAGAATTCATTTGAGCAGATACATATGATTCATAATCAGAACTTAGATATAGTCGATTAACTGATTTTGTTTGCCAATCAGTCCAATAAATGTAATCATCCATAATGGTAATACCATATGGTGATGGTAAATCTTTGATTAGGGTTCGCCGATTACTGCCATTCAAATCGACCATCTCGATCGTATGAGTTTTTGAATCTGTCCATATGATTCGACCATATTTGGTAAAAGTGATTCCATTTGGCCAGCCAAGATTTTCATTCACAATCAATGCTCGTCGTTTTCCATCCATATCGGCACGTTCAATTCGTACTTGTGATCCCCAATCTGCCCAAACCATGTGACCACTTTTACTATTGAGAGCAATAGCACGAGGAGAATCAAGATCTTTACTTAGCAAAACTTTTCGAAACATTCCATTTAAATTAGCTACTTCGATTCGTTTTCGACCGGCATCAGTCCAATAAATTTTATGGCCAACATTATCGATAGCCAAACCATTAACGCCACTAAGACCGTAATTTAGTATTTTTTGAATTTCTCCATTCCGAATATTCGATTTATAAATGACATTTTCGTTAGTATCTGACCAGTACACAGTATCGGATTGAAAATGGACATCTAAAACAAAAGCATTGGATAGTCTTTGATTGAGTGGTAAACGTACATCAAAACGATATTCTGTATCAAGAGATATACGTTTAATATCGTTACGTGTTGTCATGATCAAATATTTTTGCATATCTGATGCACAAGTAATGTTATCGGAAAATAGCCGTATTCCGATAGGACAAAGACATTTATAGCCAGGCTGATTGGATGACAAAACACATAAATGTGAACATTTAGATCTATGACAAATATTTCTAATCGAGTTACGAAAATCATCTCGAGATGTACTATGGTTGTATTGAAATATGATCATATCCATTAGATTGTCAAGATTTTCGGCCACAATGCTACTCATACGTCCGGTGATTTTGTTAGCTTGTTGTATATTTCTAAAATGTAGATCTGACCAATAAACCAAATCATTTTTTATTGCTACAGCGAAAGGCTGACGAATATTTGCTGAATAAAGAGTACGTCGTTCGGATCCATCTGGATACGTGAAAAAAAAGAATAGAATCATGTCTCGGAATAAAATAATTGGTTTGTTCAATCAATTTGATCATTTAAAACATACCATAAAAAGAGTATTCAATTCGTGATTTACTAGAATCCGTCCAATAAAGACGCTTACTTGCATAGTCAATAGCTAATCCATGCGGTCTTGTTAGATTGGTTGAATGAATCTTCATACGAAATGAACCATCCATTCCGGATCTTTCAATATTTGCAGTATGATTATTCCATTGGGACCAAAACATTAGAGCTGTTTGTGGGTCTAGAACAATATCCCGAGGCTGATCTAATGATTGCCATATAACAAGTGAACGAAATGAACCATTGTTTTTAGACACTTCAATTACATTACGTCCTGTGTCGACCCAATAAATATTTTTTGTGATCCAATCATAAGCGATTCCTGATGGCGCTTCCAATGAAGAGCTAATAATGACTTTTTGATGTTGGCCAGTCCAATGAGCACTATTGATAGATTTATTAAGTAGATCGGACCAAAATATGGTTGATGTTGACCAATCATAATCCATGGAAACAACAAAAGAAATGCGAAGAATAGGAAGAACATAATCCAGATTAAATTCTTCATATGGATTATTTTGTTCAATCATTAATTTACGCTTCGAGAGATTTATGGCTCGAATTTCATTTCGACGAGTAAACAGCAACAATGAATCGGAATCTTTCTTACATTTTTTGCTGTTTTCATCTCTGAAACTGAATCCGAATGGACAAAGACAACGATAAGAATTATTGTTAGGCAAACAAATGTCTGAACAAGTATGTGAATGGCAAATATTAAATTCGATATCTGGCTGTCGTAATGGATGAAATACTTTGACATTAATATTCAATTGGTCATTAGTAGAATTGTCATGGCTCGTCTCTATTGTAGATATAAGCTTTCCACTCAGTTTGTTGACAATATTAATTTTTGTTGATTTAAGACCAGTCCAATAAAGATTATCTTCGAATATGGTCAATGTAATAGGATACTGTACTTCATCATGTACTATGGTATAACGATTGGAACCATCCAAATTCGAACATTCAATCAAATTTTGTTTGATATCTATCCAATAAAGTTTGTTGGCTGGGTAATCGATCGTAAGGCCAGTAGGGTTCATAAGCAAAGCACTTATAATAATTTGTCTGGCGGAACCATCCATAAACGAACTTTCAATACGTACAGGTTGGCCCCAATCACTCCAATAGATGGATTTCTTATCAGGATTTATGGCAATAGATTTCGGTTTCTCCACCGAATGGGCAAACATTACTTTACGATTTGAACCATCCAGATTGCAATATTCGATTCTTGAAGCACCAGAATCGGTCCAATAAATTCTATCGTTGATCCAATCGACAGCAATACTATTTGGTTCAACAATGCCGGTTTCTATTATGGGTTTCACATTCTGAAGCCTAATCGGCAATAATGGGGAAGGCAGCTGGTGATTGACGGAAGAATGATTTGAAGCAATAAGATCTTTTGGATTGATCTCAACAAAGGCACTAAAAATTTTTCTTGTTTTTGAATTGGTCCAAAAATAAAGATTTTTCTTATAATGATAATCGTTGTAAATGAGTTCTGAATTCAATGAATCTATAGACAGTGAGTCTATAGAATCGATTTCAGAATAAAGTCTATTAAATGATAATGGCGCATAATAATTATTGACTAGAATAGTTGAATCTAGAATTAAAGCTCTATATAAATGATTGAACGAATTTTTGCATAAGAAAAATATGATTGATTAATGTAAAAGTTGGTTAAGAAACATATTTTGCATACCTTAAGTTATTAAAATTTGCGACAAACAAAATTGGTTCAGGCGCTTGAATGGCTTTACATCGTCGTTTATCGACCCGTAGTCGATATCCATTGGCACATGAACATTGAAATCCTGGAACAGAATTTTCACATTTTTGTGAACACACTTGTATATTTGGCAGTGTCAACGCTTGATTACGATGGTGTTGATGTTCGGGATGATGATGATGATGATGATCAGTGAAGCGAAAATTGACATAATGTTCTAAATAATCCGATCGAAGGCTACCGACCAAACATTCATCAATGTCAATACATGATCGTCCATCACTAGCTTTACGGTAGCCTTCTTTACAGGCACAATAATGTCCGGTAGTGGTTGCAACACAAATATGTTGACATGGAAAGCCACTTTCATGACAAGCCATAATGTTTGCAATGCACGTCGAATTTGTATCTTCATCTGAACCATCCGGACAATTCGGAGCACCATCACAGACATTTGTTAAGCTGATGCATGTTCCATCACGGCAACGGAAATTACCACTAGTGCATTCTAAATTATCTAAACATCCTTCTTCATCACTATTATCATAACAATCTTTGTCACCATCACAACGGAGACTATTTCGAATACATTGGCCTGATCGACAACGGAATTCTTGTTTTGTACATGATTGACTTGCTATATAAAAAAAAATAATCATTAAATGTGAAAAAAATTCAATTTAAGATCTTTGTATTATTCTGAAAACGGATACTAATGATTAAATAATAGTAATAATACATACGACAATTGGATTCATCAGAAAAATCTTCACAATCAAAATCACCATCACAACGCCAATCTTGATTTATACATTGTCCATTCTGGCATGGAAATTCAGTAACACGACACTTGAAATGGCCATCTATAATCAGAAAAGAATTTGTTTACATAATTACAAAAATTCAATTTAGTCAATGTAGAAAAAAAATTTTTTTCCTTTTTCTTTTCTCCTATTGAATATTTGAATATGAAAAAAAAATTTACCACATGTGGTAATTGTTATGAAAAATTTTCAGAATATTCTTCGCTTATGAAATCTATTTTACATTTATCTATGAAAAATCAATTATAAAAATATGATGAAACAGAATCAAATGATGATGATGAGGAAAATAAAATTGAGTTTTCCGTATTTTTTTCTTCTTTCAACATCATAATTATCAACACACACACACACACACACACACACAATTATTGTACCAGAATCTGTTTTTGGTGAATGGAAATTCTTCATTAGGTTGAAATGGGAAAAGCAAACAAACACAGGAAAAAAAATGTTCAGACACAAACAAATTGCTTTAATTTCTCTCTGGAGATCGCAAACACACACACACACAATCGTCATAGAGGAAATTATTGTTCGTATGGGAGTAATATCAAGTCAAGTTAAGAAAAATCGAATCGTTTGATTTCAAGATTTTTTTTTAACAAACTGCCAATAACAGAAAATCGAACGTTATATACCTATATAGTGGTACCACGGTTATAACGATGGTAACCATTTTAAAGATTTGACCATCGTTATTAGAAACAATCGTTAATATCGTTATAACCAAGGTACCACTGTATATAAAAATAAAATTTATTGATTAATAATTGATTAATTTTTGTTTCTTTCATTGTATCGTTTTATCTTGTTCATTTTTCAAATACAAACGCACACACACACACACACACACACAAAAAGTATAAAATGTAATTTTTGTTCCATAGAACAATAAATTTTAGTTTTTTTTCACAGAAATGCAACAACAACAACAACAACAACAAAAAATTTTACATTCACTTCCGGACTAAATGATATTTGTTACTTACCACAATTTTTTTCATCCGACCAATCACCACAATCATTATCATTGTCACAATGATATAATTCGGAAATGCAAAGACCATTATGGCACATGAATTGTCCGTTTGGACATTTGGCTACTACTAGTAGATTATTATTGGCACCACCACCACCACCATCAATTTCTTGTGTTTTATTTTGATTTTTATTCACATTTAATATGGTTATTTTTGATGATCCATACGTATCGTTTGGCAATGATTGTGATGATATCGTACGATAATGGCAATCAAATTCATCAGACATATCCGGACAATCGGTTTTATTATTACATTGATAGATTAATGGAATACATTGGCCAGATTGACAACGAAATTCTTCCGGCGAACAAGCTAAGGAAAAGTTTATATGACATCCATATTTATTCATTCAATTGTTTTTACTGTTCGATTTGTGTGTAATATAAAAAATAAATAAAAAAAGTTTACATACGATCAATGCATCTTTCATCACTTAGATCACCACAATCATCATAATGATCACAAAGCCATTCACTTGGTATACATCGGCCATTATCGCAACGTGTTTCGTTTTCAATATCACATTCTCTTGCCATACAATCGATTTCATCTGAATTATCACCTATTGACAATTATATTATGAAATGAAATTGAGTAAATAAATAAAAAAAAAGTTTTGTTTTGTTTGTTTGTTTGTTTTTTTTTTTAATTGAAAAATCAATAATAATCATACATACCACAGTCATCAAATTGATTGCAAAATAATTCTTTATTGATACATTTTGATATGGTTACACAGCTAAATTCTTTGCTTGATGAACAATTTGGTTTTTCTATTCAATTTGATTTTGAAATTGGTGAATGATGAATAAAAATAAAAAATAAAAAGAACACATCAATTAGAATTCAGAGAGAGAGAGAGAAAGTCATAAACTTGGGTAGAAATAGGAAAAAAAGAACATCAGTTGTTTTTGGCCTGGTTTTTTATGTGATATTTTACGACAACATTATCATCATAACTTTTATGGAACCCCATCATCATCATCATTATTATTATTATTATTATTTGTTGAGAGAGAAAAAAAATACATGCCCAACAATCATACTGTGTTGGAACGATGAATGAAGAAAGTGAAAGAGTGAGTGAAAATAAAAAAAAAAAAAGTTTTTTTGCCATGAATTTGATGTCATTTGTTTTCAGTATTTGAGAATCTATTGTACATGTTTGAAAGAATTTTGTCATTGGTTACTATTTTGTAATGTTATTAATTAATCTTGCCAAGATCGACATCAACAACAAAAACAAAACACAATAATCATCATCATTTTTGAAACAATGATTCAGAAAAAAAGAATGGGGGGCAGGTACGAATAAATGAATGAATGAATCTCATCACATATCACATCTAAAAAACAAATTCATTCAAATGATAATTCTGTTTGGTTGTTTGTTCTTGGTGTTTTTTTTTATTATTATTTTCATTTCTTTTGCTTGTATTATCTGTCTGCTAATTGTAAAATGAACAAATGAATAGAGAAAAAAAAACAGATGGAATTTTGTCATGATTTTTTTCAAGATGATGATAATGACGATAAATAATAATGATGATGATGATGATGATAATGAATAGAATATGGTTTTAGATTTCAGATCACGTTTCAAAATTTCGTACACACATACCAAGCAACAACCGAACAAAAAAAAAAATTATAAACTACTAATGTGTCTATTTTGGTTCACATTCGATTCTTGTGTATGTGAAGAGCAATATCTCATAATGAAGAATTTTTCCTTTTGTTTTTATTCTGTTCCCATTCTAAACCAGATGAAATGTAGAAATGTGTTTAGCAAATGATAATGATGAAACAAAACAAAACAAAAAAAAAATTCATTTTTCACTTCACTACACATCTATTGAAGAATTTTTTTTTTTTTTTTTTTTTTTTTTGAAAATTTTGATGTGATTCTGGTTGAATTTTTTTTTTTTTTTTTTTTTGCTTCTAGTGAATTCAATGATTTTTCAATTAATTTTAATCACCAATTTTTTTTGCGGTCACAAAAAAATTGCCGAATAACAGGAACAAGAAACAAAAAAAATGATTTCCGTATTTATACAGATAGATAATATATATAATGAAATGAAATAAAATGAAAGTGGTAATTGTTTGTTTGTTATTTCGTTTAATTAAAAAAAAAAAAATCCGTAATGATTGTTGTTGCTGCTGATGTTGAATCGAATTATTTATAGCCAAAGGGGTAAAATGAACGAGAGAAAAAAAAAGTTCATTCACAGAATGAATTGGAATGAAACAAAACAGAATATTCTTTTCCATGTGTGTGTGTGGGTGTTTGGGTAATAATAATAATTAGCAACTTTAGTTCAACTAGAAATTTTTCATCATCATAATGATGATCATGGTAATGATGATGATGATGATAATAATAATTTTGTTTCCCTTTTGACTCTTTGGATCGACATATATATTAAAAATCGATGAGATTTTGTTTTTGTTTTTTCCAACCCATATATTTTGTATCTATAATTTTTTTTTTGTTGTATGGAATTTTTCCTCTTTTTGTTTTTTTTCTGTTTTGTTGTTTTTTTCTTGGCATCGAACAAAAACCGTATTTTTTTCTATTTATACATGTCAGTATACATACATACATGTGTCAAAACATGGTAACATACCGTCGTCACCAATAACTTTTGTCTCATTTTTTTTTTACTCACGTTCGTATTTTTATTATTATTATTACTGCTTGTATACTTTATAATGCAAAACACAAATGTATATATATATATCGATTTTAATCGCCGATTAAATTGGCATTTTGTGCTGATATTTTTTTTCTGTTCTTTTTTTTTGAGTAATAACAAAGTTACAAAAAAAAATTACACATCGTCAATGTATTCTGATGTTATGTGTAGATGTGTATATGTATGTATGTTGGAAAGTAATTGTCATTTTTTTCACATGAGAAAAAAAACAACCTCTAATTCTTATTATTATTATTGTATCGTTCGTTCGATATATATTATATTTATATAAATTGTTCTTGATCATGTTTTTTTTTTGCCATATATGGTTGTTTTTATTTGTTGACCGATAGAATCATCTCATTCATTCATTCATTCATTTTTTTTATTTATATACAGGATTGAAAATAAAAGAGATAAGAAGATATTCAGTAACGTTGTACATGTATTTTTTATTTTTTTTTGTTACATTCGAACATGTTTTGAATTTAGTTTGAATGAAATGAAAAATAAATCAACGGATACTATAACGAATGTGCTTAGTTCAAATATATTCGTTTTGATAAGGAAAGCAAGAAGCAAAAAAAATGAGAAAAAATTACGTTTTTTTACTTACCGCATCCGATTTCATCGGAAGAATCCGGACAATCAGGTTCACCATCACATTGCCAATTCAGCGGAATGCATGTACAATTTGTTGATGATGATGATGATGATGATGATGTAGCAATGGAATGTCGACGTTGTTTATCGGTGATTGTCGTTTGATTTTCATTTTTGGTTTGTTTCACTTTATTATTATTATTATCATTGTTGTTGTTGTTGTTGTTCAAATAAAATGAATCGATGGCTGTTGTAGAAAAATTTGATTCAATATGAAAAAATTGTTTTTTTATTTGTGCTAGAGGCTTATATAACAATATTAAATTTGAATCAAAATTCGATGATGATGATGATGATGATGAGTGTCTTAGTTGTTGAAATTTATTTTCATTGTAATAATGATGACCATTATTATCATCATCATCATCATCTATATTATGGTCAATCGTATTAAATTTTTGTTCATTATTATTGTACACCGTTTGTGTATTTGTTGTCATTGATTTTGATCCTGATTTTATTGTTGTTGTTGTTGTTGTTGTTGATGGTGGTTTTTATTTTTATCAATGATGGAAAAAAGATGAAGAAGTAATTATTGTACTACCACAAGCAAAAGTATCCGATCCACATAAGCTACATAGATGATTATTACGACCACCACCAATGACAACACTGTTGATATCAATGTTTTTTCGAGCATAAACAAACGAATCATCATCTAGGAAATTATGTAATAATGTATATAAATAAAAAAAAACGCATAAAAGCAGAAATAATATCAAAAATCATAGACAGACAGATAGATAAGACAATGAACAAAAAAAAAAAAAAAAAAAAGAAGAAAAATAAATAATCGAATTGTTTTTAGTTGTTATATTATGGTGGCCATGTGGGAATGATGCATTCGTATGACCAGAATTAGGTTTCACACACACACACACACACACACACATAGTAATGAAAATCGATTCTGTTTGTGATTGTCGATATACATTCGTTATTGTTGTTGTTGTCGAAACGAAACAAAACAAAAAAAAAATTTCATGCACGGATTGAAATTTATAAATTTCAATGTAACAACAACAACAACAACAGCAAAAAAAAAAGAATGAATTTCATCTGTATATGTTTATTGTCACTAGAAACTAGAATTTGGGTGAAAATCTAATCGATTATTTTTTGTTGTTGTTGTTGTCTCTCCCTTTCTCTTTTTTTTCTTTGGTTTATCGGGTTATTCGGTTGATGACCATAAACAAACATCATAGGTTTTTTTTCATGATCAATCAACAAAAAAAAAATTCGACCACCCTATATAATATGACAAAAACAAAACAAAAAAACTGCTTATGAACAGAATTTTAATTCAAGACATAAAGAATAGAGAAATAGAATATTTTTTTCCATCCTATTTCTTATCGGTTAATATAGAGAGAGAGACTTGATGACAGGCAGAAAGAAAAGAAAAAAATGTGTGTTTCACAGAATATATATATGTCCATATAGAATATTTGAAAAGAGAAACCTCCTGCGGTTTTTTTTGTGGATATGAGCGGAGAATTCTCAATTCTTTCATAGCCAATCTTATGGGAATGAATTTTTTTTTCGCTACCGTTTTGAGTGAAAAAAATCATCATAATCGTTTTTGAGATTTACAAAATATGATGATGATGGTGATGATGAGTTTATAAGAAAATTTTCTTTCTTTTCAACAAATGACTATATATGAATTCAATTTTTTTTTTCATTTAAATAATCCAACCAAAAATCGTAATATAATGGAATGATCTGTATTTTTTTTTTTTTTTTTTGCAAATGTTTTAAATGAAAAATCTCAAAAATCTCAAGTGGCCATCAAAACGTGTCATAAAGATTTCTTTCATTGATTTTTTTTTGACAATCAGCGTGTGTTCAAATATCATTATGTTATCATTGTGTCATTCTATTTTCATTTTCATTTTCATTATTAATTCATCAAATTCAAAACACACACACACACACACACAAACATTTCAAATACAAACCTGAACTTGTTATCAAAGAAATTATATTGATCAAAATGATTATGATTGTCCATGATGATGTCCATGATGACGTTCTATATTTTGTTGATAATGATGGCAACTTCCGGTCATTCGTCTTGATTTTGGTCTTTGATTGTTGTTGTTGTTGTTGTGGTTGAATAACATTTTCTGATGATGATAAAATCAAATAGTTGCCATTTTGTAGTCGTCGTCGTCGTCGTTGTTGTTGTTGTTGTTGTTGATTTTGACAAACGTTTTTGATGATGGTTGCTTTTTTCATTATTTTACATCATTCTTATTTTGTTTATACCTAACCAAAAAAAAAACAGTTATTCGTTTTTCTTTTTGAAAAATGATTGAATATTTTGAATGTTTTTCCTTCCTTTTTCTTTTTTTTTTTTTTTTCTTAGCTATCTGTCATTCATTTTGTATTTACATTTATAACAAACATCAATGAAATCATGATTCATTCAATAATTTATGGAAACATTGCTTTGAGATTATGAAAATTCTTCTCTCTCTCTCTCTTTTTTTGTGTGTGTGCTGCTATAGCTGCTAAATGTCCATATTATTCAATTTTGAACGCACACACATGCACACCCACAAATTCAGAGAAAGTGAAAGATACAAATATTGGTTTTGTGAAAATTCCTTCAAAATTGAAAAAAAAACTTTCGATACGCTTTTTTTTCAATCGCTTCTATCCAATGTCAATATAGTTTTTAATATTGCCAGAATATTTGCTGTCGTTGTTGTTGCCCAGAATTTTTTTTTTTTGTCGGCAATAACACAACCGAAAATGTTATTATGATGGCAATTTGGTGTGTGTGTGTGTGTTGATGCAAGGCAACAAACGGCGAGCAATGATGATGATGATGTTGATGATGGTGAAAACGCAGAGAGATGAAATATTATTCATAGAATCATTGAAATGTTTTTTTTGGGATGAAAATTCAAATTTTTTTTTTTTATTTCAAACAATTTATTGATAACACACACACACACACACACAATACACTTATGTGCGGCTGTTTTTTTTTTCTATATGATGATGTTGATCGGTTTTTTTTGGATATTCATGATCAAAAAATTTTTTTTTTCACATTTAATGGGGTTGTTGTTGTTTGTCAATCGATTATGGTGGCAACGGGACGATGATGATGATGATGATGAACTGCTGCTGTACCCAATTACAGCGATTGGAATATTTATTGAACAGCAGAAATGAAAAAAAAAATGTTGGCTTCTCCTCATTGCATTTCTATGGAATTATTTATTTTTTTTGGAGAGAGAGAGAGAGAGAGAGAAAAGGGAAAATTATTCACATAAATTATTAAAATAGTGAGATTTTTGCTATCCAAATCTTTTTGCTTTTGTATGAAAGGTTAATGTGCTAATTATTTATTAGTATTAAATTCATGTATATATATGATGTATGATGGAAAAGAAATCGAAAAAGAATTTGGAATATTGGGTTAAATAAAATAGGAAACAAAAATTGACTATCATCATCATCATCATCAAAATGAGATTTGCAATGATGATGATGATGATGGAAATACAGTTAGGTTATATTTATATTTATATCATATCTATTCAATCTGTACAACATGTCCATTGATGATGTGTGCAACGATTTTTTTGTTGTTGTTTTGTTGAATGTTTTTCATGAACCAATCTTTTTCTTTTTCTTTTTTGTTCATTTTTTCCCGTTCGTTCATTTATCGCTCATCATTCATTTATTCATTTTTTTCCATTTCACATAAATCATATAAATTGCGTTCATTGCTTATAATGTAAATTATTAAATATACATCGTGTAGGTCTACTATTCATACCCAAAAAAAATAAACTAAATGGATTGTCGCCATATAATGATCATACACACACACAAAAAATACATCTAATCATTACTAAAATACAATAAACCAAAAAACGAACCAGAAAAATGAATGAATCAAAAATCAAGTCAAATAAACCAACAGACGGCCATATCTTGTATATATATCTTTTGGTTTATATTCACCATGATGGTACATTGTATGGAACTATCATTATTGCATAATAATGATAATGAAACCTAGCAAATTCTTTCAAGAAAAATAAACAAATAAACAACAGCAGCATCATCATCATCATTATCACCGCTATGATCATCGAGCTTGAATGTTTCTGTGAGACCAGAAAACAAAAAAAAACTGGTGAAAAATACATTTTATTCTTACATTTTTGGAGCTTTTCAATAAGCTTTTTCATTCATTTTTTTTTCTTCATATTCGTTGCCAAAAAATTCAAAAAGAACTTTTTTTGGGGAAAACCAAAATTTATATAATAAAAGTGATATATGGAGAGAGAGAGAGAGAGAGAGAGAGAAAGGAAAACAAAAATGAATCACTTTATATAATAATAGCAACAAGCAAGTAAATATAATGAGACAAATAAGCAAATTGAGAACAAGAATAAGAATAATGAAGTGTAGAAAGAATGAATAAAAGAATGAAAGAGTGAAATTTCAGAAACATGACTGGAATGTATGCATACAAATGAAATATTATTCAACTAAAGGAAAAAAATCTTTATTCATCGTAGTTGTATTGTGCAGATGTATGGTGCAATTTTCTTTGTATTTATTTAGAAATGTTTTTTTTTTTTTTTTTTTTTGGTTAAATTATTGTCACTTTTATGCTTCATAAACATTCGTGTATTATTTTTTTTTTGGGGGGGGTAGAAGGGCGATGAAGGAAGGAAGCAATGAGGGTTTTGTTGAAAAATGTTTTCCCAAATGAAAGAGTTGTTGTTGTTGTTAACAACAAGAAAATGAAACGTATACCCACATGCACATGCACATGTACACATACATAATGGATCTGAAGTGTAAAAATGACAAACAATAAACAGTGAACACTGATGAATGATGAACAACAATAATAACAACGATGACAACAACAACAACAACGACAACGACAACAACAATGATGTTTCAAAGGTTTCAAAAGTGAAAAGGAAACAAAACAAAACAAAAAAAAAGATTTCAAAATAATGTAGAAAAACAAAATGGCAATCTGT